TCTGGCAGACGCCCAGGCACCATGCGCAGATGTGACTCGCCCGTCACGCGTTCACGTCCCGCCCGCGTCCGAGAGCACTGGCAAGCCGCAACACCGACCCGACGCGGCCGACCGACGTGTCGTGAACTCATCTGCGCTTTCGCTGAGTCCTGACGAGAGTGTTTGCTCTCCCCCTCTCCCTCACTCGAAGTGACTGAATCCCTCAACGACCACAAGGGACAGTTGAAAATCGCGACGAGCCCGGGCTCATGTATAACTTGGCGCTTTCCCCCGTTGGATAACGTCGTCATGGAACATCTCAGAGGCCGGACCACCTCTAGCCATGAAGCCTACCCATGCGACACAATGCAGTCTCTGTGTCTATCAGAGTTGAAGATGAGGGGGCGCACGGCGCTGGAGGGGTGGAGCAACGAAGGAGTACGCGTGATGAGAAAAGCGAGTTGTGCTCAGTGAGTTATCTCTTACATATGCGCCCCCCATCATCGTAGCATCATTCCATTGTTTCTGTCGTTCATGACACGGGACAGTCATACTACCGTTCGCGTCTGTGGCACAAATGGGAGAGTCTGTCTCCTTGTCCCAAAGTACGTCTTTCTCTATGTATGCTTCCTGATACCAGCTCGTCCGCGAAGATGTACCAAGTCCTCATTGTTCAAAAGTGTTGATAAGGGTTTGAATGTCGCTGCGTGTGGTCATCAATTCACAGAAAACGTTACGAGAAAGACAGGAGTGCGCGTGAACTTTACAGTTATTTCCTACGTCATTCCAGAAGTACTGTTCGAGGAATCGTCTCCCGCAGGTAGTCTGCGTGCTGTTGGGATGGCGACGAAGCAGTACCGGGCGGTCAATACAAGCCTCCATCTGCTTCTGACTCCTTGCGAAACCTAATGCTCAGCATCGCCAGCAAATAGGCGGTTTCCTCTGAGTGAAGGCAGGACTTAGACGAACAGAGCGGACACGTCCAAAATGTGTCGCGCACACGGGCGAGTTGCATCGTGGGCGAGTTAGCGACTTCAGCACAAGCCGCCGTGGCTTTCCAGCTCGTTGCCCGAGTCTCGGCCGGAATTCGCTCTTGTTGCCCCCAGGCCTTTCCCCGCGCGCCCACGCGCCGGACGTGACGGGCGAGTCACATCTGCGCATGGTGCCTGGGCGTCTGCCAGAAATTGCGAAATCATGATTCCGCGTTCGTATGCAAACGGCTGTAACCTAGTCCGACCCGTGAATGGGTCAGCATAAACGAGCTTCTACTCTCTTTGACGTTATGCCACTCTAATTCGCCATGCAGAAAATTTATGATGTACTAAACCATGTTTAATGTGACCCGCCTCCATCCCAGAGATGCCACAAGTTCAACCCATGTTATCGAGCCTCGCGCGCGCACAGTCCCGCGTTCCGCGCGAGTTCGTCCCGGAGGCAACGTCAGCGAATTCCCGGCTCACCCTCACCCTCACGCCCCGTCCGCCTAGCAGCATCCCACGCCTCGGTCGTCGCGGTTCGCCACCGCGTTACGCGCCTGGACCGCGCGGGATCCTCCAATACCGCCCCGCACGCCCCAAGTCCTCCTCATCCGCCGCCGCCGTGTCCGTCGCGAACAGCCGGTCCAGCTCCACCCGCCCCTCCCCGTCCGGCGCCCACACGACCTCGTCCACGACGCCCCGGAGCGTCTCGATCCCCGCCTCGACCATGGCGGCAACGAGCACCTCCCCGAACCGCCCGTCCTCGCCGTCCTCACGCGCGGCCTCCTGCAGCTCCTCCGGCCGCAGCCGCTCGGGGAGGGTGATGGGCGCGAGTAGCAGCGTGCGCAGCGGCCGGCCGAGGCGCGCGCGCGCCGTCGCGAGCGCGGCGAACTTCGCGAACGTGGCGGCGACGAGGGCGCGCCGCGCGTCCCCCGTGGAGCCCCGGTTCGCGACGAGGCCCGGGAACCAGATCCAGGAGCCGAGCGTGGCGAGCTGCGGGCACGGGAGGGCGCCGTCGGCGGCGGGGACGAGGAGGGCGGCGGTGAGCGCGTCGAGCGCGGCGAGCTCGTCCGTCTTGGTCGTGCCGTGGTGCGCGCGGAAGAGGAAGACGAGGGTGGCCAGCGCGGGGGCGTGCGCGAGGAGGGAGGACAGGAGGGGGACGGGGTTGTGTTCGACGTCGAGATGCAGGACCCGGATCGACGAGAACGGGATGTGCGTGGGGAGCGAGGCGAGCCATGAGACGGCGTGGGCGCGGCGACGGCGAGGCGCATCTCCGGGCCCGGGGAGTCCTGTGGAGAGCGCGAGACGGCCGTGCGCACGAGGGGGCGGGGCCTGCGAGAGGGGGCCCTCGGCTGTGATGGTGACCTGACGGCGCGACTGGCAGATCTTGAGACGCTCGAGGGATGGGATTGCTGTCCGGCACAAAAGGTTCACGATTCTCGACGCGCAGCTTTTCCAATCATTGAATGCGCCTTCCGACGGCGGGTCGGTGAAACATATGTTGAACTCGAGGGGGAGAATGAGGCGACGGAGGAGATTCCCGATGAATTCCCAGTTGGTGTGCGATACTGACATCCTATTCAAGCGCGAAAGTTTGACCATAGCTGGCAGATTGCGTTCTGATGCGGGTAGGGAGTTGCCGTTAGTTTGGATGTAGTGCAGATTGAAGAATTGCAGCAAGGGTGTGCGCGCCAGCAGACTAAGGACATCTTCGAAGAGGGTGCCACACTCGACGTTGACGGAGTCGAGGGAAAGGAAAAGGTGTGTTAGGATGGGGAAGGAGTCGAGCGGCAGATCGTACTGCACGGGCCAAAGTTGAAGGGCACGGAGAGACGAGGGGCCGTCGTGGAACATCCGGGTCGACCATGGGTTGAGCTTGCGGTATTCTGTCTCGTTCGGAGCGTCTGTCTCGTATTTGATGGAGAGTGTCTCGAGTAGAGGTGTAGCAGAAGGAAAGAGCAACGAGTAGTGAGCTGGGGATGGAGCAAGCATGCGGATTTGAAAGTGAAACAGTCGCCTTCCCTGTGCAGATATCGTCCTGTGAACATCGTCGATGTCGTTGGTGACGATGATGATGGTGAGAGGAGATTCGCCCGAGCGTTCCATAAACACGGAGGAGATGTTCTTGCAGACATTGTCACTTGGTTTGAGAATCAAGTAGGACCACATTGATTGAGCATCGATGAGGGTCCGTCGCCACGACCGACAGACATGAGTGAGGTGCAGAAGGGGTCGCAGATACTCATCTTCTTCGCCATTTTCGTCTGGGTCTATACTCAGCAGCGGGATGGGGGCCAGCATGCGGCAGACGAAGAGGAAGATCTCCTCGGGAAGGGTATCCATGATCGATTGATCCAGCTGTCGTCTGCGGGCTGGGTGTCACGGTCAACATCGGCCAGAGGAGAATGGTGCAGTAATCTCACTTGGCCTGATGGCAATCGTAAACTTCTGCAAGGTGATTCACGAAACAGCAAGACGGGTGAGAACAAGAGGAGAGGCGTCGAATACCTTAGGCTGCCTTCCGGGCTATGTGGCGTGCCTGGTTATCATGTGTTCTAAACCCTGGTCCCTGGGCATGTGTATCTTTGGCGCAGAAACTCAGGAGGCCTCAGGGCGCGATCCAGACCTGTGCTTTTGAAAAAGACATGCGGGTGTGCCTGCGGCCCATACAATTCACTTCCTGGCACCCTTGACATGGATGTGTCTCTCAACACTGTCGTGAAACCGTTCATTGCTGGGCGGAAGCCGCTTCTTACTAGAGGAAGTACCTACATGCGACGACTCCTGCTTGGTGGCCCATGGTCGAGGCCGGGCCCGGCAATGCGCCGGGCCGACCGGAGACGAAAGTCACCCGTACCCACCGGCACGTCTCCGTCCTCCTCCCAAACGCAACGTCTCGTGATGGCCTCTACCCTCCTTTGTGCCTCGCTTTGCCTCTCGCCGTCATGTCGTTTTCTTCTATGGAGATAGGCTCGCTGTTCGACGTCAAAGACAAAGTAGTGCTTGTCACTGGCGGAAGCCGCGGGATTGGCAAAATGGTGAGCTACTAGAGCCGACTCTCCCTTCCTCCTCTTCCGCGCATGTGCTGAAAAAATGTGGCAGATTGCGACGGGCTTCGTCCGAAACGGCGCAACGGTGAGGCAGCCACGCGTTCTCCGGATCCGCGCACGTCGCTGACGCCGGCGGGGCAGGTGTACATTTCGTCGCGCTCGGCCAAGGCGTGCGCGGACACGGAGAAGGAGCTGAACGCGCTGGGAGCCGGGACGTGCATCGCGCTCCCTGCGGACATGCAGCAGCTGTCCGAGGTCGAGCGGCTGGCGAAGGAGCTCGGCGCGCGGGAGAAGGTGCTCCACGTCCTCGTGAACAACGCAGGCGCCGCGTGGGGGGACTCCGTCGACGACTATCCGGTGCGTTCCCTTCCGGCATCTCCTCGCATGCAGCCGTGGGCTGAGGGAATCCGGGGACCCAGGATGCGGCGTGGTCGAAGCTCCTCACGCTCAACCTCCAACGCGTCTTCAACTTGACGCAGAAGTGCCTCCCGCTCTTGCGTGCCGCGGCGGAGCAAGGCGGGAAGGTCGGCGAGAGCTACCGTGACCCCGCCCGAATCATCAACGTGAGTCGTCTCCTACCCTCGATCGCGCTGCATATGCTCAATCCCCGTGTAGATTGGGTCTGTTGAAGGCACCCATGTCCCCGGACACGAGACCTACGCGTACGCGGCCTCCAAAGCTGGTCTGCACCACCTCAGCAGAGACTTCGCCGGCCGACTTGGGTACGAGGGCATCACGAGCAACACGCTCGCGTGCGGTACGTCTCCCCTAAATTATGCGCGTATGGTCGCTCAAGAGGTGTGACACCCTTCTGCAGGCCCCTTCCCGAGTAAAAGTGAGTTTAAGTTTCCCACACGCGGTTATGCGGGGAATCTAACGGGTCCTCCATAGTGATGGCGCACACGCTCGAAACGACCGGAGACGTGATCACGGCTGCCGTGCCTTTACGGCGGGTGGGCTCGCCGGAGGACGTCGCCGGTACATGCATATATTTGGCGAGTCGCGCCGGGGCGTACGTCAATGGTGCGACCATTCACGTTGACGGAGGGAGCGTTGTGGCGAAACCGACGTTTGTTCCGAAGCTGTAGACCCGTTCTTTGCGTGTCGATGCCGGCTTCGCTCGTGTGGAACGCTCTGTGGTTGATAGGTGTATATTCCGCGGGGTTCAAGTTGTCTTCGCAGCTCTTCATTAATGCCCACTAGTACGTTCTGTTGGTTCCTAGTGTTCCGGTGTACGCCCTCATCCGAGGCACTACCAGTATGCTTAGTCATGTATACTACGTTCCCACGCATTGTACAGTACTATGCCGCCGTATCGTCCTAGATCGATATCCAATCTATCATCCTATCCACCATCGTCGTCCTATCCGACACCCTGTCCGTCATCCGGCGTCCTTTCGCCTCTACGGCTCTCTTCGTCCACTGCTCGATTCTTCACACGTTCTGGCAGTAAAGAGAAGGACAGTTGAACTGGACCGCCAAGTCGATTCACGTACTATGCCCACCCAAGACGCGGTTTTTGAAAGAATTGACCCAGAAGCGATTCTCGGCCTTCCCCTGCCTTCCCCTCGCACCTCTGTTGACTAGGCACACTTTTCTGCTCTGTGATGACCCATCAGTATCCTAGTAGTATAGTAAGACATCACGCTTTTCTCTCTTTACATGTGCTCGTGCGGCCACCCGTCGGACGGCGGGACACCCACAGCATGAGTTCGGGCGCCGGCGCGCGACTGGGCTTGTCTAAGTGGGGTTCCGGGTATCTCCCTCTAGGGGAGACGCTGAACCGCTCTCTCTCTCTCTCTCTCTCTCTGTGCCACAAACTGTATAAGACATGTATTTAGGGGTTCCTGCGAGCCCATTGGCGAAAAAATGGCTAGATTCTGGATAGTAGAGCTCTTGCAATTTGAGTAACAAAATGGTGACTTTGTTACATCTAACATTGATAGCTTCGCTTGACGTGGAATTGTTGGCGCTTCTCTCGTAGGAGTCAGGCCAGAGGGTCTTTATGCAGTAGCATTTCCTTGCGCAATCTTGCCCTATTGGCCACCTATTCATGATATTTGATACACAGGAGGGAGTATTGATTAGGCACCCATGTGCGAAGTATGAAGGCAAACAGGAGAGAGGGGGAAGAGATATTCGCAGAACGGCGGTACCCGCACCGCTTCCGCGGGGTGGGCATAGTATTTGCGGACTACTCGGCGGCCCGAAGGAAGCCGGAGGGACGTCACGAACATTGCGCAGCCGTGAACGTTTGAACAGTCCTTTCCTCCCACTCCCACCATCCCCCGGAACGACATGCACATCCCGCGACTCACACATCCTCTTGCACTCATGAAAGTGGTGATAGTGGTGATAGTGAGCTGATTCATGCCCAAAATCTCGCCTTGCCGTTCAAAACGACCGCACGCTGGTCGAGGTACGATGTCCAGATCGCGCACACCTGCAACTCAATTCTCCCATCCACAACAGTGGCCATTTCGACCCCGCCTACTTCTGAACGAGCCGAGGAGTGCGTCTTCGAGGTCCAGGACACTGTCGTCACCTCCGTCGAGAAGGAGTCGACCCCCACCTCCCCGTCTTGATCCATGGCACGATCCCCCTTCCCCGTCGCCAAGTCTCCCTCGTCATCCACCCCTCAACCTGCACCCTCCGACCGCACACGCGAACTGGCACTACTTCTAGATCACCCTGCCGCCGCCGACCGACTGACGGCGCGCGCGAAGCACGTCGCGTGGTGGTTCGTGGGGTGGGACGGACCGTACGCCTTCGTGCCTGTCCGAGGTGGACGCGGCGGACGTCCGCTCATCTGCCTGTGCTTGAGTGGAGGTTCGGATGACGAGCCAGAGAGGAGGCGTGGCGGTGGCAGTTGTTGCGGCGCGGGCGGTATGTCGAGGCAAGCTCTCCTTGCATCCGAAGCGCGGGCGAAAATCGTGCGTCTCGCGTTCTTGCTGTTCACTCTCGCGCGTTGTGTTGACGTTTTCTGCCCGCCGCGCGCTGCAGAACGACGTGCTCCAGTGGATGAATTATCCCGGGGTGAACGTTACGGAAATCAATGATGTTCGGATGGTAGAACAGCTGTTTGAATGATTAGACAGTGCATAGCATATCAATCGGATTCTGCTGGACACTGTCTCGTTCTTCACCTCGGTATGTTTTCCCTCCTTGGACTCTCTGCGCTCTTGTGTCCGTATCCACTGCCTCGGTGGCTCGAGAGGGAACAACCGATGTCGAGCCGGATCGTTGTCAGAGTCACGACGATGCAGAGCGACGTCGGGGACCCAGTACTCCATCCCTACCCTCACGATATCTCCCCAGTTTGTACATGAAGCTCTTCGCACCTATGCCGTCGTTTTGTGTTCTTGCCTTCCTCATCAGAGTCTTTCTTTTTGCCGTCCATCGGCGAGCTGCTCTTGCTCCGCAGCGAATCAGAGCCGCGGGGATCCCCCCTCGTCGCTGTTTCGCCACGGCGAGCAGGTGTTGCGCTTGCTTTTCTGCCGACTGGATGCGGGCTTTGGTGACTTGCTTGGTGCTTGGTGCGCTCAGTTAGGTCCATGGTGTCGCACACAAAGCACGTACCCACCCTGGCGTCGGGTGTTATGACGCCATCTAGTACCCCTTTTCACACTCCAGGCTGTATAAACCCGGATGTCCTTGCACGTGGGAGATGCATTCAATCTAAAATTCGGCCGCAACTTTCGAGCGCGAGGTCGCCCTACGGCGCCAGTTGTGGGCCCTCGCTCGTGGGGATAAGCGAGCGTGTGGCTCCCCTCATCTCATTGGGATCACGGTGCGGCGCGAGGCAGTCGCGTCAGAGGAAGGAGCCGAGCTCCTTCAGGTGTCGAGCGCGGGGAATGGACGGGGAGGAGTGTGTCAAAGTCATCCTTCAGACGGTAGAGGGGTGACACGCAGAGACTGGAGACACGTCGCAACCGCTCCGGCAATAGCTACATATTTGGTTGGATCTTTGACTTTGACCACCATTACTGCTCACCGTCTTATGCGACCCCTCTCCAGCAATCAAGATGGCTCGTTTGAAAGCATTCTCAATCGCGTACAGGTCTTTCAGGACTCGCTCGAATTATCGAAACTGAGGTGAGGCTCCGAACATGTGTTCAATTTCAGCAGAAATTCACCAACACAATCATCCTCAGCGTCGAGAACGTGAGCGTAAGATCTCATTCCCGTATTGAAACAAAGCTCACAACCCAATATCAGCTTCTTGCCCTTCACGAAAGACTCCTGAGCTACGCCGCCGGGTGTGTTCTTACTGAAGCGAACTCTCGAGTGAAGATCAACCAACTCCCCGAGGAATCGTTCCTTACCATCTGCAAATCATCTCTCTGGCCTTCGGACACATCCCTTTGCAGGCTCTACGGTACCATTGGCGTTGACAACGACACGATCAGATCCCAAATGCGAGCCCGTTTGAAGACCCTGCTCGAGCTTTCACACGTCTGCCGGTCGTGGCGTCAGGCTATCAAGACAGCGTCCCCTCTGTGGTCGTTCCTCCAATTCGATTCTTCCGAGGACTGGATTCGGCACTACTCTCTCGAGAACTCGGGTCTTGCGCCACTTTCCTTATCAGTTATCCCGGATCTCTGCGACAAGGATATGATCAATGCGCGTATGAAAGCCCGCGTCGTCAATCTCCGGTTGGACGCGGATTACAGGGAGACACCACGACAGACCATTCTCGATTGTCTCGACGTCATCTTCCCTCTCCATGCACCTTTCTTGAAGAGCCTCACCCTCGACTGGCCGGACGACAAACACGAACCATACATCATCACCGACGCTCACTTTAGCCCACCCACTGCATCACAACTGCAGGCTCTTTCTCTCTCTTGGATCTACATCTCGTTCGCACGGCCCCTCCCATGCCTCACCCACGTTTATATCGCCTTCAAGTCGAATCCCCCATCATTTGAAGACGTCTTCACATTCATCGCATCCTCCCCAAACATCATTTTCCTCTTCTTCGTCCAAGCGCAAGATATGTGCCACGCTTCCGAAGAGGCAGCAGAAGGCATGCCCGTCCGTGCAACCCTGGAGAATCTGCGCACACTCCATTTTCTCTACTGCGATTGGGACTTCTGTTCCTACCTTTTGGACCGCATCTCACTCCCCGCTCGCGCGCACATTCACCTCATCGAATGTCCCTCTCTGCACTTGACTTTCAACATCTCCACGCGACTCTCAATTTTCACGGTCGCAACGCGCATGCGGATCAGCTTCCACTCCACCACTACCACCTTCCAGTTCGACGGACCCCCGGACTCGTTGGACTGCATGCGCCCGGAAGGCAGACTTCATGTCCACCAGACCACCGACGACGCTGGAAGCGAAGACGAAGACAGCGACAACGACGACAATGACGACGAACTGGACATCGACTCACTGCTGGACTGGGATTCCAGCGGCTCCCCGTTCCCGTGGATCACCGAGCTCCACGTCCGCTTCGGCGGCGATGAGCCGCCGAAGGACCGCAAAGTCGCCGCCTTCCTCCGCCTGCTCGAGCGCACGCCCCTCCTCGAGACGCTCGTCGTCGACTTCGACGCGACGCACGGCCGCCCCGGCGCGCCCTGCTTGCCCGTCCTCGTCCCCCTCTTCGACGCGCTCACCGCGGACGGCCCGGCGGCGCGCCTGTGCCCGTTGCTGCGAGCGATCACGGTCTCCCTCGAGTCGCGGATCCACCCCGACAGCGATCGCACCGTCCTCCAGGACTGGAAGACGCTGATGGCCGACCGCACGGTGCCGCTCCGTGGGGACACCGCGCGTCCGATAGAGGTTTTGGCGGAGTTCATGTATGGGGAGGGGCACCGGCTCGTGCAGACGGAGGACCCGGGACACGCCGACGAGCCACAGTGGATAGTGGTCGAGGGGCCGTGGAACCAGGACCGGTATGCGAACGAGGAGCAGTTCATGTCCGAGGAGTTGAAGAGGATCAACGAGTTCTGGGATCTTGATGACGATGTGCAGGAGACTTTGTTGTGCACCTACTAGTGCCCCTTGCGTAACGTACTGTCTTGGCAGACATTTTCTGGAGGACTGTCGTTGTCGACGAGCGCTCTTCATCGGTTCTCAGCTCGTAGTACAGTATTAGTACAGGACACTCACATCTTCCGCTGAATCACATATGACATCGAATAGTCCCAGTACCGCTGTTCTTTCGCCGCAACGACGTCGTGAGCCACCACCGCCTCCTCCACAAACCACGGCCCTTCTCGTCGAGGACCCAAGCCACTTCCTCAATCACATCCAGCCCGCGTAGGATCTGCGGCCTGGCACGCTGAAGGAACAAGTGGAGTAGATCACTTGACACGATCCACGCACGCGATGTGAGGTTCGCGCAGGCCCACATTGAGCGAGCGCGGAGAGGCGTGGAACAGGCTGGAGGTACTGATCTGTTTTGACCTCTTCGTCAAGATGTCGTCGGAGAACATCAATTCTTCAGAGTTTTTCCTTTGCTTGATCGCCCTCCGCAAGCTTGGAATCTTCGATGACCACGAAGGAGGGAAACAAGAGCAGACGCCCGCTCGGACTCGCGCGGTGCCGCGGTGCCGCGCAAAAAGAACTCACTAGCTCCAATTTTTCTTCACCACCACCACCACCTCTCTTCATAGCCTCTCCACTTGCATCCACAACTATCTCTCTATATGTACTCTTCAGAGAACTAAGGGTGGTGCGGCCCAGTAACGGGATGGGCAAAAATGGTGAGTTAACTTTCCTTCACTTTCCATCTTCTGGCGCGCCCGTTAGAGCGCATTGCTGACGGGAATGCAGGTGTTGACTCCGGAGTCGCTCTCGGGCTTACGTACTTATGCGCCGGCTTAAAAGAGCATCATCTTCGCAGAACCTCAACGTCTTCGAACACGTCGACGTCGCGCTCTCGGTGAACAAGCAACATTCGTCCGTTGGATGAGCTGGTTGCCTGGCGGAAGCTGCTATATGCTCTCGCTGACACTGTGAGCACGATATTGAGAGTTTCTTGCGACGGAGTTTCGGTGAGCCTTGCTTTTCTACTGCGCTCGTCAGAGTTTGTGGGCGGGAAAGGAGCGTATCATAGCACATGTCGAAGATGACGGTGCCGCATGGTAGGGCGAGGTATTCATACCGGAGCGTTGCTGGTGTCTGTGATACGATGCGGGCGCGTGAGTAGTACCCAAATCTCTCGGATAGACGCGGATTCTTGTACATATATCCGAGTCACGAGATGGCACTTCGGGCAGAGAACGGTTCAGCACACCATCGCTCTCGCCTGCATTTGACGGGGCATCCCACGCTCCGGCGAGCTCGATGAACCCACGCAGATTACCCCTTGTACCCGGCCTCCATGTACACGACCGCCTCCCTGTTCTTCCGGACGCTCTCCTCCTACGGCATCACACATGCATTCGTCAACTGGGGCTCCGATCATTCCGCCTTCCTTGAAGATCTCCAGCGCCAGCGTCTCGAGTCTGGAGACGGCACGACGTTGATCGAGATCGTCACTTGTCCCAGCGAGTATATTGCGCTCAGCGCCGCGCATGGGTACGCACTCGTTACCGGTCGGCCAGCAGCAGTCATCGTGCACGTGGACGTCGGAACACAGGTGAGTTGATTCAGCCGGGATACATCCAGGATGCGAAGGAGAATGGACCTAACGGATCATTCGATGGACAGAGCATGGCGGGCGCCGTGCACAACGCAGACCGTGGCCAAGTCCCTATATTCATCTTCTCCGGAGGAGCACCCTTCAGCGCAAACGGAGAGCTGCGCGGGTCGAAAAACGAGTACATTATGTGGCTACAAGGTGAGTTGGTGTTTTACCGTGCATGCTTCGCCGCGAACATCTTCCTCTAGATGTACCGGACCAGCCCGCGATTGTGCGTCAATATATGCGCTACACAGGGCAGATACACAGCCCCAAGAACGCGGCCAAGGTCATTGCTCGTGCATTGCAGATGTGAGTAGGCCATTTGAAACACGAATCCTCCGACAAACGACGAGCCGCGGTCGTACCCTCAGCTGCACAAGCCAACCGAAAGGCCCGGTATATCTCTGGGCACGAAGGGAGGTCACAGACGAAGAGATTGACGAAGAGGTGCTGAATGCCAAGGTTCCATTCCACAAGTGGCCTTCAGTAACACTTCCCGCTCTCACTTCTGAAGGTGCGCATCTTCATTGGTGTCTGATTCCCCATCCTCAACGGTTCCCTGCGCAGTTGTCGACACAATCACATCCGCCCTCTGCACGGCCTCCTTCCCCCTCATCATCACCGCGTGCGCCGGCCGCAACCCAGCTGCCGTCCCGCTTCTCACCTCCCTCGCAGCCGCGCTTGAAGTCGGCGTGCTGACCGCGTTCGGTGCCGTCGTCAACATCCCATACAGCGATCCCCACTCTCTCGGCTATGCTTTCCACGGCACACTGCCCCATATCGCAGATGCAGATGCGATCCTCCTGCTCGACACTGAGGTGCCCTGGATCGACGTCGCGAACGCCGGGCCAAAACCCGGTGCCAAGGTGTTTGTCGTCAACAACGACCCGCTCAAACGCACCCACGGCTGGCACCACGTCGATGCCGACCTCGTCTGCGTCGCCGACGCCGCAACCGCGCTCGCCCAGCTCCTCGCCGCTGCGCGCGCGGACCTCACCTCCCCCAACCCGCGGCTGACCGCAGAGCGCCTCGCCGCGCGCCGCGCTCACATCGCGCGCCTGCGCACCGCGCACGTCGACGGGCTGGCGGAGGCGGAGCGCGTCCCCGCGGCCGCGCTTGCGGACCGTCCGAGCGTCCCCGCGGTCCTCGGTGCGCTGCGCGCGGCCGCGGACGGGCAGAGGAGGACGGTGCTCTTCCTCAACGAGGCCGTCTCCGCCTCGGGGCTCGTGTGGAACCACCTCGCGCCCGATGCCGCGGGGAGCATGTTCATGTCCGGGGGCACGAGCATCGGGTGGGTGCTCGGCGGCGCGATCGGCGCGTGCCTCGGATCGCAGGTGCGCGCCCGTGCGGGCGAGGGAGCGGGCGGCTTCGAACTCGTCGTCGCGGTCTCGGGGGACGGGAACTTCCTGTTTGGCGTGCCGACGGCGGCGTTCTGGGCGGCGCGGCGGTACCGCGCGCCGTTCTTGACGGTGTGCTGAACAATGGGGATGGGCGGTGAGTCGTGCGCGCTCTTCAGGCTGAGTCGAGTTCTGACAGATTTCGCCTCAGAGTCCGCAGTTTTCGATGTCCCTCGTTCACCCTGAGGGTCTCGGCGTCTCAGCTCGAAGGACAGGCTTACAGTCGGCTTCGGGGACGACAGCGCGGATTACGGCGGGGTCGCGGCTGCTGCGGGAGGCGCGTGGTCCGCGCGTGTGTCTCGCGCCGACGCGCTTCAGGCGACGTTCGAGCAGGCAGTCAAAGTCGTCTTGGAAGAGAAGCGGTGCGCGGTCGTGGAGTGCTTGGTCCTTCGTCATAGCTATTCTGATGAATCTCACTATAATACTACACGGAACGTTCAAGTCAACTACGCTGCATGCATGAACTCTCTCGACTTCGGCTTCAAGGGTTGATCGCGACGCTGAAGCTCTTGGTGAAGAGGCTCGCGCTTCCCGTGAACGGCTCCGTGCCCGTCTGGATGGCTTGGACGTACTGCAGTGCACAAACAACAGCCTCAGTGCCTGCGCCTCGCATCGGGAATGAAGACGCTCGCCTGCGTAGCAGCAACGCTCTGGTTCGCCACGAGGTAGTCGAAGAAGTCCTTCAGATCCGCGCTAAAGTCCGTGAGGTCCCCGGCGGCGCTCACGAACGAGAGCACCTCCCAGTTCGCGTTCGGGCCCTTCCAGAGGTTCCACGTATGCCCAGCGAGCTCGATGCCCGAGAGAATCTGCGAGCCAACGGGTTGGATGCTGCAACTCCATCAACTTGAAGGTGTCTAACGTCACGCGAAGGACAAACGCACCCGCCGAGGCCAGAGAGCCAAATCATGATCTCGTACGAGGACGCAGACGTCGCGGCGGTGCCGGACTGGGCCACCCCGAACCAGATGTCGTACCTGGCCCCCACTCATCAGTGCGTTCCTCCGAGCACGTAGCTGGAAGCAACGGCGACGCACGAGACGTCCGCGCGGATGGGGTTCGACTTGGTCTCGTACTCCCACGACCAGGCCGTGGGCGCGCTCGTGATGTGCTGGAGCTGGACGCCGCGCGCGGTTGAGCTGAGCAGGTTCGCGTAGCTCTTGACGTTGTTCGGCGCGTTCGCCCACGTCCACTGCGTCCGCCACGAGACCGCGTTGCCCGATTTGCTGAGCAACGTGGAGTTCTGCGAGCCCACGCCCGCGTCTGCGACAACGAGTGAGTACGCATACGAGAGAGGGGGGCGGGAGGAAAGTACGGACTTTTGCCCCAGAGGTTCTGGCAGAGGGTGTACTCGCCCGCAGGCTCGCAGTCGTACTGGCCCGAGATGGTCTGCGCCGACGCGGAGGCCACGGCGGCGAGAAAGCTAGCAAAGGCAGTTGAGAGACGCATGGTGCTGTATCGTCTGCTAGTGCTGCCAATGGGAGGGCCCGTCGCTATATATGCACAACCGAAATATGCAGCGATAGCACGTGAACCTGCCCAAAAGGGCTTTCGGAAGAATCGGCGAGACGAGGACGTTGTAGAACGCGGAGAAGCATTCAACGAAGTAAGGTCTCGGATGATCAGCCTTGGGGGTGCTCCTAAGTTCTCGCGGTCGGAGATACTTCGTGCGTTGGTGGCGCTCTTTAACGGACTTTATGATGGTTTTAAGGTTCTAGCTGGCTTCATCGCAAGAGTTTCACGGTCGTCAGAGCACAAATAACAGTGGCTCACCTTTACCGACGATGAACCGACACCAGCTGCCAACAGGGCAGTGGTGGGCCACGGAGTACAAACCTCTCCGACTTCAAGCGTTCGGGCGTCTTTAGGAACCGTTCGGAGAGGAAGGCAGGCATGATCACCGACAACTTGAACCATCCGGACTGTGATCTGGCGTGGACCGTTTGGTTAGTGTTTGTCGAATGCGCGACTCTGCTTATCGTTTATTGGGCATGTACCTGTTGTATACCTGTTGTGGGAAATCGGGTTGTAATGTGCACCTCGTATAGCTTCTATTTGACGACGAGAATGTGAGCAAACTTGAAAGCTTGAATGCGCACTGAATGCCAGGATGGTTGTTTCGATCATAGGAGCGAGCCCGCACACAATCTAATCTAATCGCCCAAGTCCTTGCCAAGTCGTTGATCAGTCTCCCACGACTCTTCAACTGGCCAGCCGGGACTTCTGGCACCGCTCTACCAACGCATTCATGGTCTCCGAACCAAACTCTGTACATGCTGGCTTTCTTATTCCGGAGCTTATTCTGGAGTCGCAAGCAGCGGGTGCAGACAAAGCAACCAAGGTAAGTCGGACCACGCACCCACCGCCGATGATATCACAGATACTCTCGCCTCATACTCGCCCAACAGTGACGAGTCGACGACGGCTTCAGATTCATGTAAACAGAGGGATTCGATCAACTGCGGTCTCTTTTATGCCGCTCAAACTCCTTCAAGGTACTGAAAGAAGAAGGCATGTATTTACGTGGACGGTTCGGTTGCCGAGTGGAAATAAGTTGTATCTCAATTTGACATGTTCAGAAACGACCAATTCATTCACGACAGGTCATCCACTCAGCACTGTACTGAACCCCGACCGGGGGATGACTCAGGCGTTCTACCTTCAGTATGTCAAATTACATCCACATCGAGCCCGAGGTACTTGGAATATCCTACGCAACTACCGCTACCCGAGTCTATTTCTGATGGTCATATGCCTTCTCAGTCATAGCAGCTACAAACGAACAGGACATGGGAAGTAGATCGCTCTCAGCGCTGCATGTCGGCTGGTGGTCGCGTGAGAAAAGCGCCCCACCTCTTGCACCGACGAGAACTCCTTGTTGCTCCTCGGTGCCGCCTCAGCTCCCACACTACTCGACGCCCGTTGTCTCATCCAAAAAGACACCGGAATAACAGGAGATATAAAAGTTCGCGGGGCAGCTCGACTTTCCGACATCTTCATCCCCATCCGCCAAAGAAACAATGTCGGTGATCACTCGTCCTCTCGGCGGCTCCCGTGTCTCCGCCATTGGCTACGGCGCCATGGGCATCTCTAGCTTCTATGGACCTGTTCTGGTGGATGAGCTACGGATGAAGGCACGGCTTGTGTCTTAATTCCATAATCCCCATCGCTGACCGTGGCGATACTATTATCAGGCACTCAATGCTGTCTACGAGTCAGGGTGCACACACTGGGACACCGCGGATGTCTACGGAGACAGCGAAGAGCTTATCGGCAAATGGTAAAGTCTCACACACGACGTTGTAATCCTGCGTCGTTAATTATAAGATCCACAGGCTCAAGAAGACCGGCAAAAGAAACGACATTTTCCTGGTCACCAAGTTCGGCATGACGATGAACCGCGAGCCAGGCGGTCGAGCTGTGAACGGAGAGCCGTCCTACGCCGCTGCAGCAATTGATAGGTCTCTGAAGAGGCTTGGTGTCGACTTCGTCGATCTGTGGTATCTTCACCGGTGTGAAACGCTTCTAACTCTCCACCTTTTCTCCGCCGCTAAAACCCCGTACTCATACAGCGCTGATCCCAAAGTTCCTATAGAGGTAGTGTTTCTGACTCAATGGAGCTTCCCAAGGTACTCAAGACTGATATGACACCGCTGTCTTAGATTACCGTCCGCACGATGGCGGAGCAAGTGAAGTACGCTTGTGCACAGTTCTGCCACCGACCCTCCTACTGATACGTCTCGTATTCTCGCAGGGCTGGCAAGGTCAAACACATCGGCTTGTCCGAAGTCTCGGCCACGACGCTGCGCCGCGCGCACGCCGTGCACCCGATCACCGCAGTCCAGGTCGAGTACTCGCCCTTCTCGCTCGACATCGAGCACAACGGTGTGCTCGCGACCGCGCGCGAGCTCGGCGTCAAGATCGTCGCGTACTCCCCCGTCGGCCGCGGCCTGCTCACGGGCAAGATCGTGCGTCCCGGTCCCGCCTTTCTTCGCCGGGGACCACACTGACCGCCCACCCGTGGCAGCGGTCGCCCGACGACCTCGACCCGACCGACATGCGCCGGCTCCTCCCGCGCTTTGCGCCCGCCAACTTCCCCAAGGTCCTCGCCGTCGTCGACGGCATCCAGGCGATCGCGGACGCGCACGGCGCGACGCCCGGCCAGGTCGCCCTCGCCTGGGTCCTCGCCCAGGGCGACGACTTCCTGCCCATCCCCGGCTCTACCAAGCCCACGGTACGTCGCTCCGTTCGGCTCAAATGTGAGGTGCGAGGGCTCACAGGGCGTCGTCCACCACGGGGCAGAACATCCACGAGAACATGGCCACCGCGGCGCTGCAGCTCTCGCGGGAGGAGGTCACCGCGATTCGCACGCTCGCGGAGGGCGCGGACCTCGGGGAGCGCTACCCCGCCGCGTACGCGCACCTGATCAACGCGGAGACCCCCGCGCTCGATGAGGAGTAATATGGTTGCGTGTTTGTAGTTGGACTATCGAAGTGTTTGCGTCGAACGCGCGTTCCTGATTGAGTTACGACGTAAAGAGAGACGTTACGAGGAAACAGTGAATGCATTCGTCCCAATAAACCCTACGATCGGCACAGCAAGACAGACGGATGACAGGGTGAGCCACAAATCTAAAGAAGAGACTGATACCTGGTGTTAAATAGGATAGCCTGATCTGCAGCGATCGAGAGTACGAACTTCGTCATTCAGAGGCGGGGCAAACCTATACTTGAGGGTGTTCTTCTCGCCTTCATGCATATGCCGTGGCCTGGTCGGTACAGCACGGAAGGTCGGTAGTCCTGGCTGGCTGTAATCAGGCGAGTTCCCGAGACTCGATCTTCGACTAAGTAAGTGCTAGTTGAGCCCGGGGATAAGAGTGCATGAAACAATGCACCAAGAAGGCCTACCCACCTGAAGCATTAACGCGCTGAAGGCAAAATGCATAAAACCACAACTCTCGGATACACTCACTGCTTCAAGCGCTAGCAGGCAGATGTTACCTGCATTCGCCCTACCTTGAACCGAGAGTCGCACCACTTTGTACATATAAAATATGCCGAAAAAAACCACAAATATCAGATGCACTCCCAAGGCTTCCTGTACTGTGGCAGCTCCCAGTACCGCTCCGCCCGTTCACACTCCTCCTCATAGAACCCCCTCGTCGCCGCCCCAAACTCCGAGTCCAAGCCCTCGTGATCCTCGACGTCAGCGAGCCACACAACTTCGTCCACCAGCCCGCGCAACACATCCAGCCCCTCGTCCACCGCGCGCTCCACGTCCCCGCGCGGACCCCCTTTCGCTCGCGCCTGGCACCAGCGCTTGAAGTCGAACGGCTCGATGCGCAGCGACCGCAGCCGTCGAGCGCGCGCGAGGTCCGCGAGCATCGCGAACGTCCGCGCGACGGCCGCGCACCCCGCTTCGGACGCGCCGCCGGGACAAGGGAGCCAGACGTCGAGCGCGACGTTGCGCAGGGCGGGGCAGCGGTCGGGGGCAGCGAGGACCTCGGTGAGCGCGCGCAGGATTCCGCGGCCGAGACGCGCGGCGTCCGCGACGTGCGGGGGCTGCTCGGCGAGCGCGTCTGCGTCGGGGTCCGACTCGAGCGAGGACGAGACCGAGGGGGGAGGGGTGGGGAGGAGGCCGGCGAGCGCGGGGTAGGCGTCGCGCTGGATGTTGAGCGTGAGGACGACGAAGTGCGCGAGGCTCGGGAAGTACGGGAGGATGTAGCGGACGTAGTGGCCGTCCGCGCTCGTGAGCGCGAGGTGGAGGGTGCGGATGTGGGCGAAGGGCCATATGAGGTGGATGATCTTGAGCCACGCCGTCGCGTACTCGGGCCTCGTCGGGAACCAGGTGCAGATCATGCGCCCCTCGGCGCGCAGGGAAGGGTACATGGGATCGCCTTCGATGACGACGTGGACTGCGGGGCCGTCGCGGGCTTTGAGGCGTGCGAGGTGCGGGAAGGCGGTGAACGGGCGGAAGAGGGGCATCATGAGCGAACCGGCGAGGAGCCCGTCCAGTTCGTGAGCGTGCCGGTGGGCGTCGAAGGCGTACAGGTGCAAGTCGTCAGGGGCGTGAATGTGTGTGATGAGATGCTTTCCAAAATGCCAGTGGAAGTCGATGAGCGTCACGTTGCGCAGGCGGACCAGAGGAACGATGGGCCAGCAAGGGACGTTCTTTGGATCGGGCAGGGAGTCAATGGGCACACTGCTGATGTGTAGGTATTGAAGCTGTGGAGTGCGCGAGAGGAGTTTGAGCACGTCGCCGGTGAGATCGTAGGCTTGCATGTTCGTCGTCTTCAGAGATAGGTATAGGTGTGTGAGGTGAGGGAACGAGTCAGATGGAAAGTCGAACTGGACAGGTACGATCGCTAAAGCTCTGAGAGGAGTGACACCGTCCCCGAAGATGCAGTTTGAGATGTCAACGCGCCACCTTGGGTCGTTCGGGATGTCCATTCTATAGGATATTGCGAGGCACTCCAGGAGCGGTGCGCCAGAGGGGAACAGCGTCGAGTAGTGCCCTGGGAATAGTCCGACCACCTTCAGTTGGAAGCTGCGAAGCTTGGCAACCCACTCGGGCAAGAGTTCAAGCACATGGGCCCTCTGGCGTACTATGAGGGTGACTTTGAGGGGGGCGTGAGCAGCTCTAGTGTGGAATAACTGGCTTACGTTGTCTAGCGCAGCTTCTCTGTCGACGTCGACGAACAGGCTGGACCACAAGGTGCTAGCACCGACTATGAGGTATCGCCATCGGCGACATACGCAGGCTAGCCGCAGGAGGGGAACAACGTACTCCGTGTGGACGATTTTGCGAGCGGGCGGCAGGTTGTCGTCCATTTCCACTGCCACACGGGGGAGAGGAGGTTGGGCGACGAGCTTGCAGATGTACAGGAGCAGTTCGTCGGGGAGGGGGATGCGGCTACCGACATATCTGGGTCCTGTATGCTGCCGGGTGAGCAAAACGTATGCCCGAACCGAGGAAATATATAATCACCTGCTAATTGACGCTCCAGGCGTTGATGAAGAACGCAAGCACAGGGGAACAGCCTCTGCCACGCTGGAGTCTGTAGTTGATGAGGATCACTGGTTGTGGGGGTTTCAGGCCAGCATGTGCAGTGCACCCGCTGCACCCACTAGCCACGTACATATCACGACAGGCGCGAGGGCCGCCGGACTCCGGACAATTCGAGGAATGTTCCCACCCCCCGGCGGCCGTTCCTGTAAATGAGTAACTGCAAGAACCAGATTCAGGGGAGGGGCGCAGAGGGTAGCTCGGAACAATGCTCGACTCGCGTCTGGCAGCAGCATGCAAGGGTGTCGGCAACCGGGAATAGCGCGGTCGGTGCTGGCGAGCAGCGCCCGTCCAGGCCCCGGCCACCGCCCGGGCGGTTCAAGTTATGTAGACCATGTTCTGATGGTCGATCCGTAGGCTGAAGAAAGGTGTCCTGTTCGAAACACGTCTTTGACATGGCTTACGATATGTGAGGGGCGGCTCAAACGGCTTAAATGGTGAAGGTTTCGTAAATGCTAGACGCATGTATGTCGCTCTGATAGTCTTCAAGAGCACACTGCAACGTCGAGAACAAGCGACGCCGAAGACGCGTCCAATGCAACACAGGATAAATAGCCAGAAACCCGGGATACAACGTCGCCGAGAGATGGAGTGGACAGGGGTAGAATATGCGAGCACTCGTACTCGACTTGAGGCGAAGCAGTCGGAAGACTTCACCGGCCCTCTGACATTTGCGCAAGGTAGTCGGACAGCTGAACCGCCGTTAGAATCGCAGTGCGAGATGGCGTCCGGGATACCCACCTTGAGAGCCCCTTGCCGAATACTGTCGCCGACGTTTTGGACGTCTGGGTTGGCGAGGACCTTGGAGATCGCGTCCCGTGCGGCCATCTCTAACCCGTTGAGTGTGCCGTCACCAAGCATGCCTTCACCCGAGCCGCCGCCACCGCCGCCGCCCATGCCCTCATCTTCTTCCTCCCGGCCAAAGTACTGGTTCGACGAGATCGACTGCGCGCCCTGGAACGACTGCAGCCGTGTCTGCGCCTCGGCGACGGCACTGGGGTCGTACGAGTTGCGGCCAAAGTACATGTCGGAGGAGATCGCCTTCTGGCTTCCAAACTTGTCGCGCGCAAACGTCGGCGCGTCTTCCGATGCGGCGGCGCTGCAAACATACGTCGGTCCACAACCAGGTACAGACATCGCGAAGTACTCACCTCGTGGCCGCTGCCGCGACGGGCACCGCACCAAACCCGAGCCGCTTCATGCCCATCCCGAGCCGCTCCATATCCTGCGCATTGCCCTTTGGCGCCGCGGTGGGCGCCGCGACGGGGGTCGACTTCGCGATAGGTGACTTGGCCTTCGCCGCCGCCGCCTGCTCCGCGGCCGACTTGACCTTCGCCTCCTCCTCCGCCTTCTCGCGCTCGCGATCGTACCCCAGCTGGCGGATCCGCTCTGCCTCCTCCGCCGCCTTCTTCTCCGCCTCTGCAAAGTTCACCGGGGCGGCCTTCTTCGCCCCGAGTCCACCGAGCTTCCCTCCGGCCTTCTTCGGCGCGGCCGCTGCGGCGCTCGTGCTCCCGATCGACGACGCGGACGAGCTCAGGCGGGACGCACCGAGCGTGGACGTCGAGCGCGCGCCGGCGGACGTCGTCGAGTTGGCGCGCAGAGACGCGGAGCTGACCGTGCGCGGGGCGGCGGGGGCGCTCCCAGCGCGGCCGATGACGGGGGGCGGGGCGGGCTTTGCGGCGGCGGACGACGTTTTTGGCGCGGCGGGCTTATCCCAGGACGAGAAGAAGTCGTCGTCACCACCCTGGGCCGCGGCGGGGACAGCGACTGCATCGAGGCCATCCACGGTGATCTTTGCGGGGAATCTGGGGCGTTTGTTGGCCCAAGACGCTTAGCCGCACCAAATAATGTACTCGCCTTGCGGTGTCCTCCTTCACTCGCCGCGCAAGCTCCTCCTTGTACAGCTCTCCGACCCGGCTCGAGTACTTCTTCTTGGTGTCCGAATCTTGGAGAAGCGCAGAGCCGCCGTGCTTGTTGAAGAACTCGGACGCGGAGGCGTTTCCTCCGACTTTCATCGTGCGCAACTGGTTGAGCTGCCAGCTGTCGAGGTTGGTAGACCTGCGGAGCGGGAGCCTCAGCCATCTGCTCGTCAGCGGCGACGGTTCCGACGCACCGAACAAACGAGATGTGAACGCCCATGTTCCTATGGACACTTGAGCAGTCCAAGCAGATGTACACTCCAAAGGTCACGCTCGACCATGTCGGATTGCGAGCTTGGCAATCGAAGCACATCTGTATATGCGCTCGTCAGGAACCCGTCACACGGGCGGCTCGCGATGCAGACCTTGTTGGCCTTCTGCGCTTTCAGGACCTTGAACACTTGCTCGGTCTCTGCTTTGGTGGGGTCAGACATTTTGGTGGGGCGGAGGTGACTGAAGATGGAGGATGGAAGAAAGAGGACTTTGGCGGGACGTCCTGACAAGTCAGCACACGTGGAACTTCCGGCCATCCGGCCCGGTGCTTTGCGCTGCATCCAGGCGCCCACACCGACACAGGCCTCTCCTCTTGCTTCCCGCCTCCATCGAAGAAAGCCAGAAATTCGAGGGCTTTCAAAACACAAAGTGGCCTGAAAGCATGGGTGTTGTTCTAGAAGATATCTTGCTCATTTTCCGCATCCTGGTTCCACCCTCGTTTCGCTACCCCACACCGCATGAAGTCGAGGAGCTATTCGACCTCTTGCATTCGAGCGTCGGAACAAGCAGGGGAAGTGAAAGGCTGCACTGGACGGCCAGGGGACGGCTCATCGGGACGTCGTCGTCAATGCAAGGCTGAGGGAGCTGCAGGGGATGCCAGTAGAAAAGGTCGTGTGCTCGGCATCGAGGGCCATCCGACGATGGACAACAATACTGGGACGTTTCTGTGGGATGTGATTGTGGCGGACTGCAACGCTCGAAGTACGATGTACTGGTTGAAGTATGTTTGTGTTCTCAGAAAGTCTGTTGACCGCAGCTGGGTGAGGGGAACGACGCATGGGCTCGGCCCATCTATTGACTTCGATCGTCGTACAAATACGTAGCACGGCTTCTATCGGGGAGGCGTCCGTCGAGTACTTCATGGCAGTCCCCACGACAGGCGGCGCGAACCGCGGACTGGTTCGGACCGAGATTACGTACCAGCCACCGCGCGGAAGGGGGCACTTTCGAAGAGTCTGTCGCAGAGAGAATACGGACTGCAAAGGGGAGGCTACTGTCTCAAGAGGCTTTGACCCCCCGTCTCGTCGCCCGCCCACGTCGGTCACGGTTCCGTTTCACCATCCGGCTGGCACAGATCAGAATGGCTCGCGACACAGAGAAGCCCGAGCAGGAAAAGTCGGACAAGGGCAAGAGCCAACGTTTCCTCCGCTTCATTCGCGCCCTGGGCTCCCAGCCCATAGTCATCGTCTCCACACCCAATCTCCGCATCTCCGCTCGTCAGCTGCCCTCTCTGGACCGCACCAAGGTCATAGAACGTCGGCAGGCGGATGCCCCTCCGATCAGCACTGGCACGCGTAAGCATCACACTCTCCCTCAGCTTCAGCATCCAAGCTCATCGAAACTACACAGTCAATGAAATACTAGTACTCCAAGCCGAAGTCGCCGAGCTAAAAGCCCGTCTCGCCTCTCTCGAAGCCCGTATCGCCAAGAAACTCGCCAAGGAGAAAGCTAAGACGAACGAGCTGCTAAAGCTCAAAGCTGAGAGAGAGAAGCTCGATGAGGCACGTCGTAACAGAGGCCACTCCCATCGAGCTCCTGACTGACGCGCGTCCGTCCCCCCAGGAGCAGCCAGTCTGCCAACAACCTGGAACCACCCCCGATAACGACTCGGGTCACGAGGACAAAGACGACAACGGAGGGCTGAAGAAGGGCAAGGAGAGAGAGCCCTGAGTGCGCGATGGCGAGCCGCAGTATCGCGCCGGATCCCGACCACGATCCAACACGACACCTTGGCTCAAGTGGCTCGGGCGGGAAGCTCGCACGAGCGCACGAAGAGTAACGGAAAGCAGGGGCGACACACCGAGAAAGGACACGGCAGGGTTGGAGCGAAAGCAATGCAGTCCGGCGGCCACCTTAGTCCCAAACCACCAGACTGAGACGTATTTAATAGCAAGTGCTCCTGGGTACGATAAGGAGAGATATCGGAGTGGGTCCAGACGGCTCGAATTGAAACCAGACTTTGGATGAATCGGAGTCGAAAAATGACTAAAATGGGGCGGGGTCTTTATTGTTTCGTACCACGCCCGGCAAACGTGCAAGGGTCTGAGGAGGTTTGTTGTACGAGTCCATCTTTGGGACTTGAGGAACACCACTTCGGGCAAAACATGTGCAGACACGTGGCTGACCAGGTGTGTTTCGAAGCTGGAAATGACCGTATTGGTTGTCTTCGGATGATATTGAAACGTGTTTGATTCGGAGCTCACTTCAGCCTTGACAAATCCATCGAGACTTGCAAAGATTGATAGCGACCCAGAACACTTCGGTGGCTCTTCCATCGTGTGTAACGCGTCCCTTGGTGGCTGAGATGGTCAAGGATGGCGGTGATGCGGAAGCAGGCGATCCGACTCGCTATCCGGGATCTACATGGGGCAATCTTATCTTATCTTCTCAAGTCGCCGAGCGGCATTCCCAGCCCTCGGCAACTGGTCGACGCACAACACCGACTCGCCGTAACATAACACTCCGCTGCGGAACGAGAAGGACTCGCAGAGGCACAAGAACAGCTAGCGGAAATGTGGTGACAAAGTGCAAATTGGCCGTGGAACAGCGGAAAGACTCTGATGGTGAACACAAGAACAATGATGCAGGCGAGGGCGGAAGGGCCTCCGTGCGCGAGGACGAGAAGGAAATATGAGTCCAGCCTCGGGGGAGCTACCCGGGCCCTGTGAGTCCCCGACGTCGCGCTCCATCGTCGCAGATATCGACAACGATCCAGCTCACCGTCGGTTCTTCCCAGCTCAGTCCTCAAGCGTCGCAAAAACCGAAGGACGAGAACAGGGCAGAGGGGGGTGACACACCGGCAGGGAGGACGAGAGCGTACAGCAAGATCCGATGGAATATGCACTGTATCATCACTTCAACAGCTCTTCTACTACGCGATCGTCATTGATGTTCGCGACGTTCGCCCCGCGGTAGTTCATCCGCCGGAGCACGTCGATGTGCAGCGCGAGCGGCCGCGCAGGCACCGTTAGCACAACGCGCGGGGGTAAACGCAGAGGAATGCAAGACGCACCACCTTCCCCCGCTCGAACCCAAGTCCCTCAAATTGGTCGACGTGTGCTCGGTCCAGCCCCGCCATCGCGATCTCGTCGCGGACCCCGCCCTTCGGTGCAGCCTTTCCTGCGTCCTTCGCCGGCCCCCCTGCGTAGATGTGTGTCCAGTACCGGGCCGTCTCTTCGAACGAGCTCTTGCTTGTCATGTAGTGCTTCGCCACCTCTGCATCCTGCGGGTCGCGGGGCTCCGGGGAGCAGAGAAGAGACTGGAGGGAGATAAGGGTCGACTTGAGGGTGAGCACGGGCGACCAGGCGTCCTTGAGGATGTCGAGGCAGATCGCGCCCGAGGCGGAGGAGACGTTCGGGTGGTAGACCTTGGTGATGAACTTCATCTTCACTGGCTGGAAGGGGTAGTTGTCGGGGATGACGATGTCCTGGAGAAAAACGCATGATTTGTGATGCGCAAGGAGTGGCGGCAGGGTAAGGAACGTACAACCTGGAAGCGGCCGCCCTCGTAAGGAGTGCCCTCGGGACCGTCGAACGACCCGATGAGATGGAAGGGGCTGTTGTCGACGAGCTCAATGGTGACCCGCGACGACTTGTCATTCTTGCAGTCTAACAGGGACCAGTGAGTTCGCCACGGGGCGGGGCGGGAGGGTTAAGCTAGGTACGCACCTGCGATCTCCTTGCTCACTCGGCGGAGGCGTGCGTCCGACATGGGGTTGCTCGGGATGTGTTGAGGCTAGTATTGATACACTTAGTTTGAGAGAGCTCGGTGAAGTTACAGCAGTGTGGAAACAAGATATAGCACAGGTCAGAAAGAGGAAGAGAGGAGAATTGGCCGGTAAAGGGGTGGTGGAAGGAGGGCAAGAGGCTCGATCGGCCGCCCGCTTGCCGCGATCTCGCTTCCCGATCACACTCCCTTCAAGCTTGTTCTTCGACTACCAGCATGTTTATCCTCTTCTCTGCGACATCCAAGACCAGTGTGGGGCACCTTGTGCAAACATGCGTGCGGGGTTCGTCCTCATCGGCCCACCTGAAACGAAACGCGAAACTCCCGGGATGAACGTATGCACAGACACGAAACGCGCGTATACGGCACGGATACTATCTCTTTGCGCCCATCCATGACCATCGCCATCGGTGTGTGCGCTCCCCATCTCTTCCATCGCATCACGTTCTCACCCGCGGTTGACCCCAGATATCCGCCGAATCAGCGCGGAGGACACGGTCCTGCTCCGGCACTCCGTTCTGTGGCCCGACCACCCCGTTTCGCACGTCCTGCTCCCCGAAGACGCCTCTGGCTTCCACTACGGCGCGTTCCTCCCTGGAGGCGACAGGCCGACTGCCGTTGTCTCCGTCTTCGTGGACGCGCTCCCGCGCGCAGGGTCAGACGACCGCGCGCGGGCGGCGCGCTTTCGGAAGTTCGCTTGCGACCCCGCACGGCAAGGTCGGGGTGTGGGCACGCGCCTGCTCGCGCACGCCTTCAATGCGGCGGCGGCGGAGATGAAGTGCGACGTGATCTGGTGCGACGCGCGGACGAGCGCGGCGGGGTGGTATGAGCGCAGAGGCATGGTGCGTTTCGGGGACACGTTCTTCAAGGGCGATGTAGAATATGTCAAAATGAAGAAGGCGCTGTTGTAGCAATTGACGATTTACGGGTTGACACGATTCTTGGCATGCGCTCGTATGCATAAGTTGTTGTCTTGAAGGAATCGAGGATAAGTGCAAGTGTATGCATGATCGAGATTAATTTGAACGGCGCTTGTAATCCCATGTCCGCCACCGTTGGCGTCGTCGAAGCACTCCTTGTCTCTGTTCTTATCCACCACTTCCACTCTCCCCCTCTCTAATCATTTACCGTAACTTGGAAATATCGCCTTGTCGAGGACAACTGCCCAGGCCCACCTCCTCCCAGCCTCACTCCCTCTGACAGATCCCGGACAGGGAAGACGCTGATGTGAAATCTGAAGCATGGCATGGGCGCGGAAAACTTCGTGCGCGACTCCCTCGTTTTTCCGTCGGCCGAGCCTGGGACCGTGAAGACTGCATATTCAAGTCACAAGCTTGCCAGCCTGGTACCATGTATGTCCGGCCCTGTTCCCTTGTCGTGGCGAACGCGTGCTCAGATCCAGACCCCCAGCATCCTGATTCTCCGACCAACCATCGGCAGCGGTCACGGAGCGCGTGTCTTGTGCAGGCTTATAAGCTTGCGCGACACACAAAACGTTCCTCCCCTTCTTGGCGACCTGGCGTTACCCGTCTTTCAAGAACAACATCGAGCCGGAGCTCTTACCCCTTCGATTCCTTAACTTATGCGGCCTTCCATCTCAGCGCGACATAGGATCCCCCTCATCCTCGCTCTTGGCTTTGTGGTAGACCACACCGTTGCGGACCAAACACTCTCAGGGCCGGGAGACTGCGCGCAGGCGGGGGCGTACACGATCTGCCAGAACTTGTGGGGTGCCGGTGCGTTGTCGTTGTTGATCACTGAGAGGACTCAACACCTGACTTTATGCGCAGACACAGGCACGGGCTCGCAGAGCACGACGCTGAAGTCTGCGTCAGGGAGTTCGGTTGCTTGGGAGACGACGTATACGTGGGCGAACAGTCCCAACAACGTCAAAAGTTGTGAGTAATTACTGTCGAGGATGGAAGGGCGTGGAGTGTCTGATGGTCCATGAAGATGCCAACGTTGACCATAATACGGCGAAAGGCATGCAGGTGCGTTTATCCAGTGATTGTCATACCGAACGCTGCTTGACGCCAAGCGTTAGCTTCAAGACATCGTCTCTGCTCCCACTTCTTGGCAGTGGAACTACCAATCAGCCGATAGTGACCTTAGAGCAGACATCTCGTGAGTATATGCGCTCTCTGTCTTCGATGCTCCCCGCGCTCAACGCCCTGCGCACATACGTAGTTACGACATCTGGACCGGAGTCCCACAGTCAGGTGCCGTCGCGTCCTCCGCCTCTTCGTACGAGATGTAGGCTGTTTCCCTCGTGGTCTGATGCGCCCCCGCTCACGTCGTCTTCTCTGTCCAGCATGATCTGGCTCTCCCAGCGCGGTGGCGTGGGTGGCATTGGCAGTACCGTGGCGCAGAATATCCAGCTGGGTGGACATAGCTGGAACCTCAAGCACGGTCCGAACTCCAACTGGGATGTCTTCTCGTTCATAACCGCGGAGGGAGATATTACGAATTTTGATGCGGATCTCAATGACTTCTTCCGTGCGTATCCCCCACCGTCCGTCCTGGCTTTGCTCTTCCTCCTATGTCCATCGCCGTGTCCATGAACATCCCGCACCGGCGTACGAGATGGTTTTGGACATGGATTTAAGGTGCATCTGGTTGGGGTTTGATCCCAAAACCGTCCGTTGCGTCCTCTAAGACTTTGTTTGCCGGACAAACGACCCCGATCCCAACTCGCCCTGAAGGATGGTCCGGGCCCGGGTGACGCCTCTCGTGTACATCTCTCGACCTGGTATTTGATACCTGCTGTTCTCTTGGTACCAGTCAATCGCTGTTCCATGGACAGCCCTCATTCGCGATTCGCGTGTGGAAGTTGTTCTTGGGTTCGTTCCCTACTGAGAACGGATTGATGCTCCATTAAAAGAGAAAATTGTTATGTCATGACCACATCTCCCTTCCCTCTCGCGAGATTGCTGTGCTGTCCGTGGATCTTATGCCTCGAACGTTCTCCACTATGAACTGTATTGCCCCTCATCGCTGACAGCCCGATCTACGGTCGCGCATATAGTCAGAAAGACTGATTCATGTCCACAGAATACCTCATTGACAACCAGGGTGTAGCCAAGACTCAGTTCCTGCAGGCAATCCAGGCTGGCACGGAACCATTTACTGGCTCCGCGGACCTCGTCACGACCAGCTTCAGCGTCGATGTCTCAACAGGCAACGAGCCAGCGTCCTCCTCATCCTCACCTCCTCCCCCCTCTTCAACTTCGGTCCATGTTACATCATCGTCCTCGTCAGTTGGGTCGAGCAGTTATTCGCCTGGAGCGTCCTCCGCAAGCAACAATGGCCACTCGAGCTCCACGACCGCCGATGGTGGTTCCAGCACAAGTTCATCACCTGCGGAACAGACGGGCGGTACTGTCCGTGGGGCGGGGAATCCCCAATGCGGGCTGCGGATGCCAGGCCAGCAGCGGATGATACGGCGGAGCTGGCTCCGGTCGTTTTTGCAGTAGACGTGGTACTTGATCTTCGCGTTCGTGGGTTCGGCCGATGTTCTGACATGACCCAACAGTCGCCATTCTGCCGCGGGCTGTATCATTTAGATCTTTTGTATCGTTGGAAGTGATTTATTGCATCTGTGTTGTAGGTGTCCGTGCATAAGCGAGCGGCCCGTCTGTCCATTCGGTTGGGATCAAGATTAGCTCTCGAATGCCGTCAAGATAAGAGCTTCAACACGATCTGAGTTCCATACACGTGAGACGCCCGGGCGTTATGGAGTCGGAAAGGCGTTGGCGGCCCTCGTTGATGTCGAGGACACAAGGAACCCACGAGGCAGCTAGAGGAGCCCGGACGTTGACCAGGCAACGCGGTCGGAGATACGCATCGGCGGGTGCTTGCTTACCTCTCGACGCTGGTCGACGACTCCACGAACGACCCGGGTATCTGAGATGATTTCCATCGGGATATAGGAATCCAGTGCGTGCTTACCCACCGAGCTCACGGCTCATGCTCAACGACTCTTCCGCCTCACAGATAAGGGCCTCGAGCGCAGCAGCATAAGACCCCACTGGTGGCGCACATGACCATGTCGAAGCACCGGCAACGCCCCTCATAACGGCCTCGAACACCTCGGTGCTTTTTCCGATCCCACATCCCCCGATGCACACCGCAGCCTCAGTAATTCCCAAGACTCTCGCAGTGGACGCCGGCGAGACTCATTTGTTCGTCAACTGGCCGCGTCGTTCCCCGAGGAGCGCAAGCGCGAGCGCCTTGCAAGATGAGGACGACACGCGCCTCGCGATCGTTATACTTGAAGACGTTGACACAAGCGTAGGTATCGAAACGCCGCGGCGCGGGCGGACCACTTCGCGCTCGCACGGCTACAGCTCCCGCGGCTTGTGGGAGCCCGTTAGCGATGGGGGCGCGGCCCGCGCGGGGGCAGTAGCCGGGGAAGCTCGATGGCGGGGGAAAACGCCCGAGCCGAGAACCCGACATGCACGCGCCCTGTGGTCCGTCGACGTTCGCTGCGGAGCGCAGCGTCGGTGACCGCGGGCGCATCCTGGCGTTCGTCTTCACGGGGGCGAAGCGGCAGGTCGCGGATGGGCGGGCGCGAAGGGCACGAAGAATGAATGAGCGCTGTGGCCGCGAGGTGCGGCCATACCGTTAATTACGCTTGGAGACGTTTATGCTCAACCGACCGCATATGTGCCGGACTAACTGGTATCATCCGTCAGTTCATACGCCTCACGGCGCAAATCCAGAGTGCGAAGAACATATGCGGGCCCGATGACCATGCGTGGCGGCGGTGTGCGCAGAGGTCAGTCCTGGTCCCCGATGTTGTTGGTGCTCATACCACTGCGATAGCGCGAATACCGTACCGAAAGGGCCCGTGCATCTCTCGGCATGCCGTGAGACCATCGTAGACGAAGTGAACGAATCGCAGTCGCGGAAAACCTTGGACGCCTTCTGCGCATTCAGAGGCGCTCAAATATAACGGTTGGACCCTAACTCTGTAATTTTTCGCAAAACTACCGAAGGTGACGCTCAACCCTATCGATTTAGACACGGTCATGGATGCATCCTTGTCGACCGCCCAGTCCCGGCTCATTATCACCGCAAACAGCGGACACAACCCCAAGACCGTCCCTCTTCTCTCCAAGCCCTCCACTTTCCTAGGGGATCGGTGTCTACACCTCTTGCCCTACTACGTTTCGCATTTCCTGAACGCACGGAACCTACATCAGGTGTGCCTTCTGGGGCAAGAACGAGCTTCTCGACCACGCCAACGTGGTCGTCCTCCTCGACGTCGATACTCCATGGGTCGACATCCTCGGCAGCAAGCCTTGCGACGGCGCCCGCCCGCCTCTTCGTTATCGATTCTGAGTCGCTGAAGACGACAACAGCCTGGCACCTCGTACGTGTGCTTCGCCGACACCGAGGCCGCCCTTTCTCAACTCCTTGGCGCGACTGTCGTCTGCCACCACGCCCTCCGCGATGCCCCTCCCTTGCCGCTGTCCGCCTGCCGAGAGCGCCTCCACGCCCGCGCTCTTTGGCGAGAGGATGCCGGCGCCGTTCGTGCTCAAAACGCTGTGCGTCGTCGAGTTAGGAAGCACCGGGACAATGTCCCGGGGTGAGCGGGTGCTATGGAACAAGGAGCGGCGAGGCGGCAAGCCCCTTCCCGAAGGCGTGGGTGCACCGGGGCAGCCGGGGGGCACGGTCGACTCGGGCGCGTCGGGGCTCAGGTAAGTGCGGCCTGGGGTCGGGTGCGTCGTCGCCGACGAGACCTTCCTCTTCGGGGTACCTGCGGCGGGGTACCGCTCGCGAACCGGCAGGGCGGGCCAGCGCTTTCTCTCTCTCTCTTCCCAAGTTCTCCATCCCCCTCCTCTGGCCGGGACGTCGTCGACGCGAGTTCGGATTCGGCGTCCTACGCCCGAACACCCCGCACCGCGCGCGTGGCGCGCAGCTCCTTCTCGTCGCTGTCCTTAACAACCGCGGCTGGGCGGTGGTGAGTGCCGGTTCCTCCCGACTGTCTTCCCCTTCTCCCTTCCCCCTTCCCTTCCCGCGACGCCCTCGGGGATCGCGCCGGTCCGCATCACCGCCCGACCACGCGAGCACCGCCGCCCGGCTGTTCCTCCCCTGCTCGGGGTCTATCCCACCGCCAAGGGCCAGGGGTCAACCGGTCACCGGCCAGCACCGCGACGATCGACGGGCTCTCCGTGTGGGACGGGCCCGACGTGCCCGAGTTCGCGCAGGTCGTCGTCGCGGCTGGGGGTGCCTGGGGCAGGCACGAAGACGCGATCCTCTGCGCGGGTGCATATTGCGTTGTCGCGAGCTGAGGTGCGTACAAAGGATGGGGGTCTCGGTGATGGGGAATATCATGGTGGCATTGGGACGAACGAAAGGAGCGGACGAGCGGAGCGAGTACTTGTAAGGAGACGGGAGGGTAGAGAGTGTCGATGTCAGTGGGCGGGGGAGCCAAGCAGTATTAATGGTATCTCGGTGGGGATAGAGGGGGAAAGGATACAGTGGTGTGGAGACTACTGATACATGTTACACGGCATTAGGACGGATCGCACGTGAGTAGCAAACACAACGACGATGAGAGCGATTTGAGCCAAACAGTGTCTGTCTTTACCTGGAGAGAGGGAGAGAGAGGGAGAGAGAAAGAGGAAAAAGAGCGAAGATCGAAACCCCCAAAAAAACTTCACGAATCCCGCCAAAGCGCGTCCGTGGCCGCATCCTCGTCGTACACCACCATCCCGTTCTCCGCCACGCGCACGAGGTGCCGCTCGAACTCGTACACGAACACCACCCCCGTCACCGACGGGCAGTACAGCCGCAGCTCGCACGCGAGCGCACGCAGCGCCGCGGCGTGCACCGGCGCCGGCTCCCACTCGGACACGTCGACCTCGACGCACCGGAGCTGGGGCAGGCGCATGAGCAGCCCGTAGAACTCTAGACGCTGCCGGCGGGAGGAGGAGGCGGGTGGGATCGTCAGCGCCCGGGGCACACGCGCGAGGACAGCGGCTGGCCTACTTACCTGGCGCCCGTCGACGGGGAGGACGAGTGCGCCGCAGTAGCGGAGGTCGGCGCAGAGGGTGGGGCCCGCGGTGAGCGCGGCGAGGAGCTCGAGCGCGAACGCGGGGGTGTAGGCCGAGTCGGCGATGTCGAGCGCGCGCGGGCGGCGGCGGGAGCGGCGGAGGGCGGCGAGGAGCGCGCGGAGCTCCACGCGCTTCTCGTCCGGTTTGGAGTGCGTGAAGCAGGTCTTGAGGCGGGTGAGCGGGCGCTCGGGGACGAGGGCGAGCGCGGCCTCGGAGAAGGTGCATTCGAGGATGGAGAGCTTGGGGAGGAAGGAGGCGTGGGAGGGAGACGGGAGACTTGGGCGTGGCGGGTCGGAGGTCGTGGCGCCAGAGGCTTGTTGAGGCGTCGTGGAGGGGGGATCGACGAAATCGGCGAGGAAAAGATCGCAGAGGCGTTTCTGGGTAGACAGGAAGTGGGCGAGTTGGTCGTCCCATGTGAGGTCGCAATGAAATTTCTTGAGTTGGAATGTAACGTTTTGGAGGATCCACGATTTGTCGGTCTGCGTACCACCCTGGAAGTGGAGGTTAAGAAATCGGAGGCGCGTGGTGTGTCGAAGGGCTGAATGTAGGGATTCCCAGAAATCGTCAGGAAGCTCTGCAGGATCCTCGTCCTCGGCGGCCTCGTCGTCGCTTGACGAGTCCTGTCCGCTGATAGAAAGCGCAACAACGAGCATGGCCAACCGAGGAGCATGAGCGAGGATGGTGCAGACCGTGGAGGTGATTTCGTAACCGGACAGGGACAGTGTGTTGTAGATGACCTTCTCAGCAGCCATCTGGAACTGCTTGGAGACCGTGCAGAGGGAGAGCAGCGTTGATCTAGAGCTGGAGACATTCTCGACTATCAGACGACACGCGTCGGGGGGAAAGGCCATGAATCCAGAGGTGTTAGGCCTGCAGGACCTTTAGCCATGCCCCATCCGTCCAGCCTATCCCACGACGCACCTCGGATCTACGGGCGCCGAAGGTGGGGTCGAGCGACGTTCCACGGCTCTATTGCGCAACGCGTCAGCTCGATATTTTACCCAGGGCGTTTGCGAGCCACACCTTCGAGTTCCTCGGCACCTCAGTGAATTATAGCCGGGTTATTATCGTAAAGAATCGGGTGCGGGACGCGTTGGGAATGGCGCGGAGCGTCCCCCGTCGCCGTGAGCAGGTCGATGAGCGCTGCGGCACGCCTGAAGTGCGTTCGCGAGTCGAGGCAGGCCGGGGTGGCGCGTCGAGATATAGCTGACGAATAGCCTTCACCGCTGTGCCGGGCAGGTTAGCTCGCCGAGAACATCGGGATAAGCTGCCGGCAGGGGGCGCGCACCTTGCTCTCAACTGCGTGGAACCTGGGCGACCATCCGGGGTAACGAGCGGGGGAACAGGGAGCAGCGCGTCCGCGTCGAGGGGCGGGCTGCGGGGAGATATACCAAGGAATCCGCGAGCTCAGGCCAGGCCGGGGAGCGACTTCGCGGGCTTTATTCAGTCGTGCATTCACCGCGCGGGCCTATCAGCTGGTGGGGGGAGCGCTCGGAGATCATGCCCGACAAGGACACTGACATCACCATGATTGTTGGGAGGGCGAGTGCAGATTACGGAAGGGAGCGCGGGCAACGCGCTGCCCGCAGGCAACCTCCGTTCCTGCCCTGGCCGACCAAGAGCACGATGGATCTGGGCCGGGGCAAGTTGGCTATTCTCGGCAGGGGCAGACCGCGTCCGATGTGAACCTCGTGGCTCTCGCGTGCGCTGCACGCGCCCGTTACCGTCGGCGTGCCCGGGCGTACGCCGACGGTTCGCGGGTGTACCTGGGACGCGTCACGACGGGAATGTTCTCGCTGTCGACTGCAGCCAGGGGCGACCATGAACGTCAAACTCTGCAATTCTCCCCTCGCCGACGACCCCGCCACGGGCGCGCTGGAAGGGACTTGATCCCGAAGGGGCACGCACCATGTCCTCTCATCAGCGCGGCCGCCCGCCAACAGGACGCCTGGGAATCGGGAGGCAGCTTTGCTTCGTAAAAGCACCGAGTTCGACGCCCCGCATCCGCGGTGCCGGGGCGTCTCTTGAGAAGCAGTTCCGCCGGCACCGAAGTAAATAGACCAGGCGGCATCTGGCAGACGCATGCCCCCCGACTGGGCGACCTGCCCGCGCCGAACCGTCAGCCTTCGTCTTCTTATTGTTCGAACAACAGACAAGCGAACTTACCGACGTAACTCCCTCACCTCTCGTGTGGCTGAGGTTGCCGACAGAGCCTCGCCGCTGTAGAGAACCTTGCTCGTTGCCGGAGCCCCGGCTCGGTCAGCGGAGATAGCGACGAATCTTGAGGCTGTCTGAAGGGTTCTGAAGGGTTTGGGAGGGCGCGGGCAAGGTTTTCATCGGAGCCATTCTCCGGCTCCCATGAATAGGCGAAAAGCCGAGCTCTCGGAAAGCATGGAGAGATCTCCACGGTCGAAATGCGCGCGCAGCGACTCTTCTGGGAGACAGCAAGAGCACGGTGGTTAGTTTTGTGCCCACTTGGACGTAGGGCGCCGCCTCGAGACTCGATCGGCCACGTGGATAGACGCACTTCGTCTATTCCCAGACTCATGCGAGATTAAGATCCATTTGAGTCGGGCGGTGGGCGAATTGGGCCTTTCCCGGAGATCCGCGTATGGCCGAGGGCCGTCCGGCGTCCTGTGCGTGGACGTGCTAGAGAACGGCGAAGAGAGGGCGTAGCATTTGAGGAACCGAGTCGACACCTCAAAGGTCCGAAGTGTGGGTGCGGAAATGTGACGGAAAGCGAAACCATTAAAGGGGGTGCGCTGTGTGTGTTCCCTGGGTCGAATTGCGTCGGCCATTCCACGGGTCAGGCCACCACGTTCTGTGGCACGGCATACAAAACCCACTCACCTGACATATCACATTGCACCATTCCTTCGAGGCGGTAAAGTGACAAATCCGCTCAAGTCACTCTTGATGTCGAATCTCCGCAGTAAAGGCGAAGGGCGTAAGTTCTCACCAAATTCTTTAAAGCTGCCGGATCATAGGTCAACTTCGCATATGAACATTTCTGGCGGGAACTAAGATAGGCCGACATTTCGTGTGCAGAAGAACCGGGTTAAAGGCTGAGAACTGGGCGCCTGAGTTTTGGTGCTCTAGTTCATCAGATGCAACTAACTGCGGGATTTCTACGAGATCGAAACGGAATCATGATGATGGCAGCGTTGGTGGTGGTGGTGGTGGTGGTGGTGGTGGTGGTGGTATAAGACAAGCTTAACTTGCAACCGAGACGTTTGCTGGCGCCGGACGGTGACATCAGCCCAGCTTCCTTGTATTTGTATTCGTGGGAATACTCCTTCTCAATGATAGGCGCCTGCGGCCTTACTACGCACCTGCGCGCCCTTGCTCTGGTCCGAATTTCCCTGCCCATCTTCGCAGGACGCTCTGGGTCGAGAGCCGTGCCTATATGGGCCGACTCGACCGTTGCCAGCGTGGACGACGAGACGGAGGTTGAGCGTACCACCGGCCGCTTAGCAACAGCAACGCGTAAGGTCGTACACATAACTATGAGTCTATGAATGCGAGTCAACGAGCTCCTCCGACTCGGATGAGTTGGTGTCGTCCCCAGCCGCTCTGTACCGCACCCCACCAGCTCGTGTAGGCGGTGGTGGGGTGAGGTACAGAGCGGCTGGGGACGACACCAGGATGAGTGGAAGTGTCAATGTCGACTCCAGGAATCGAACTTGCGCGACTGCAGCTCTGGCGTTGCGCACTTCGAATCGCTCCTCTTGACCTAATGGCACGCCCCCCACTGTGCCTTCTTCCAGCTGTCCCGCCGTTTTCGCGCAGGAGCGCGAGTGGGGCCGTGTTTAGTTTTGGAGCGGACCAAATACATTGGACAGCGCGTAGGGCCCGCGCGCGGCGCGCGCCGTAAGGCGCGACGTCTACTTGCACGCACCGCGAGCGTCGCGATGCCCACGCGCGCTGCTCAGACGTTTGCCTCGAGTGTCACGACGTCTGCACACGTCTGCGCACGCGCCACAACCTCCACCGCTCTGCGGCGACCCTACACGCACATCGATCTTTGGATGTCATTGCCACCTAGAAATGTACTTCGTTGACCACACGGCGGGTCACAGCGAGCGCGGTGCATCGCAGACGTCGCGCCGTACGGCGCGCGCGCCCCACGCGTTGCCCAATTTTCCTGGCGCTCCTGCACGAAACGGCGGGACAATTGGCAAACATATTGCAAAGGTTGCCTAGGGTGGCGCACCGTGTGACCGTCATGCAGCGATACATCTCAGACTGCCGAGAGTGAAACTTGGCTGAAATGATCCCCGCCAAAGCACTTCGACCGCCGCTCTAGACGGCCTGGAAATCCGATAGCCCACGCCGCCTAATAGTTCCTGGAGGTCACATCCTTTAAGCTGCGCAGACCGAGGACGCCAGCATCTCCATCCTCATTCCTCCCTCTCCCTCTACCAATCTAAGTACTATGTCCACCCCCCGCGTCTGGTTCAGTGAGCACCTTGTCCACCCCACCCTCCCCCGCCGTGCTCACGACCACCCGCAACCAGTCACCGGCTGCTCCACCGGCATCGGCCGCGCCCTCACCGAGGTCGCGCTCGCCAAGGGCGACGCCGTCGTCGCCACCGCGCGCAAGCCCGCGACGCTCGACGCGCTCGCCGCCGCGCACCCGCCCTCGCGCCTGCTCGTGCTCGCGCTCGACGTGACCGCGGAGGACGCGGTGACGGCCGCGTTCGCCGCCGCGAAGGCGCGCTTCGGGCGCGTCGACGTCGTCGTCAACAACGCGGGCTGGGCCAACGTCGGCGAGGTCGAGGGCCTGCCCGAGGCGCAGTGCCGCGCGCTCTTTGAGACCAACTTCTGGGGCACCGTCCGCGTCACCAAGGCCGCGCTCGCGTTCTTCCGCGACGAGAACCCGGCGGGCGCGGGCGGGCGGCTGCTGCAGATGTCGTCCTACCTCGGTCTCGTGGGCTTTGCGGGGAGCTCGTTCTACTCGGCCTCTAAGCACGGTGAGCTTTTCGTCAGCGGGGCGAAGACGGAGGGAACGGGGCTGACGCACTGGCGGCAGCGATCGAGGGTTTCACGGAGTCGCTCGCGGGCGAGCTCGACCCCGCGTGGAACATCAAGGTGCGTCTTGCTCGCTCGAGCCCCTTTCCTCCGCGCGCCCGACCGCCGACCACCGCTCCTCTCCCTCTCCCCGCCCTGCGCGCAGGTGACGCTCATCAAGCCCGGCTGGGTGATGACCGAGGTCAGGAACAACGCGGTCACGATGATGGCGCCCCAGCACCCGGCGTACACGAACCCGGCGCTCACGGTGAACATCATCCGCGCGCTCGAGGGCAACCTCCCGCTCGAGTGGAAGGACGCGACGCGGTGCGCCGAGGTCTTCTACCGCGTCGGCTCGATGGACGTGCCGCCGCTGCATCTCGTCGTCGGCCGCGACGCGATCGCCGCGGCGCGCAAGCAGCTTGCGGACTTGTCCGCGTCGATCGACCAGTTCGAGACGTGGTCGGAGGGGCTGGAGATCGCCCTGGCGCCGGCAGCGCCGGCAGCATAAGGAAAGGGTGTTTGGGGTGCCATGGGGGATGAAACGATATGCACCGTGTACTCATACCTGCACTCGAATCGCATACAACCTATCAAACCGCCGTGAAAATACCCTCTCCAGCCCTGCCCCGTCGCCGGATGGTCGAAGGGTAGACTCGCACCCTGGAAAATGCGAGAGAGGCAGCATGATCACATACCGTTGGTATACTACTGATACAGAGACTCCGAAGTCCGCGGTCGGCGCGAGGTGTATATGCGCGGATCATTCCAGCTTCTCCAGCTCTTCTAGCCTTGCTAATACGACGTCTTTACTTGTCTCCTCAATCTCTCCCGCGAGGAACACCTCGTCGAGGATGGCGTACACCTGGCGGGTGAGGACGAGGGGGTAAGAGAACAGTGTGTGGGCATGACAGGATGCACACCTTGTAGAAGTTGAACACCAAGTCGAGTTCGCATACGTTGTCGAAGAACGAGTCTGGAGGATGGGGGTGGACAGGTGTCACAAGGATAACCTCATAGCAAACTATAAGGAGGCTCACCGAGAACCTCCACAAAGAGGTGGATTGCCTCGAGGTACGCGAGCTCGTTGTCGTTCGCGTCGACGCAGATGCAGAAGAAGAGGCCGGCATAGCGACGGTACACGACCTTGTGGTTCCGGAACTGCGCGCCCGGTCGGCGACACGCTCTAGGGGCGCAGAGAGAGGCAACGGGCTCACCTCGACGAAGTTCGACTGGTACTTCTGGTCTCGCGGCGCGACCAACCGGTGCACCTCTCCTCGCAGGCGGACCTGGTGCCATGCATGGAAATGAGAATCCGGCGATACAGCGCGCGCCACGGGAGCTGACCTTCTCGTCGTCGTCGTAGGGCACGTACCACTTCGAGAGCCGTGTCTTGCCCTGCCGGTTCTGCGCGGTGGCTGAGCTTGGGCATGCGATGACGCACATGCAAGGACATACCTGGACGAGAATGAAACGAATCATCGCGCGACCGTGGACGCTGTAGCAGGGAAAGACTGGGAGGCACCGAGAGCTGACGAAGGGCGCAAGAGGTAGGGGAAGCACAGGTGGGCTGCGCCTCCCGCCTCAGCCAGAATCAATCTTGACGCCTACGCTTGGTCATGGGTATGACGGGTGGACGCTAACGTGCTGCACGGTCTGTCTCGCAAGTTCGATACCCGGTGTTGGAGGATTAAGGAAGTCAAGATAATCCCATCCCGCGCTGGGGTCACGGAGCCCTAATTTGAAGCTCTTCCCCATGCAACTATCCCGTCACCAGCAGACACACGCACACCAGAAAATGATCCCCAAAAGCACATCCATTACTATACAATCAATAAAACACTAAAGGATGCGCCGTCTCGCGGGTCCTCGCAAAGTTCTCCATGATGTGTGACCAGTCACCGCACCGTCTCGGCGTCGTCGTCGTCGTCGACGACCGCCAGTCCTCCATCCGTTCACTCGAACGCGGCGCCCTTGGCCGCCGAGACCCAGGCGGCGTCCGCGCCCGGGAACTGGAAGGCCATCACGCCCGCGTTCCAGCCTGCGGCCTTGGCCTGCGCGACGCACGTGCCGAGCGTCGCGGGGTCGATGAACCCGTTCGTCGCGTCCGACTCCGCACCGGGCTTGCCGATGACGAGCTTGTTGATGTCGAAGCCGTTCGCGGGGATCTCGAGCAGCGCGGAGCCGTTGAAGGGCGCGCCCGCGGTGTTGATCAGCCCGTCGCAGTCGGCGTACAGGCCCTGGTTGTAGAACTGGATGTTGTACTGCGGGAGCGGTCAGTCGGACGAGCCGAGGGAGGAAGGGAGGGGGGCGACTCACGAAGTCGATCTGGTCGCCGACGTTCTTGTTGATCGTCACGTACGCGCCGCCGCCGAACTGCGCGTTGGGCGCGAGCCACGGCGCGAGCGGCGCGTGGCTGAGGATGAACTGGCCGACGGGGAGCTTCCCGCGGAGGGTCTGGGTGAAGGTCGTGACCCAGGTCTCGGCCGCGCCGTCGCCCTTGTTCATCGCGTCCAGGTCCTCGTAGTCGACGTCGATGCCGTCGAGGCCCTGGTCGAGCACGAACTGCGCCATCGTGTTCGCGGTGTCGACCGGGTCCGCGCCGGACGTCGTGGGCTTGTCCGTCTCGCCGAACGCGGAGACCATGATGTTGATCCCCGCGGCGGCGTACTCCGCCTTCTTCGCCGCCTTCTGGTCCGCGGGCAGGTTCGCGAACGCGAGCGCCTGGTCGAACGCGCCCTTGAGGGTAAGGAAGGACAGGTTGACGACGTTGAAGCCCTGAGCCGGATCGTGTGAGCCGGTGCTGTTGTGGATCATCGATGCGCAGAACGCACCTGGACATCGGTAGCGGCGGGGAGCACGTTGGCGTCGATGAACTTGTCGGTGTAGACGACAAAGGCCGGGCTCGGGACCGAGACGGCGCGGCGAGAGAGCGTGACCTCGGGGAGAGGGGCAGCAAGAACGCTGCTCACAGAGGCCAGCGCCAGCGCAGCCGAGACGGAGGTGATCAAGTGGGAGAAGGAGAACATCGCTAGGACGTGAAGAAAGGAAGTGAAAGTGAAAGACGAAGACGGCGAAGAAAAGACGACGAAGAAACAAGCCGCTCAGCGGTCTTGAAAGTGTAAGAAAAAAAGAAAGAAAGTAATGAAGTGAAGGGGAATGGGGAACTGAGGACGCACCCCCTGCCCTCTTTATACTGCGAGGTGGCAGGCTGTCCGGGGATGTGGTATTCGATCTGCATATGGTGTGTGGCGCATCGGATGTGTCCTTGCTGGGGCATCCGTAGGGGGCGTTCGTCACGAGTCCGCACTGTGCCGGAGCGACGCAACTCCGCAAGGACGCAGTTGCGGACTGGACCGCAATCCAAAGCTGAAAAGGCGCTGCAGAGCGCAGGACAAATTCGGGCTTCACGCTGACATAGAAGATGCGTTGGTGATGGAGATGAAGCATGTCCAGCCGGCGAAAACCCACGTTGATTGACCATCCTCCGCTGCCCTCGCAGTGTTGTGGTGAGGCCGGAGATCTGTGGGCGAGGTGGAAGAGCGCCCTGCGCAAAACCCTGTCGAAACTGTTATGTGGCGTGAGTAGCATCAACGACTGACAGAAACGTGTCAGTAACCTCATGCAGTTGTGCGGCCGTGGATCGTCACCTGGCTGTCAACCGCTCGGAGTGTCGAAAGAGTCTACCTCCGCATTGTTCGAGGTTTTCGGCGTTTCGATCGTATCTTCAACCCACCCCGATCTGACTTGGCATTTCAGCCAAGAGATGAGGCTCTCAGCGTTTTCGTATTGCGTGGATTATGTTCGTATAACGATGCTGGAGCATTGTTGGCGGTGCGTGCGCCGAGTTAAATGAGGGTAGCGAGAGATAATAGTCAGCAGCATTGCCACGTGTTCATCACCACCCATCCGTTGAGCGCCGCACGCGCTTGTTGCGTGTTGCGCCTCCCCGAATCCATTTGCTTCATCTCCGGGGCCACAGAAAGCGGTGCTGAAACTTGCTGCATCTTGACTTCGCACCAACTCCTGTCGTTGCTGCGACAACGGTGCCGGTGATAGCTGACCGGTTGACCAACAGGTGATCTTGCACATTCAGCTCTGTCTCCATCATGCCAACATAAGATCACTAAAACCGCCCTCTGCGCGATCACTAAAACCACCCTCTGCGCATTGCTGGTAAACATGCCACTATCCAATGTTACATATGTACACTTGAAAGTCCACGCGTGCTGCAAATCCTACACAATCGCAAAGTTCCTCGTTCACTCATCTCAGCGCACCACTCACACCCGGTTCGCCCGGAAGCAGTCCAACTCCTCTCCCGACGCCAACCCCTCCGTCCCCGTGTTCCCCAACAGCTCCATCTTCCCGCGTTCACACACCAAACTCACATTGTGATCCCGTCCGTGCTCCCGCGCGAGCCCCCAGATCTCCCGCAAGAGCGCCCCGAACCGCGCGAGCCCGCGCCGGACGCGCTCCCGCGCCGCGACCTCCGCGAACTCGTCCGACGCGAGCTCCTGCCGGTCCACGCGCGCGAACACCCCGCGCTCGTGCACGGCGACGAGGTGCGCGGGCGTCTGGGTGAGGAAGAGCTGCAGGTACGTGTCCTCCGCGGTCGTGCGGTCGACGTACTTGGCCGAGCGCGTCGCGAGCTCGAGCGTCGCGTGCTGCGGGAGGAGCGTCCCCGCGCGCACGACGTGCACGTCGCGCGCCGGCGCTGTGGGCATCGCAGGGGCGGGTGAGGAAGCGGGCGAGGGCGGGGGCGAGGAAGCGGGTGGGTCATGGCAGTGGGCTCTTCGGCGGCAGGATCGGCCCCGAGGCCCGGGGGAGCCCACGCGGTGGGGTCGTTGAGAGGGTCCAAGTCGTCCGCGTCGTTGGACTCGCTCCAGTCGAAGGAGGTATAAGCCAGAGTGGGCTTTCCCGTGGGCTTCGGGTCCTCAGCGATCGCCGCGGAGGTCTCCTGGTGCAGCGCCGTGATGTCGGAGGACGATTCGGGGGACTTGTGAACACTCTGTTGTGCTTCTGCGGGCGTCGCCGCGGTCTGCTCTTCGGGAGAGACACCAGGCGCGGGGGCTGGGTCCGCGGAAGTGGAAATTTCGATAGGCGGCCTGAACAAGACAGTGTCGGACGTGCATGCGTCGACTTCGTAGCGGACGAGCAGGGTGAGCCCGCCGAATTTCTGCAACCACAATCAGCAACTGCGTCCCGAGGACGCTACCGAGGACTGTGTGCTCACATATTTGACCATTCGGAAGTGGTTCGTGCCCCGCTCGCAGCCCTCGAGAGGCGCGGTGGCAGCGCGCACGAAGTTCGCGCGGCATCCCGCCTTGGGCGGCCTGACGTACTCCCGGTCAAACTCTGCCCAGCGGTGCATGACGAGGGTCTTGTCGCCAGCGAGTTGGAGGTCGATGCGGAAGTCCCGGCGCGCTGCCCAGGAATCGATTTGCTTCTGATTGAGATCTGGCGTCTTGCGGTCGCCGGCGAGGGGTGCGTCCGGATTCAGATTGGCGTCGGCGTCGGCGTTGGAAGAAACCAAGGGCGTGTGCGCGTCGTTTTCGGTGGCTGCAAGAGGTGTAGATGCGACCTCGTCCTGTGCTTCCATCGCATGACGAAGCAGTTTTCGGAGGTTGTTTCTGTCCGTGACGATGTCCACTTCAGATAGGTCGAGCGCAGACAGGTCGTGCACCTCTTCGCCTGTGGACGATTCGTCGTTCCGGAAAGCCTCGAGAGCGCGCAGAAGGGGTAGCAGCTTGGACCCGCCTCGCATGTAGTACCCGTTCTCATGGTACAGCCTGATTTCATCGTCAAACTGAACCTGGATTGGGAGGTCGTGGTCCAGCCAGCGGACTGGGCATCCTGTAGAGATACGAGTGTCAACGCCCCACCCATCACAAGTTCGGAGATTTTGAGCCTCACCTGGGGCTTCGATAATCGGCTTCTCATCCGCAAGGTCCTTCCTCCACGAGTACGACCCAACGCACTCAAAGTCGTCAAGGGCATGTGGACCGTCCGGAACCTCGACGTCCTCGGGCACCTGGATCTCCATGATCGCGGGCTCGACAAGTCCTCCGCGCAGCTCGCGCGGCGGCGGCAACCCCTCGCCACGATCCACGAAGGTGCGCTCCGTCCAACCCCCGCAACCACGCCCGCGTCCCCGCCACGACCCACGTCCGCGGAACGCTCCCTCTCCGGCGGTGTCGTCCCCGGCTCCTGTCCATCCCGAGGCGAACCCGCCGCGGCCCCGGAAACCGCGACCGCGCGCCCCTCCGCGCCACCCACCGCGGCCCCGACCAGAGTCGTCGTCCGTTTTTTTGTCGTAGTTCTCCCAAATGTTCGTTGTGCCGTTCGGCCGCTCGGCGTCGACGCCGCGAGCCCCACGGCCGGCCCCCCGCCATCCGCCACCGCCGCCGCCGTTCGCGTCGCCGTCCGACGACTTGTTGAGGTTCTCCCAGCCGGTGGTGCGCCCGCCGTCCGTGTCTTGCGTCTGTGTCTGGGTGCCCCGGCGCGGGATCCACTCCGCAAAGACCCCGCCGCGCCCCCCGCCGGGCGTCGCGCGGAGGCCGCGGGGGACCCAAGGCTGCTCGCGCTGGACGCGCCAGTTCCCGTCCGCGTTGCTGTCGTCCACCCAGGACGAGTGCTGGACCTCGGGCGTGGGCTTGTCCTGCGAGTGGTCGTCGGCGGGCGGCGCCGCTGCGGTGGGCGCCCAGGTGTTCCCGGACGGGTGCGCGAACGGCTCGGGAGTGGGAGTGGGAGTGGAGCCGGGGCGAGCCGGAGCGCGCACGAGCGACCCTCCGCGACCGCGATCAAAGGAGCCGCGAGCCCAGGCGCGAGGGCGGAGTCCGCCGCGCGTCGACGTCGTCGTCTCGCCGTTCTCAGTGGGCGCTGGATCGCCTCCACCGCAACCCCAGTCGTCGGGGGAGGATTCATAGGCCCAGGGGGAGGGCTGGGGTTCGGGCTGAGGAACCGGGCTCTGAGGTTGAGCTGGCGGCGGCGGAACTGGAGGTTGAATCGGAGGCTGTTTGGGAAGCTGATGCTCAACGTGGGTCGTGGAAGTGGGCTGATGCGTGCTCACGTCGGGAGTGGATGGGAGCGCTCCGCGTCCGTGTCCGCTGTTGGTAGGCTTGGGAGTCCGAGTGTGGCCCCACTGGCCCCAGTCGTCGGGGGAGGATTGGGGAAGCCGAACCGAACGTGGCTGAATCGGAGGCTGAGTCGAAGGCTGCCAATTGGAAGGCCTCTCGACTTCCGTCGTGGGAGTGGAAGCGAGCGCGCCGCGCCCCCGCCCCGCCGACCCTCCGCGTCCTCGTCCACGTCCGTGATCGGTGCCCGCGCGCGTCGGGGTATCGTCTGTGGTTGGCTCGGGAGCGCTTTCATCGCGGCACCACTCGCCCCAGTCGTCGGCGGAAGATTCGTACGACCAGGGAGAGGGCTGGGGCTCCGGTCGAGGCTGACGTTGGTGCTGACGTTGAGGTTGAGCGGCCGGCCTCTCGATTTCAGCGGCCGGGGTAGTGTGGAGGGTGCTAGCATCGGAAACGGTGGAAGCGACAGGCCCGCCGCGGCCGGGCGCCGCCGGGCCACCGCGTCCGCGTCCGCGGTCTGCGAACCCGCGTCCGCGGTCTGCGAACCCGCGTCCACGCTCTGCGAACCCGCGCCCCCTCGCGCGAGGCTGGAACCCGCCGCGCGTCGAGCTGTAGTTTCCGCCGCGATTGAGCCGCGGCGGACCTCGTACGGACGTGGGGGTGATTGCATCGCGCTGTGGCTTGCCCCAGTCGTCGCGCGAGGCCTCGTATACGGCGCGGGACCAGGACGGGGCCGGTTTGTCGAGCGTGGGACTCGTGGCGGGGGTGGTAGGCGCAGTGGTCGGGTCGACGCCGGGGGACACGGATGGGGCAGATCGGGTGGGACTTTGGGAGCTCGAAGTGTCGGGCGACTTGTCGTCCGCGCGATGAGCTCTAGAGGAGCCGTTCGCGATCGTGGTGATGCCGCGGCCGCGCGATGCAGATGCGTTGCGATTGTGGTTGTTGGTAGATGAGGCATGGAAGTCATAGAGAGTGTCCAAACTTGCAAGCGTGTTCGAGTTCATGGGGGTCCTGTTGGCGGGGGTGCTTGCGTCGTCGATGAACCCGGTCGGGTGTCCGCTTCCTCTGCCCACCCCTCGACCCCCACCTCGACCTCCGCGAATTCCCCAGCCACGTCCTCGCGCTCCCCGCCCTCTGTCGGCGCTCACCGATTCCCTGACACTCTCGGTGTCCATATGCGGGGGATGTTTTAGAAGAAGCGAGAAGAGTACTTGTCGAGAAATGGTTGAGTGTTTGCGCTTGCGTCCGCGAAGACCTCTTGTTGGCACGAGAGGAAGTGTATATAGAGGATATGCACCTGCGGCAATGGATGCGTCCTGCAGCACTCCCCGCAAAGTCGCGTGCCCGTCCAGCTTCCCCGCGCGCTCGCTGTCATCTACCGCAGTGCACGGCCGGCACGGGGACGGGGCGCGCGCGGCGAATCCGACCAGGATGGGCAACGGAGGTACCGCAGCAGAACTTGGTGGGAAACACTCCTCTCCTGCGGTATTATGGGACGCACCTGCGAGCTGTGCAGATCCTCCGGATTAGCTCTGCCCTGACGCTGACCCATTCACGCGCGGAGCGGTGCGACTACGTGTATGCGCCGCAGAGACGGAGGAAGTGGTGGGGCATCGCTAACCAAGTTCAAGCAGTTCATGATGGTGGTGGTGGATGTTCGAGTCCAACTCCAAGCGGCGAGCAAACAAATCGACGGCAAGCGCTCCTTCCCAATTTGGCGAATGATCAACCTCCAGCTGCAGGCTGAGCCTCCTCGAGCTCTGGACATCAGAATTAGTTAACAGGCCACACACACTGGCACGCGGCACACAAGAGAAACTACGTGGGCAGCTGGAACGGTGGTGCTGTGCACCCGTCGAATAACGATAACTAACTAGCGCGCAAAGAGAAACACCCAAAAACACATAAAAAACACATCGAAGCGGAACCTGCATGAACTAAACCTTCCGTCTTTCCGCGAATAAAAAACCGTCTGAAATCCCGCGCGAACGCGCACGCCCTCGAACTTAAGGGAGCGCGTTGATCTGCTGCTGGAGCACGCCGTAGACGGTCGCGACCGCCGGGCAGCCGACGCCGGGGCCGTGGAGGTTCTGGAGGGTGGAGAGCAGCGTCGAGATCCGCGCCTGCTGCTCGCCCTTGGAGTTGCCCGTCGGGAAGGGCGCCCCGATGCCGGGGTTGTTGATCATGTGCCCGGCGTTGACGTTCGCGTTCAGGGACTGGGGAGGGCGGACGAAGTCAGCGTCGAGGCGGACGGGCGGGAGAGAGGCGGACGTACGCCGATGAACGAGTCACGGTCAGGGGGGCAAGAGCACGGGATGAGGATGCCGTTCAGACCGGTACAGGACCTGCAGGGAGGAAGGGGTCAGCTTTCATCGGGAGACGGAGAACCAGAGGGGGTGCGTACCCAGTACCATTGGGGTTGGCGCCGCGGGCGACACCGAAGTCGGGGACGAGCGCGGGGTTGACGTCGCGCCGGCGGATGGCGTTAGGAGCGGCGTAGACGGAGGCGAACGCGGCGGTGGCGAAGACGGCGATGGTGGAGAACTTCATGATGCTTGGATGTAGAGCGAGTGTGGGGGTCGTGAGGTGGCGAGGGGTCGTGAGCGTGCTAGAGAGCGAAGACGACGGGAAAACAGAAGGAAAGGCGGAAAGAAAGAAAGGGATGCAAGTACGCGCTGCGTAGAAAGGGTTGGTCGGGGAAGTTCCAGCTGACAAGGAGACAGCAGCGAGCGGGGCCCTTCTTTATACGCTCGTGCGCGCGCCCAGGCTGAGACAAGCGAGCTGGAACGACTTCACCGCCATCGCGATGACTCTGTGCTTCTCTCTCGGCGTGTGAGCGCGCGAGAGACTAGCATGCATCGCCGCGCGATGGCGGCGGCACATCACGGCCTACGCTGCGCACATGATCGGCTTCACTTGAGCACGCTTCAAAGCCGCATCACCATCTTTCCAGCACGATTGGGAGGACGAGTCTTGGGGCCGACAGTCGGAAGCGGTTGAACGGGGCCCACGATGTCAGGGAATCAACGGAGTGTGGAGGCCGTCGAAGGTTCCTTGATGTGAGACAATGCCGCTGGCGTCCACGGGAATACGACTACGCTGGAGAGCGTTATGTCGAGGCCCAAAGTCCACGAGGCGGCATATCTGCGCGGGCTGCTGGCAGTGAGCTGGCACGGTCAAAGTTCGATAGCAAGCTTCACGCACCAAGTTGTACCAAGTTTGTGTTTGAGACCTCGTCCTCCGTACAAGATGCGTAAGCACTGCAAGCTTTCAGCAGCAGCGTTTGAGGAAGACAGTTCGGAACGCGTCCGCTGCGGTGCAAGAGATGGATAGGTCCTTGATGGGCGGCAGTGTCACTCCATCAGCAGCGATCGCAGCCAGCCGTTTACTACATAGATCTGTTTGATTACATAACACATTCCCATCTATAGTGATTCGTGTGAAGTTATTACAAGACTCTATTGCTCAGTCTTGACCAATTCATCATCATACACACCTGCGCAAGGCAACAATAAAGGTACCAGGAGATGATGGCTCAACACCCAGATGGATCCAGAGCAGCTCCACCCAAGTCTCCAGATCCCAAGGCCCACATTATTCACTGCACATCATGATCATGGAGGGTGCCAGTGTGTTGATGGGAGAGTTGAATCACACACAAAGCACACTAGAGTAAGCAACAAAGCCAGTTTATTGCATCCATGTAACATGTAACATTCATCAAGTCAAAAAACGACGTGCATCCTCGAGCCTCAGGCCACAGTCGCGGCCGTCACCATGCACGAGCACCGCCGGCGGACGTCCCAACTGGGTGCGCGGCGCCGCCGCCGCACGTGCATCGCCACAGCGTGCGACGCACGCACACGCGAGCGGGGGTACGCAGAGAGGGCGCGCGCGTACGCGGAGAGGGTGCACAGACGTGCGCACCGCTCGCGAGGAGATTGAGAGACCTCTTTGAGACGATGCGCACGCGCGCACGGCGGTCCGTAAACGCGGGGCGCGGTCGGCACGAGATGACGACGAGGGTGGGGAACGGGGCTAGGTAGGGGGAAACTAGTGAGGTCCTGGGGTCGGGTGCGGGTGTGGGTGCGGGCGACGGGTGGCGAACCGCGAGGCGCGAGGCGCGCGCATCGCCGGGTGGCCGTCACGGGCTGTGGTCCGTGGGCGCGGTCGGGTCGGGGGCTGGGCGGGCGACGGGCGGGAGAGATGGGCTGTGGAAGATCGTACGTTCTCAGTCAGCTTCTGAGGTAGCGGTGCAGGTGCGGAAGGAGACAGGACGCACGAAAGCGGGGGGCGGGGTCCGATAGACACTGGCGGCCGGCTGGGTTGACGAGCGCAGGCGCGGGTGTGTACGGAGCTCGCCCGAACGCGCTGTCAAGGGGATTCAGTCAGCTGATGGAGGAAATACGCAAGAACGACGAGAGAAGGACGCACGAAAGCGGGGGTGAGGCTGCGTAGACACTGGCGGCCGGCGTCGCTAACGCGCGGGCGCGCGAGGTGCGTGTCGACCTCGCGCGGTGGAGGTCGATGCGGAAGCCTGGTCCGCGGGGGTACAGAGTGGTAAAATGGGGGCTGAGGGGGGGGGGGGGGGTGCGTGAGGGGGCGCGCGGGCTGGGCGCGTACAGTGGCAAGTCCGGGGTGGTGAAAGGGCAAATTATGCGGCGGCGGCGGTAGAGTGGGATACAGGCGGGCGCATGCGCGACGCTCGAGTCGCGCTCCGAGGATTCGGAGGCTAGGGTGGGTTGATCGGTGGTGAACTATTGCTACGATTGCTGAGGCTGGAGTAGGAACCCATGAGCTTGTACCACACAATCGCAGGAGAAAAGGGCACACCATGATTGGGATTTTGCGGGGTAACGGAGAGGGTACACCGACCACGATGAAGCAGCGTCTTCGTCGCCTTGGGGCGCATACATTGAGGTCGAATAGCAGGATGTCTAAGTTCTTTGCGGTTGCTTGTCATGGTTTTGATATTCAACATCATTGTGCTCGGGCAGAAGTACAAGGCTGGGAGGTAGGGACGTGGGGAGGTGGGCCGGCCTCTTCAGCGACCACGACTCGCGCAGCGTTGAGAAGCCGGAAAGGCGAGGGCTTGGATGTCGAGTCTGGCGGAGAGGGCGAGGGTAGTGAATCCCAAGCTTCTCGTCCCAACTGCAGTTATACTCCTTCCGATTCTACCGCAGCGAAGTCCAAGGCTCCAGCTGACACAGGCACCGGGAGACCAGAGCTGCACGTATGCGGCCATCTGTATGTGCGATCATGATAAGCATGCCAAGTGGGAACGGGCCACCATGCTGGGGCGAGGAGACCTAGAATAACACCCAGTCAGCTGTGCTGCGGCAAGCCGAAGACAAATGGCAAACCTATGACATGTGGTGGGCCGGGCTATCTTCGCGCACCACCGCGGACAGGGAGCCAACAGGGACCTCACATGAGCACCGGACCTCGGAAGAAAGACCGTGTGCCGGAGGATAGGGGGAGGTTGAAGCTCGCGGAAAGCGCACAACGAGGGAAACGAATACATCTTTGGATTCCTTCTATGACACGTTCGTACACGCAGATTCACACTTCAACGCTCCGTTCGCACCTTTGTCCACACCCTCAATCCTACTTCTGTGCCAGCCCAGCATCGCGGAACTGCTCGAGCGCGTTCCACGCCTTGCCAGAGGTGACGCTCTCCCTCGCCTTCGCCACGCCATCCTTCAGGTCCGACCCGATGCCCGCGACGACGAGGAGCGCGGCCGCGTTGAGGAGCACGAAATCGAGGATGGGCGTGAGCCGCTCCGGGATCCCGTCGCCGCTCTGGAGGAGGAGCTTGAACGTCTCCGCGTTCTCCTGCGGGGTGCCGCCCTTGACCTCGGAGAGCGGGTGCGCCGCGAGCCCGAAGTCGCGTGGGTGGAGGACGTGCTCGGTGACGGAGCCGTCCGGGCGGAGCTCCCACGCGTAGGTGTCGCCGGCGCAGGAGATCTCGTCGAGGCCCTCGGCGCCGCAGACGACGAACGCGCGGCGGACGCCGCCGTCGACGAGCGAGCGCGCGAAGGTGGGGCCGAGCTCCCGCTCCGCGACGCCAAGCACCATCCCCCGCGGGTTCGCTGGGTTGATGAGCGGACCGAGCACGTTGAACATGGTGCGGTGCCTGAGAGAACGGGCGGATGTGTCGGCGCGGAGAGCGAGAGCAGATGAAGGGGGGAAACGTACGGGAGAGCCTTGCGAATGGGGGCAATCATCGCGAGGGAGGGATGGTATTGTGGCGCGAGGATGAATGCGAACGGAATCTTCGCGATGGTCATCGGGGAATTGGCGGTTGGAGGGGTGAAGTAGCAGCCAAGGGCTTGAAGGAGGTCCGCCGAACCTGACGACGAGGTCGACGCACGAGAGCCATGCTGGGTGGAGGCCAAGTTAGAGACAATGCTCCTGAACGAGAGACGGGCAGGTCCAGGAGGAAATACAAGACTTGTTAAGGAGCCAGGAGAGAATGCCAGAACACGAAAATCAATCGAACTGCAAACTTAGGACGCGGGATCTAAGCGCAAGTCGCATTCCCAAGACCCAAATTCCGTGCGCATACACGCCATGGGTAGCATGAACCTGGGCGTCCTCCATCCCACGCACGACCTCCGTTCCCGAAGCGCATACATGCCGCAAAAAACACACCTTTACGACACGCGCGCCGGCTCCGGCCGCCACGATCGCCGCAGTCGTGCTGACATTGAAGGTGTTGTGGCCGTCCCCGCCAGTACCGACGATGTCGACGACAAAATCGTCGTCGATGCCCTCGACGGCGCACTTGAGCGCGCGGGCGCGGAGGACGTTCGCGGCGGCAGCCAGGAACTCCGGGCGGCGCTCGACGCGCTCGATGTGCATCGCGGTGAGGAAGGAGCCAAGCTGGGCGGGGTGGGTCGCTTCGGGAGTGAAGGCGCACTCGAGCGCGAGCGCGAGGTCTTCGGGGGTGAAGTACTCCGGGGTTTTGACGAGCTTGCCGACGATAGCCTTGAACGTCTCCTCGGATACGGCGGGACTCGACATGGTGGGCGGTGGGAGGGGGTGTGTGAGGAGTGGGGTGGACATCGCGGCGATGGGTGGGGGTAGGTTAGAGTGTGACGAGATCAAGCTCTGGAGAAGTTGTAGTCGACCGAGTAGGGTGACTCGGGAGGGCCCTGATAGCTGACGCGTGCGACGCTAAATACGCCGTCTGAACGGGCGGAGCGCGGTGGCCATCGCGGGGCTCAGGCGGCGACCGCGCAGCCGCTGACGCACACTGGTCCGAGCTCATCGCTCAAGTGCGGCGGGACGGTGGGCATGGCTGGGCGTTCAGTCTTCAGAGCGTCAGAAAACGCGAGTGTAGTGCGGCGCGGAAGATGGGTTGAACGCCGTGCGGGGCGACGGAGCGCAGGGTGGCCACAGAAACGGACGGGGGTGGCTGCGTGCGTCGGTGGGGTCGTCGCCGAGGACGGGGAGGACGAGAGGATGATCTTGCGCCCGCCTGCGAGCCATATGGAGGAACGGCGCTGGGGGACAAGGGCCTGGGACGCGCGTCATCAGTGGAGTTTGTGGGAACGGCGGTTGCCACCTCCGGAAACAAGGCCAAACACGCTCTTTTCCCCCGACTACCACCTTCCCCCCCGCCTTGCCCGCCCCCGCCGTCCCCGGCACTCTTCCTTATCATCACCTAATCCTTCCACGCCTCGTCGAGCTCGTAGACACGCCCAGCATCCCTCTCCACACCATGGTTTTCTCCTCTCTCCTCGCTCTGGCATTCGCCGCCCTACCCGCACTCGCCCAGACCGACTTCTCCTCAGCTCACAATGTCACCGCCATTGGAGGAACATGGAGCTCGGGCTCTCAACAGGTCGTCACTGGCTCCGTGAGTGCCCTCGCTGCTCTTGGCTGCACTGGTCGTTGATCAGGATTGGTCGCAGGGTTTCGCGAACCCGGCCACTCTGAGCTTCACGTATCCTAATGTCACTGGCGTCAGCTTCGCTTTGTGAGTACCGTCGAACTTCCTCATCGGCTCGCGTGTCTGACTTCTGGTAGCTCGGAGGACGGCTGGTACGAGACTGCCCGCTATCGGTTCGTTAGTAACGGTAAGTTGTCATCTCCTGTCGTCAAGCCAGCTGCTCGCCCCCCATCTCTCTCCTACTCCCATGGTCCACCTCTCCGTCATCTCTGCGCAGGCGTTCGCGCTGCGCAGCGCGCCCGGCAGACGCAATCCCATTCACCGAAGGGCGATGTCCGTCATCCGCGGGAACCGTTCGTCCCGAAATAGACGACGGGGGCGCAGCAGTTGATGCGGGCTCGGGCACGTTGAAGGCTCACATTCTTCGCGCAGGATCGTCCCCGAACTGCATCACTGGTGTCGTACTCTGGCACCATGGCAGCTACACGTTCAACGACAACGGGTCTATCACCTTGAACCCCCTGGCCGATGGTTTCCAGCAAGTCCAGGATCCCTGCGCGGCGGAATCGAACTTCATCCAGCAATACAACACCACGGAGATCTACCAGCTGTGGTCGATTACGGAGGACACCAACGGGCCCCTGCTTCGCTTGTACGACTCTGGGTCGGCGCCCCTCGCACCCATGTCCCAGGTGTACTCGACCCCGAACATTCTGCCGCAGAAGCTCCTGAACAACGGTACGGAGGCTACTATCACGGGCACGTCGTCAAGTCTCTTCGTCTCCAGCGCCTCGCGGCAATGGGCTCCTGCGGAACTCGTGTCGCTCGCATCATCCGTCTTCGCGGTTGGGGTGGCATCACTGCTGCTATAGACTGAACCGCACCCATTGACTATCGTCGCACACTTACGTACACCTCATCTCCGTCCTGACCCCTTCTACCCGCTGTTAGTCGCGCTTTCCCTCCACCACCACCCTTACTGCCCGGTATGCATACACCCCCGGTTCGCCCACACACGCCCACGGCGCCGCGCCCTCGTCCTCCCACTCTTCCCATTTCGCAATTCCGGTTGCTGCGAGTATAGAGGAGGAGATGGAAGTCAAGGGCACAAACGCCGTCTGCTGTCGCGGGTTCGTCGCCGGTCGCACCCCTCGAGACATAATGGACAAACATTTTTCGTTCAGAGATCGTCTCTCCCGTACACCATTCCACTCGCACCTCTCGTACCCGATACCCGCGCCTGCCCTCGCCTGCACTCTTTACGTACGCGCGCGCACAGCCGTCCTTCCGCATAGCATCATACAACATGTGGCCAGCTGCCAATGCCGACGATTAGCATGGATTCCTTGCAATATGTACCCACCTGGAATCTCCCCCGCGCTCGTTCTGCATGCCTTGCCTCGGTGGCGCTGGCGGGCATCGCCCGCGGCGTTTGGTAGCCTGATGGACGCCGCGCTGATCTCCGGCTGCGCGCGCGGTTGTCGGTCGAGCTTGCGCTACGCTGGCAGAGGCTGGCAGCCGGCCATCGCGGGCGGAGACCTGGAGACCTGGCCCGATATTCGCGACCTGAGCTCGTCGAAGCGCGTGCGTTCGTGACCCTGTGCGAGCCAACCGCAGTCGGGAGACTAGCGCAGCGACTTTGTGTGGAGATCAGGGACCCCACGCGCCATGACAATTTCGAACCCACTCAGATCAACGCGACCAATCCAATTCGGCACTGGATCCGCGCCCGCGCTTCGCCAACCGCGCACTTGCAACGTTTGGACTCCGCGGCGCGCCGCGCACGACGCATGCGCGTCGAGCTCGGGCGGTGCGGCCGGTGAGCGCTGCCCACCGTATCGCCGGTCTGTTCGTCCACTGCCGTCTCTGGCCAAGGCCGCGTCGGTGGCAGCGGCGGGCTGACGTCGCCGGCCGAGCCTGTGGCGAAAGGCTGGCGGGCGAGGGAGGACGAGGCGGGTGATCGAGGCGATCGGGTGGCTGGCCAGTACTGGTGGCGGGTTGGCGACATAACGTATGCATGATTCAGAGGCCAGCTGGGCCAGAGCGGACGCAGCTGCCTGGGCAGGGGGTCGGTCGCTCCTGGTTGAAGGCGTCGGCACTGGGTAAAGTAATACTGGGCAGCGGCGAACGAAGCCTTGGGACGCGGCGCCGTCGGCCGTCGACGTATGACGGGCTTGACATAGGGTTGATGCATTGTGCAATGGCGGGGAACGGAGCCTGGGCCGTTCGGACGTGCTTGGCTGTTGACGGTGAGTCGGCGTCGGCGTGTCGATTGCTGGCAGCTGGCGTGAGGTCAGAGGCGTTCGAGCTGGAGGTGCACGATAGCCGGCGGTAGAGGACTTGGAGACGCGACCGCACGGGCCGCGCAGGTTGAACTGTACGTCATAAAAGCGGCTGGCCACGATCAACTTTGTAGCATTGCGCGGCGTGCGACAAGGAGTCGATGCGGCGACACGCCGAGCAGCCGCAGAAAGAGGTCCGCTGCCCAGCATGCTTCAGTGAGCGCAGAAGTTATGATGTCGTTGTTACCCACATATGCTGTTGTTGCGCATGTGGCAGCTATGCGGTGCGAGAGAGATCACCATGCGAAGAGCAACGAGAGCCAGACTGGTGAGTCGGGAGCAGGAAAGTTCTGGCCAGAGTAAAAGTCCGAGTTATCGACTCGCCGCTCGTGTATGATGCTGACAAATGCAGACTTCGAGTGGCCACGTGGCGTTCGGTTCACGGCAACTTGTTGAATGAACGGTCCTTCTACGAGTTGTTTCTGAGCTTGAAGTTTGACCGGTGGTCTCCCTTCCGTCCGCCCACTTTGCTCACGCTTGAAGAGATTGATAACTAGGTCACATAGTTTTCTATATCTCTTTTCTGCACACCCAAAACAATCTCGTGCTGACCCTCGTGTCTGGCAGGCAATATCCCGACGGAGCTTCGACGACATATTTCCGTGGGAGGGGTTATGGTATGTTTATATTGGCTCCCGTTTAGTGCGTGAGGCTGACGCGTAGTCTTTAGTACATCCGACTCTGCGCGTAGCCGCACAGTGCACTCTTGTACTAGAGGCTGCACACTAGCACATACGATGCTCGAGGCTGTCAACTACAGCGGTAAGGTAGGTTCGTTAGAAACACTCGCTCTTATCGTTGTCCGTCTGACTTCTTCGGCTCCTCATTAATCATTCCTTGGACGCGCCGCGGGAAGCGCCGCTCGGAAGCGTACGACGACGCGATCTGGCAGAAGCTCCGGTTGTGGTGCGAGGGCGCTGCTAAAGAGTTCGTCTGATCTCACACATCCTCTGCTTATCCAATCCTATTGCGCAAGATCCATCGCAGTCGAGCGAAAGAGTGCACGATCCTTCCGCATCAAGACGTTCGACCAAAGCACCGCCGTCCTCCAACTCAGATCTTGTCGTTCGTTCCTCTTTTCACCACGTGGTCGTCCTCGGCGGCGCGACTGGAGGGAGAGTTACGCAGGACGTTGTAGTCGTGCTCTACGCGGCGGGCGGCCACACGACGGTGGTCTCCGGCTCGATGGTCGCGGCGACGGTGGTCGGCGTGCCGTCAATAGTCGTCGTCCAGGTCGTCTCGTAGCGCGGGTTGAGCGCGGTAGCTGAGGTGCCAACTTGGGTCCCAGTGAGCGTTGGATGCGCCTGCAGAGGAAGCGGCGTACCCAGACCGGCGAGGACAATGCGGGTGAAGATGGGCTTCATGATGAGGAGCGTACGTTGTCCGCCCTTCGTTTCCTATCTTCCCTGCCTTTTATTCTCTTTGATATCAGCTCTGATGTGTTCGCTGCTGACACTCGTTACTCGCTTGCAGCTGACGAGGGCCTCTAATCGAGCTCGGACGGTCTCAGCTCCACAATCAGTTGCATCCGAGTCCGTCGAGCCATTGCATCCGCCGTCCGGTCTTTTCGCCGCAAGTGCGGCTATGCTCTATGGGAGCACGGTCAATCAGTGGCTGCTGCTCAGCCAGATCGCCCCGTGACGCACGCCCCGCATCGCTTGGCACTCAAAATCGATCCGACTATTAGTCGTTCAGGCCGCCGGTGGGGAACAAGCTGCACGAAGCACGCGGAGATGCGTGCTGATATGTCTGTCTACACATCACATTACAGACCGCTCTGCCGGCACTTCACACCCGTCGCGCCCACCGCCCACCGTGGGCGCATCGCCGCTCGCTCATGCCAAAGGCCCGGGAGTGGGCGAGTCGTACGTCCTGGTCTCCGTCGTGAGGCTCCCCGAGATCGTCTCTGTGAGTGTCGTCACCCAGCGTGGGTACAGGAAGGCGTCGGGCACAATCGTCGCGGACACCAGGGAGGAAGGGAAACGGTGAGTCCGTAGGCGACCATGGGGAGGCGGGCGGATCTAGGGTCACGATCGGATGGCGGTAGTGGGTGGACCATTGATGTGACGTCCGAGTTCTACGAGGAATAATAGAGAGGACATGGAGGATTTAATGATTATGGATGAGAAAGTCACTGAGGGAGTAGTAGGAGAGGTTGACATGTAGCGGTCGAGTTTAATACGAAGCCTGAAGGCATACGAGCCTGAGGGGATCCCTCGTGTCGTTGATGGTTCATGCTCGGCTCGACGCATTCAATTCATGAACAGTAAAACCCTTGTGCGTGGGATGCATGAGAAAGAGATGTTAAGATAGACGAGGGTGAACGTACATACATTTTAAGTCCATCGGACGAACTACGCATAGGCAGGGTCCCACCGCACCTCTTCCTTGTCGAGCATCCAGTAACGTTGTTGCGCCAGGCTCTCCTCTTCGAGCCAGTCTTTGTGGCCCGTCCCGAAAGAACCGGAAAGCCCAACGGTATTGTCCTCGTCGTAATATGTCTTAACGACCTCGCCGACGTCTTGCCCCAATAATGCCATGCATTCGGACACCATGAGGTGGTACTCCTCCCATTGCTGGTCTCTTCTCGACTGTGCACCGGGCCTGTGGTCTTCCAACTCGTCTCCGTCAGCCTCCTCCTTGATCTCCAGAAGGAGACGGTCGAGTCGGAGGCCGAGCCCCGCCCGCGACCCGCTGACCACGCCCCCGACGCGCGCGAACACTTCCCACACCATCCACTCCGCCCATCTCGCGCCCGGAACCGGCAGCTCCACCTGCACGCCCAACGTCTTGAGGCCCGGGCACCGCACCTGGACCCACTGGGGGCCGAGCTCCTGTGCGAGATTGACGAGGAACGCGCGCTCGCCCGCGCTCCCGAAGATGACGAGCTCCTCGAGCGCCACGGCACTGGCGAGCACGGTGGTGAGCCAGCGGTTGTTGCCCGTGTGGAGCTCGAGGTGCATCGTGCGCACGGACGCGAGCGGGAGGTGCGACGAGAGGTTCATGATCCACCCGCGCGAGAAGTCCAGCGGACCGGGGATGCGCCAGGTGAGCTCGAGCCGGCCGCGCGGCCTGCGGGCGAGCGAGGTGGTGTCGGGGTAGGGGTCGCCCTCGGCGGCAAGCGTGATGCCCGAGATGGAGTGGGACAGGTAGAGGCGAGAGAGATGCGGGAAGAAAGGGAGGGGATGGAGGCGCGCCAAATCGAGCATGGTTTCGGGGTGGTGTAGAATGCCCTCTTCGGGCAGGCAAACGTCTTTGAGGTTGACGTGAACGGTGACAGGGAGGTGGAGATGGTCGAGGAGCGCGTTGCAGAGGCGCCAATCAAACCAGACCATGGTGACCCGCTGAAGCTGGGGAAGAGGGACGCGTGGGCCGACAAAGGGATCATGAAGAGGAAAGTATGCTTGAGGGTGTGATAGGTGCAGATAAAGGAGGGCGGGGGTGCCCGAGAGAAGGTGGAGGAGTTCTTCGAAAGGGTTTGGGCTGAGCGCGCGGCTCATCTTGAAGCACAGATGGAGATGAGTAAGCTTGGGGAAAGTTGCGAAAGGGAGGCTGTTTTGGACGGAGTGGATTGCCAGTCCGCGAATTGTCAGGGCCCCGCTACCCAGAGAGTGTGCCACGAAATCGTATCCGTCAACACGCTCCTCGTCCTCGAACGCCAGCGCCTCTTCATCCGATATGAAACATACGCTTTCAAGCGTTGGGTTAAACAGGAAAGGAGTCAAGGGTGGAGAGGGAAGCGGGGATGATTCTGTCGGGCGCGTAGTGTCCGTTTGCCTCCGGTAAAGTTGCAAATGGGAAACAGTGAGCTGTCGACCTTCCAGATATTGGACAGTGGCAGGGAGTGTTTCGTTACTGAAGACGACGGAAATAACGACAGGGGCGTCTCCGGCACGATCGAGCAAGAAGGTGCTGAGCTTGTCAGGCATCCCATCGGGACCATCGACGAGAGCATACTTCCATAGAGCGTGGGCTTCGAGAATAATAGTGCGCCAGGATCTACAGACGTGGAGGAGGCGAAAGAGAGGTCGAATGTACTTGGATTTGACGTCCATCCAAGGGACTGTCATAAGCCTCCGGAAGGATGGGAGGATGGCGGAGTCGGAAAGCAGAATGTGACAGATGAGAAGAAAGACATCTTGTGGAAGTTGATCGAGCGTAGTGACCCCGGCTTCACAAACGAGGCTTTGAGAGGTGACTGTGATCTACCGGCAATTGTAAGGATACAGTTACTTCGGCAAAAACATATCATACCATGTTGGATCTACTGGAGGGAGGTCGGATGAGGCCAGCGACGGAAGTTCGAGATTGAATGATAATCGAGAGGCCATCGTTCGCCGCGCGGGTGGAGCTGAGTCTGTGTTCTGGACTCTAAATATTTAAGCTCCGAAAGTAGTCGGTTGAACGTTTACCACATGGCCCAAGTCAGCGGATCTGTTACGGAAATTTGCCTTTTCCAGTAATCACGCAAGTCACGGTGTTAGTAAGCAGCGCGCGGCTCCGACGCCCAGCCACGAGGCTACCGCGCGCCGTACAAGAGCTCACTTGAGCGCCTCATGTACAACCGGGCCGTGGAGAGTGACCGCGCGCTCCTGCACGTTGCCTCTTGTGCCTGGAGCGTACCAGCGCCCTGACTACGTAGTTACTTCTTCCAGTATCGTACGCAGACGCCTCGCGCCTTTCGTGCGATTGCTCTTTGTATTTCCGTTGACTCTACACGACATGTGAGTGCAAGCAGGCGAGCTAACGCTGCAGCACGCGAATGCACGCGCGACTCACATTGACTCATGTACATCGTAGCTAGCGAATATAAAAGGGCCCGCTTCTGGAGGAGCAATCTCCAGAAGCTGTTTGGGCTTTCGTACCTCCAATCTCCCTCGCGAGTCTCGGCTGGTGCGCTATCTAATCTCGTAGATAGCCGCGCGCGCTAAGGCGTCTCATAAACAGCTTCTACCAAACCCCACACCTACTCAAAACCCCACTCGCCGCGGAATCAAGCGCGCGAATACACGAGTACGGTTCTACCACACCCCCTACACCCTCACCGCTAACGCGACCTGCCTCCAGTGTCCGCGCGAAGCACTCCCTCTATCCTCCCACTCACCGACATCTTCGCCGACGAGTCGACTGCGACTCCACCGCGAGACCGCATCCGTCCCAACTTCCTCGACGACTATCCGCCACCCTACGAACCGGTAGCCAACTACCTCCACCACTTCCTTCACCTCGACCGCACCGCTTTCCCGCGCCCGTGCTACGAAGCGCTCGACCAACACGATCGCACGGTCCGTGGTTACCTCCGCCGCGTCAACACCAACTACGCGGAGTCCTGGGATCTCACCGGTGACTACTCAGACGTGCGCTACGGCCTGCAACGTTTCGAAGCCTACTACAACCTCCGCGAAGGTCTTCCGATCTTCTCTCCCGCGCACTACGAATCCCTCATCACCCGCACCTGTGTCCAGACGGACGAACCCATCGCGTACGGAACTCCCGCTGGAATTCTTCGTGATAAGCTTTCTGCTATCGACCTTGACACCACTACAGCCTACCGCGTGAGCGAGCACGATAGCTATTGGTTCGCAGCAGACTGCACTACGGTAGACGCCGCTCCCGGCACCGCCCCTGCTTACCAATACATCGAAGGAGGCCCCTGGACCCACGTGTTCTACCGCTTCGATTGGCTCCCTAACGGCCGCATTGTATTCACCTTATCCACTGAAGACAACGAGAGGAGACGTACTCGCGTAGCCACCTTTGACAACCTCGATCCCGGCGAGAACGCCTTACGTTTTAATTCTCTCACCCCCAACCTCCAATTCGGCCTCATCCTATACGTCCTACCCATTGGAGAGTACCTAGAGTACCTACGCACTCGCCACAGCCTCCACATCCTCCCACGCCTCGAGCGTCAGCTAGTGTTCCACGCCCTCTACTAGGTTCAGACAGTCGTGTAGACAGAACCTCGCCTAAACAATTCCCACGCGAAAAGCGCTCAGCCGTCTCTTCGCCGACTTGCCCGAATCACTCGACTCCTAGGCTCCGCAACAGTTCCTCAACGTGTCGCGACCACTCCGGTGCGAAGGGCGCTTTCACGCGCACAACGTCGAAGACGACTACGACGCGTACAGACCAGAGGGTACCAGGCAACTCCAACGTTGCGAACATAATCCCTGTCCCCGGCGCTACGACGATACCACCAGCGATATCCGCCGTTTCATCTCAGCGCGCTGGGCAGAGATCATCCCACCACAAGAGGAAGAAGTCGAAGAAAACTTCGAAGACCCCGACGAGACCGTTGTTGATCCCACCACAACACCTCCTTCCGAAACGCCCGACATTAGCGACACCACATCCGAACCTGATCAAGGCCCAGACGGAACTCCGCCACCAACTGTACCACCAACAACGACAACGATGGCGTCACAAATTGACCCCGCACAGTTCCAAGTCGTTGTCGACATCCTCCGACACCTCTCCGATCACGCCACTACCGCTGTACCTGTCCAAGTTAATGTTCCCCCAGTGACAGTAAACGCGACCAACACGTCTCCGGCATACTACCGGAAGAAGGAACCGGAACTGTTTGCAGGCGATAGAACCAAATACGTCAACTGGAGGAACGAGATGAAGCTCCTAACCCGAGGAGGTCCCATAGAAGACATTGTCGGATACGTGCTCTCATTCGTGCGCGGAACGAATGCCATAGAACAATGGAAGAACGCGTTCAGAACCACTCACGACGTCAACGGTCGCTGGGACTTCACCGACCATGAAGCTTTCTGGGATGCGATGGACGCAGTGTTTCTAGACAAGAATGCTAAGCGACGAGCGTTCCACGACCTCACGCTGTACCGACAGGGGACGACCAACGCAGTGGACTTCTTCATAGAATTCGAGCGCCTTGTGCTAGCGGCTGGACTATCCCTCACTGACGGAACAATCGTTGAGATGGTATTACAGAAGACACGCAAAGACCTCCTCAAGGACATCTACAGATCACACATTCGCCCCGCGACGTACCAGGAATGGAAGACCCGCATCACAGACCTGGACGAAGCAGACCGCGAGTTCGGACTTATGCAGCGCGACTCGCACGCGACCACCAGTACTGCGCGCGCGACGGTCAACACAAACTCACGCGCGAACCACAACGAAACACCACCAAGGCCCGCACCATCACGCCCGCTGTACGAACCTAGGACGGATCGACGCGAGCCAACCGGGGTTACCTACGGAGGAAAGGGACAACCTATGGACATCGACAGGCTGAACGCGCAAAAGTGCCGCAAGCCCGAGTGCGCCGCGCGCAAGGATCAAGCCGGCACGTGCGGATCACCCTGGCATATTCCGAACCGCCCGACGCAGACGCTGCGCGCGTGGGAATCCGTCGAGCGCTCGGAGTTTGTCGATGCTATACGCGCCTGGGTCTCCGAGGAGCCCGAAGACTTCCTGTCGCAGGGTTTTTCGTTTGGGACGGAGTTGCTGCACGACCCCGTTCCCCCCTCGTAATCAATTCCGTTCTCCCTCAATGTACTATAGCTACTAAGAATCGTTTCGCTTGCCTACCTGTATACGAAGTTCCGGACCTAGCGAACACTGTAGATTCCTCTGTTCCTTATGTACCTACCGAGAGAGCGTCTTCACCAGTGAAGCGCGGCAGACGGGAATCTGTACTTAATTCTCTCTCCAATACTACCAAAAAAAGAACGAAAACTCCGAGTGCAGCGGAACAAAACACACCCAACACTTTCGGCATCAACCGCATCGGACCCAAGCTTTTCAGCGTGGTCAGAGCGCTAGGTTCTAAGCGACAAATGGACATCCCGCTAGAGCTTGAGAATCCAGAAACCACCAAACGAACAAGTGTGCAGGCCCTACTAGACACCGGGTGTACAGGATCATGCATACACCGCGATCTGGTACGACGAGCTGGTTTAACCATGCGTGCCTATGACCGACCCATACCTGTACACAATGCGGACGGCACACCAAACATAGGTGGAAGTATAACCCACTACGTAGAAGTGTTCATCACAATCGGAAATCACCGAGAAATGATGCACTTACTGGTCACCGACCTAGGCAAGGCCGATCTATTCCTCGGACACGAATGGATCCAGCACCACAACCCACAGATCGACTGGCAAAAGAAGTCTGTGGAGTTCAGCCGCTGTCCCCACACTTGCGAACACGTTCTGGATGAAGGTGAACGCGTGTTCATGATGGACGTCCCTGCCTACTTGCATGCAAGAAGAGCTTCAGTAGCTATGGATATCGCCATTGAACAGAGCAAGAAACGCGCCCCCGCAACGTTTGAAGAAGTGGTTCCCGCACATTATCACGACTTCAAGGACGTGTTTGAAGACAGTACATTCAACACACTACCCGAGCGACGCCCATACGATCACGCTATAGAACTCCTGCCTGACGCGAAACCATACTGTGGAAAGGTGTATCCAATGCCCCGACAACACCAACAAGCACTGGATGAGTTCTTGGATGAGAACCTGCGCACTGGACGAATTCGATCCTCTAAGTCACCATGGGGAGCACCTTTCTTCTTCGTAAAAAAGAAGGATGGTAAGCTAAGACCGGTACAAGACTATCGCAAGTTGAACTCCATGACCAAAAAGAACAAGTACCCACTACCTCTCATGTCAGATATCTTTGATCGCCTCAAAGGAGCCAAGTACTACACCAAGCTCGACGTGCGATGGGGATACAATAATATCCGCATGAAAGATGGAGACGAGGAGAAGGCTGCGTTCATCACAAACCGAGGACTGTTTGAACCCACGGTTATGTTCTTCGGACTATCAAACTCTCCCTCAACCTTCCAAATGATGATGAACGACATCTTCCGCAACCTCATCTTGCAAGGCAAGGTCATTGTGTACCTAGACGACATTCTTATACTCTCGCAAGATCTTCACGAACACAGACGCGTTGTACGCGAAGTACTCAAGATCTTGCGAGACAACAAACTCACCTGCAAACCCGAGAAGTGCGAGTTTGAAGTACAAGAAACTGAATATCTAGGACACATCATAGCGCCAGGAATTATCAAGATGGACCCCGCCAAGGTAGCCGGTGTCACCGAGTGGCCAACTCCAACCTGCAAGAAACACGTACAAGGGTTTCTAGGATTCGCGAACTTCTACAGACGATTCATCAAAGACTTCTCGAAAGCAGCCGGACCCTTAAATCGCCTGACAGGCGACGTAGAGTGGCAATGGACACACGAAGAACAGAGCGCGTTTGAAGCTATCAAGAAACTGATTACGAGCGCACCTGTCCTCGCTGTCCCCAACGATTCAGATCCATTCAAGATCGAGTGCGACGCCTCAAACTACGCGCTAGGAGCCGAGTTATCGCAGAAGCAAGACGGGCAGTGGCGAACCATAGCCTTCCTATCGAGATCTCTGACAAGTGCAGAAAAGAACTACCAGATCTACGATCGTGAGATGCTGGCAGTAATACACGCACTTGACGAATGGAGGCACTTCCTACTTGGAGCCGCACATCCCGTAGAAGTTTGGACAGACCACAAGAACCTAGAATACTTCCGAAACCCTCAGCGCTTAAGTCCCCGACAAGTCCGGTGGCTACTTGCAATAGAAGAATACGATCTCGAACTCAGCCACCACCCAGGGAAGACCATGGGGAAGCCAGACGCATTATCACGACGACCCGATCACACTGCCGACAAGGAAGAAGTCGAGAACGAAGTACTGTTGAAACCACATCTATTCCGCAAGACTACAATAGATGGAACTACGAATATCATCACATCCGTGACAGACTTAATGTCTAAAATGGATGAAGATATACGTAACCGTGTGGGCATAAACGAAGACTACGTTCAGACCGAGGACGGCCTGATCTATAGGAGGGGGAAGCTTGTCATTCCTGATGACAAAGCGCTCCGCGGACGCATCATCGGCGCGCATCACGACTCTGTTAGCGCTGGCCATCCGGGCCGGAGCAAGACTCAAGATCTTGTGCAACGTTCATACTGGTGGCCAACGCTACGCAAGGACGTCGCAAAGTACATCATAGGGTGCACCACATGTCAACGAACGAAAATACGCACGCAAGCCAAGTCAGCCCCACTGCATCCGCACGAGATTCCTAGTCGAAACTGGGAATACATCTCTGTAGATCTGATCACGCACCTACCAAGATGCCTCGGCTTTGACTCCATATTCGTGTGTGTAGACATGAAGTCCAAGGACGTAATTGCAGTTCCATGCCTCGAAGCACTAGACTCAGAAGGATACGCAAACATCTTACTCAAGCACGTCTGGTCACAACATGGACTCCCACGCAAGATCACATCGGACCGAGGACCACAGTTCGTATCCAACTTCACGAAGAGCTTGTACCAAAAGTTAGGAATACAGGGAAACCCAAGTACGGCGTACCATCCACAAACAGATGGGCAAACTGAACGTATGAACCGGGAAATCAAGAACTACCTCCGCATCTTCATCAATCACCGACAAGACGACTGGGTCGACTGGCTACCGCTCGCGCTCTTTGCATATCGCAATCGACAACATTCTGCCACTAAGTTCTCCCCCTTCTACATGACACACGGCTTCCATCCGTACACTGGGGTAGAGACACACAAGCCGGCAAAGAGCGAATCAGCCGAACAGTTCAAAACACGCATGGATGATATTTCTGAAGCCGCTACAGAAAGCCTGAAGGCAGCACAGAAAATCATGAAGGAGAAATTCGACCGACACCGCAATCCCGCACGAGATTACCAAGAAGGAGATCTCGTGTGGTTGGAAGCGCTAAACATCACCACCGTGCGTCCAAACAAAAAGTTGGAGCACAAGCGCTACGGTCCCTTCAAAATCCTCGCAAAAGTCGGTGCAAGTGCATACAAGCTGAAGCTACCCAAGGCTCTCAGTGGTATCCACCCCGTGTTCAACGAAGATCTGCTTACCCCTGCATTCGCCCCCGAGTTCAACAACCAAGAGCGCTTAGAGACCATGGCGCCTGAAGGTGTCGACAAGCCCGAAGAGCCCGAGACCGTGGTAAACTCCAAGTTCGAGTCCGGTACTGTGCAATACCTCGTCAAGTGGAAAGACAAGCCCATCTCCGAGAACACCTGGGTCCCCCGTGGAAAGTTGTTCGATAAGTACAAGGATCTAATCGACGACTACCACAAGCATAATCCTACCGCCCCCCGACCTTTCCGTCTACTAGGACCACGCGCGCGTCTAGTTCAGATCACGGACCCTTTGGATCACGAATGGGATAAGTGGTCGCGCAAATGGGACAGATGGAAAGGAACGATGACTGTTCCGCTTCGCGTCTGGACTCTGGCCTGAATCGTGAGGACACGATGTTAGAGAGGGGGGTGATGTTACGGAAATTTGCCTTTTCCAGTAATCACGCAAGTCACGGTGTTAGTAAGCAGCGCGCGGCTCCGACGCCCAGCCACGAGGCTACCGCGCGCCGTACAAGAGCTCACTTGAGCGCCTCATGTACAACCGGGCCGTGGAGAGTGACCGCGCGCTCCTGCACGTTGCCTCTTGTGCCTGGAGCGTACCAGCGCCCTGACTACGTAGTTACTTCTTCCAGTATCGTACGCAGACGCCTCGCGCCTTTCGTGTGATTGCTCTTTGTATTTCCGTTGACTCTACACGACATGTGAGTGCAAGCAGGCGAGCTAACGCTGCAGCACGCGAATGCACGCGCGACTCACATTGACTCATGTACATCGTAGCTAGCGAATATAAAAGGGCCCGCTTCTGGAGGAGCAATCTCCAGAAGCTGTTTGGGCTTTCGTACCTCCAATCTCCCTCGCGAGTCTCGGCTGGTGCGCTATCTAATCTCGTAGATAGCCGCGCGCGCTAAGGCGTCTCAGGATCCTTGTTTCTCCCCAGTGTGGTCCTTGAAGTGACTCGAACTTCACCGATGAAGACATGAAGGTTTCCTGTAAGCTATGCAGTGTGCGGGGCATGAATCCAGAGGACGTAAATCCACTTATAAAGAGGTATGCATATCGCTGGCGAACAAGCGCACGTTCGCCGCCACCGCGCATACATCGTGCCCGTTGTGCGTCTCAGCAGCGACCATCAACTCTTCCGCACACGACCGACTCCAGTCCTCCGCCTCCTCCCACTGCTGCCGCGGAGCCGCCGTCTCCTCCGTCTACTTCCGGCTCGCCCACTGACTTCCTCAAGGGGGTCGTCGGAAAGCGCGTGGTCGTCCGGCTTACCTTGGGGGTGGACTATCGAGGTGTGTCAGCGTGCTCAATATGCGCCGCGTATGTGACTGAGCTGGATACAGGAATACTGTCCTGTCTAGATGGGTACATGGATATCGCGCTCGAGCAGACGGAGGAGCATGCGAACGGTGGCAGGATCACAAATCGGTATGGGGACGCGTTTGTGCGCGGTGACAATGGTGCGTTCTGCTGCGCTTTCTCTACGCACTACGGACCCACCCCCTCTCCTCTCAGTATTCTATAACTCTGCTGCAGATTCTTTGTAGATTATCGCTCTCACTCTTGTGTCAATCATCGCACTGTGTCCTCGCAACCACCTACTCACGTATATTAAGGCCGGCGCCCACGCACACAGAAAGTACTGAAGATGTGTGCTACCCCCAATGCAATTGGTATTCTGCAACATGACTCCACTCGATATCCATGATTTCATCGTGGTTCAAAACGAGGTTTACCCAAGTTGAATCGCCCGGGCAGTGGCCCCAACCAGACGAGCGTGAACGACGAGGAACGGATGTCGAGTGCGTCGCTCGTCACCGTTCGACCAGCACGGACCACGCGTCGCGGCGGCAGTTCGTCCTCAGGAGCGGGCGCTCCAGAAGGTGCGTGCGCGCACCACCGTGACACCCACATTTACAAGCTGCATCGGTGTCTGGTTCTATCCGACTACTGAAGTACTTACTATTACTACAGGCTCTCCTCTGCCACCTATTTCGCCGGCACTGGCAACTCCAACCCCTCCGACCACGACTCGAACTTGTCCAGCGTCGTCGACAGGGCCGCCAGCTGCTGCCGCGTCGCGCCGATCGCGTCCCGGCCGACGACGAGGTGCAGCGGTGGGTCATCCATCACGCCAGCACGGTAGAACACCTCGGCGCACTTCACGGCGTCCTTCCACTCAAGCGGGATCGCGCCGTTCAGCGCGCGGAAGATGACCGTCGGGAGCGTCGGGCTCGTGTACGCCGGGTGCGGTGGGGCCAATCCACCCATTGCGGTCGCCGTGACCTCGGTCGATATCCAGCCGGGCTCGATCAGCGTTATCTGTGGCCGGGAATGAGATCAGCACGTGGTCGACGAGGCAGCGTTTGGATCGACGGAAGAAGAACGCACCTTGATGTTCCACGCAGGGTCAATCTCCGCCGCCAGCGACTCCGTGTAGCCCTCGAGCGCTGTTCCCGGACGCCGTCAGCCTTCCTTCTGCGTCCCACACACCCCGCTGCCCGCCGCCACGGAGAACGAGGGCTCACCGTGCTTGGACGCGTTGTAGTACGCGCTGCCCGGCCACGACGTGAGGCCGAGGTAGGACGACATCTGCAGCAGCCGCCCGCCCGCCCCCGCCGGGTTCTCGTCCCGGAAGAAGGCCATCGCGGCCTTGGTCGCGCGGACGGTGCCCCAGAAGTTGGTCTCGAACAGCGCGCGACCGTCGCGCTCGGGGATGCCCTCCGCCTCGCCGAGCCCGGCGTAGCCCGCGTTGTTCACGACGACGTCGATCCGCCCGAAGCGTGCCTTCGCGGCCGTGAACGCGGCCGCGATCGCCTCCGCGGACGAGGTGATGTCGAGCGCGAGCACGAGGAGGCGCTCGGGCGGGTGCGCGGCGGCGAGCGCGTCGAGCGCCGCGGGCTTGCGGGCGGTGGCGACGACGGCGTCGCCCTTGGCGAGCGCGACTTCGGCGAGGGCGCGCCCGATGCCCGTGGAGGTGCCGGTGACTGGACGGGGAGGACGAGCTGTTAGCGCGGCGCAAGGGGGTGGGGGAGGATGCGGTGCTCACTAAACCAGACGCGAGGGGTCGACATGGCGGGGTGGGGGACGGGTTGGAAGTGCTACGCAAATCCTCTTCGCGGCCCATGTTGCTTGATACGACTATATATCATAGGCTCTGGTGCGCGCCAAGCGTTATCGGAAGGAACACGGTTGTGTTCGAAGCTCTGGTCCGGCCCTAATTCTTGCACTCCGCTCGCATCGTTATGCGCGGTGCGAGAGCCCAAAAGACCGACGAGTTGGGTCGAGAGAACCGTAAGTGGTTGGGCAGTCAAGACGCGTGGTCCTGGATAGCGCGCATCAAAGAAGCTGGTTGAGAATGATGAATGGCAGCGAGAAGCCCATTACGTCGAATTTCACTTCTTATGCAAATGGTGCGAGGGAACGCTCTGCTACATCGGGGAATGTTAATCCACATCGGTGAATCGGGTGCTCGAAGACCTGCCTTGTTTCTGAGCCAGACGCCTATTTCCCTCACGTTTACGGACGCGCCGTCATACAAGTAGGGGTGTGAAAACATACGCATCAAGTAGAGAAGGCGAGCGGGCAAAGCACCGCGCGCGCGCGGCACATGTGACGAGCACCCACAAACCAAGGGTGCGAGCAGCCCTTAAATGCAGGCCCACAGGCTGAGAACACTCGCCCACCCAGTGTCACCGGATATAAATGATTGAAAGAAGAAAAATATGCCTATTTCTCTTGACGGTGTATTGCCGTCTCAGTCAAAGAAGGCTCCTCCTCCAACTTCCACTCTAGCGCCGCCGAGTCCTTTTGTTCCACGGCCGTCCAGAGGTATGGATATCCTTCGCTGACGGTGAACGCCACAGAGCGAATGGTGCTCGCGGAGCGTGACAGGGTGAGGAGGAAGCTGTTTGCCCTCGACCATTCAATCCGAGCGTGCGTGGCATTGGACACCTCTCGGGACAGAGGGTTCGAACCGTCGTTCTCGTCCAAGGATTCGTCATGGAGCACAATGTGCACATACTCAAGCCTGGCCGCACCAATCAGCTCGTGGATCTCGCTCTATGGGACGCCCCACGACGAACCCTCGTCAGCGACAGTCCCGTATTTCAGTGTAAGGACGCACCGGAACCTTGTCCATATCTGGCGGCGTTGGGTTCGCGAAGATCACGGTCAATCGCAGCTTCGACGCCGAGAACTCTATCTCCTTCTGCGTCCCGTCGCCCTCCGCGTCCCACGCGGGAGTCTTGAGACGGCACAGCAGCGGGGCCGCCGCATTCGCCACGTCCCATCCCATCGTCCGTCCGAGCGTGACCGCCTCGACGTCCACCAGCTCCGACCGCGCGCCCGCAACCAGCTCCGCCGCGTGCGCATGCGTATGTTCAAGTGTGATTGCAGTGCGATGATTGATACAAGAGTGAGAGAATTCACAAAGCATCTGCAGCAGAGATATACAATACTAGGAGAAACGGGTGTGGGTGTATGGCGCGCAGAGAAAGAGCAGTAGAATGCACCATTGTTACCGCGCACAAACGCGTCCCCATACCGATTTGTGATCCTGCCGTTCGCATGCTCCTCCATCTGCTCGAGCGCGATGTTCATGTACCCATCTAAGCAGGACATGATTCCTGTATCCAGCGCAGTCAGAAACGCTTGTACTGAGGTTATCATCGCAAGCTGACACACCTCGATAGTCCACACCCGAGTAAGCTGGACGTCCACGCGCTTTCCGACGACCCCCTTGAGGAAGTCAGTGGGCGAGCCGGAGATAGAGGGAGGAGGAGGCGGCGGCTCCGCGGCAGCAGTGAGAGGAGGCGGAGGAATAGAGCCGGCCTTGCGCGGAAGCGTTGATGGTTGCTGCTGAGACGAGGGACACGTCTCCGGATCCAGGCACGATGCACGCGCGGCGGCGGCGAAGCCTGCGGGCCGCCGTCCGCCCACTCACTCACTCAACGCGCGCTTGCTCGTCAGCCATGTGTGTGTGCTTCACGCCTCGCACACTGCTTGGCTTGTGTACAGGAAACCTTCTTGGTTCACCTCGGTGTGCGATTCCCCTCAAGCTTCAAGCTCAAGGAAAACGGGGGCAGACAGGGCTCTATAGTAAACGTTGCGCCGACCCAGAGCTTGACGCTGACTCAGCTTCATCCACGCGGCGAACGATGGCCTCTCGATTCAATCTCGAACCTCCGTCACTGGCCTTATCCGACCTCCCTCCAGTAGATCCAACATGGTATGATATGTTTTTGCCGAAGTAACTGTATCCTTACAATTGCCGGTAGGTCCCAGTCACCTCTCAAAGCCTCGTTTGTGAAGCCGGGGTCACTACGCTCGATCAACTTCCACAAGATGTCTTTCTTCTCATCTGTCACATTCTGCTTTCCGACTCCGCCATCCTCCCATCCTTCCGGAGGCTTATGACAGTCCCTTGGATGGACGTCAAATCCAAGTACATTCGACCTCTCTTTCGCCTCCTCCACGTCTGTAGATCCTGGCGCACTATTATTCTCGAAGCCCACGCTCTATGGAAGTATGCTCTCGTCGATGGTCCCGATGGGATGCCTGACGAGCTCAACACCCTCTTGCTCGATCGTGTCGGAGACGCCCCTGTCGTTCTTTCCGTCGTCTTCAGTAACGAGACACTCCCTGTCACTGTCCAATATCTGGAAGGTCGACAGCTCACTGTTTCCCATTTGCAACTTCACCGGAGGCAAACGGACGCCATGCACCCGACCGAATCATCCCTGCTTCCCTCCCCATCTTGGAAGCATCTCCTGCTCAGCACAACGCTCGAAAGCGTGTGTTTCATATCGGATGAAGAGACGGGGGCATCCGAGGACGAAGATCATAGTGGTGGATACGATTTCGTGGCACACCCCCAGGTAGCGGGGTCCCGGCAATTCGCGGACTGGCGATCCACTCCGTCCAAAACAGCCTCCCCTCCGCAACTTTCCCCAAGCTTACTCATCTCCTTCTGTGCTTCAAAGAGAGCCGCGCGCTCAGCCCAAATCCTTTCGGAGAACTCCTCCACCTTCTCTCGGGCACCCCTGCCCTCCATTATCTACACCTCTCGCACCCTCAAGCATACTTTCCTCTTCATGATCCCTTTGTCGGCCCGCGCGTCTCGCTTCCCCAGCTTCAGCGGCTCACCATGGTCTGGTTTGACTGGCGCCTCTGCAACGCGCTGCTCGACCATCTCCGCCTCCCTGTCACCGTTCACGTCAACCTCAAAGATGTTTTCCTGCCCGAAGACGTACTTCTACACCACCCCGACGCCATGCTCGCCTGGGCGCGTCTTCCTCCCCTGCCCTTCTTCCCGCATCTCGCTCGCCTCCTCTTCTACCATTCCACTACGGGCATCGCGCTTGCCGCCGAGGGCGCCCTCGACCCCGGCACCACTTCGCCCACTCACAGGCCGCGCGGCCGGCTCGAGCTCACCTGGCGCATCCCTGGCCAGTTGCCCTTCTGGTTGAGATGGATCCGCGACCTCCCGTCGCACATCCCGCTCGCGTCCGTGCGCACGATGCACCTCGAGCTCCACGCGGTCACCAACCCCCGGTTCCCTGTGCTGGCCGCTGTGGCGCTCGAGGAGCTCGTCGTCTTCTGGGGCAGCACCATGTGCGAGCGCATATCTCTCATCCAGCTCGCAAGGGAGCTGGGCGCCGCGGACCCGGTGCGGTGCCCGGACCTCAGGACGCTGGGTGTGCGGGTGACGGTCCCGGTCCCGGGCGGCGGATGGACGGCGAAGATGGTATCTGCGGCGTTCGCGCGCGTTGAACGCGTGCTTGAGTCGCGGGCGGCGCTCGGCCACCGGCTCGACCGTCTCCTTCTGGAGATCAAGGAGGAGGTCGAGCTAGACGAGGTGGAAGACGACAAGCCCGGTGCAGAGTCAAGATGGGACCAGCGGTGGGCGGAGTACCACCTTACGGTGTCCGAATGCTTGCGATCGTTGGAGGAACACGTTGGCGAGGTCGTCAAGACATACTACAACGAGGACAAGACCGATGGGCTTGCCGGTTCTTTCCGGACGGGTCAGGAAGACTGGCTCGAGGATGAGAGTCTGGCGCAACAACGGTACTGGATGGTCGCGAAGGAAGAGGTACAGTGGGACCCTGCCGATGTGTAGTTTCTCCGATGGAGGTTCCTAGACGGCGGATCTTTGTCTATCCCTGTTGTCCTTGAAGCGACTCGATCGCCAATGGAAACGTGAAGGTTTCCTGTAAGCTGAGCGGTGTGCGAGGCAACAACCCAGAGGACGTAAACCATTCACAAAGAGGTATGCATATCGCCGCCGCCGCGCCGCATGCATTGTGCACGCCGTGTTCCGAACTCGTCGTCCGACTTACCTCGGGGTGGACCATCGAGGTGTGTCAGCTCGCGATAATAATTTCAGTACAAGCGTCTCTGACTGCACTGGATACAGGAATACCGTCCTGCTTAGACGGCTACATGAACATCTCGCCCGAGCAGACAGAGCAGCATGCAATCGGCAGGATCACAATTTTGTGCGCGGTAGTAGTGGTTCGTTCAACTACTGCTCTTTCTCTGCGCGCCACACACACTCCCTTTTCTCCCGGTATTGTATATCTCCACCGCGGATACTTTGTTTCTTCTCCCCCTCCCCCCGCTAGATCCCCCGACGGTCATGGAAAGTCAATGAGCGCATCGGGTGCGTGTTTTATGTGCCAAAGTCTACATCGGCCGGAAAGGTCCAAGATCGACGCGAGCTAGCCCTATACACAGGTTAGAGGCCACATTTACGACGTGCTACGGTCCTTCAGCATGATTGGTAGAACGACCGGAGGGGGGTGGATAGAGATACAAATTCATAGGACGCCATGTAGGCTGGTGTAACGGTATGATACAGTACGTGCATGCGGCAAGAGCAAGCGAGGTCCAAAGAGATACACGAAACAACCACAGAGCTCCAGAGCATGTGCGACAAGAAGAGAAAACCTAGTGTCCGAGCGAGTCCGTTTCACCTCCAGCCGCATAAATAAAGGTCCAGTCCGGGCGACGCGAGCTCGCTCACGGCAGAATCATGCTCATATGCGCCTGCCAGTGCCCGAGCACCGACGCAGTCGGTGCGGTCGCCTGGCGATATGGGCGCACTTCTTCCTGGAGCCACGCCCACAGACGGTCGCCGAGGTCCTCGTCGTACGCCTCTTTCCTGCACTTGCCACGGCGTGCCCACGGGATCATGAACTGCAGACGTCGCCGGGTCAGCGCAGGACGCCCACGGGAGCGTCGGAGAGGCCGCACCTCGCCGTTGTGCTCGAGCGGCTCGGGCATCGTACCCGCGTAGAGCTGCGTGATGGCGCCGTAGGGCGCGGGGTAGAACGGGATGAAAAAGTCCTGTTGGACGCAGTCAGCGCCCAGACAGGCCCCCCGCACGAGCGACGCACCATGATTTTTTGCCGGAGGGGCGACATGTGGCGCAGGAGGTCGGACTGGATGTTGCCCGGGTTAAGCGCGATGGAGACGATGCCCTCGGCGCCGTACCGCTTCGCGACCTGTCGGGCGACGATCACGTTGCCCTGCGCGGACGCGACGTGAGTGCGGACGCTAGGGCGGGTGAAAGGACGGGGAAAGCTCACAAGCTTGCTCTGCGCGTACAACGCGTCGCGCGAGGTCCGCCGCCGCTTGCGGCTGTCGCGGAACGTCTCGCCGCGGATCCGGCCGAGGTACGCCGTGCTCGAGGAGGTGGTGATCACGCGCGCGTGGCCGTCCGCCGAGGTCTTGACGCCCGCGAGGAGCGCGGGCATGAGGAGCTCGGTGAAGAAGAAGGAGCCGACGACGTTCGTCCCCCACTGGAGGTCGTAGCCCTCCTTGGTGAGCATCTCCACCGGCGTGCACATCACGCCCCTGCCGCGCCCGCGTCAGCCTGGGTGGACGTCGAAGTTGAAGGAAAAGGAAAGGTGGGGGACATACGCGTTGTTGAAGAGGACGTGGAGCTCGCGCTCCTTCCACATGAACTCGTCCGCCGCGCGGCGGACGGAGACGAGGCTCGCGAGGTCGAGCTCGAGGAAGACGGCCTCACGTCCGGTCGCGGCCTTGAGCGACGCGATCGCGCCCTCGGCCTTGAAGCGGCTGCGCGTCGCGAGGTACACGCGCGCGTTGTGCGCGAGCAGCGACTGTGTGTCCCACGCCGGTGAGCACAAGCACAAGCACACGCGCCGGTCGTCGGTGACGTACCTTGCACGTCTCGTACCCGATCCCCGCGTTTCCACCTGCGCCTGGGGTCGGCAACGCGCGCGAAAGCGAGAGGGAGAGGGAGGCGGGACGCACGCACCGGTCACGATCACGACGTGCCCCGTCAGGTCCGGCATCTCGTCCGGGAGCCAGTCGGGCGTGGGCGGGTACGCCTGCGCGGCGGCGTGGACAAAGTTGCGCGCGTTCGAGAGGGCGCCGCCCATCGCGTCTGTCTGCGGGCGGGCGGGGGGCGTTCCTGCGGGCTGGGGCTCGAGGCGTGGAGGGGGAGCGGCGACGCGAAGAAGTACTGGCGCGCGCGGACGCGGGGTCGCGGGGATGGGGGTGGGGGTGGAGGGGCGCGCGATCCCCGACCGTGCGAGGGCGTATATATCCGGGCGCACGACCCCCAGGGCCCCGCGGCGGGCTCCGCGCAGGATCCAGCGTCGGGCGTCGGTCGAGGTGCGGAGGCAACCCGAATCGACCGCGGCGGCCGCGCGGGTGCGCGTGCGCGGCAGCCGCGCGTCCTGTGGCGTTGCGCGTTGCGATCTTCGCGGGACGGCGCGGCACCTCCCGCGGCTTTGCACTCGAGCTTCGAGGGGCTTTCTGGGTCGCGAGACGCCGTGCGGGCATCCGCGTCTAGCAAGGTTCAGCACTCCAGAGGAAGACGGAAGCATCCCGCAGGGAGCGCGCCGCGACTGCTCGGCCGTGCCCCGTCTGAGCCGAAGGCTGTGGCCCGCGCGGAGGAGAGCCGGGGCAGTCTTGGGGGGCCGCCGGCATTGGGTACCGCGCGGCAGGTGCGCGGCGGGGATTGCCAAAAGCGGGGGCGCGATGGCGGGATGCGCATTGACGCTAGAAGCGGCGATGGACGCCTTCGCGAGCCACTCGCGAGGTCGCAGGGTCGGGGAGGGTGAGATCACACTCAAGCGTGAACGTTGCGGCCGCCGGAGACGAACATCAGAAAGCCCGCGCGCTCAGGATCAGCCTCGCGTGATTGCTCGCCACGGGACCCGAGCTCTGTGGATCTTGGTGACCTCCCGGACAGCGACAAAGGCAAGGTGTGTGGCGCGCAACGCAGATGGTGTCCAAATCAGCGAGAACACTGTGGGACAGGTGGTCGGGTTGTGCCCAACCTGGACGAATGCGAGTACGTTACTGTGAGATGATGTGGAGGATAGAACTTTTTGCGTCTTGGCAATTCATGTAAACGTACCAGTTCTTTCCCGCTTCTCGAACTATCCAAATGTTCGGGGCCAACAATTGATGAAGACTAAGAGACGACCTGTGCGAAATTACGGTAAAGTTGATCAGATAAGATGCAACAGAACTAGACGGAGCAGAGCGTAAGTGTGAACTGATAACGTTACCTCTTCCCACCGCGCCAGTCACTAAACGCAGTCCTTAGCCCCCCCGAGCCCAACCGGGTGGCCCAATCTCCCTATATATCTGGGAACTCGATGTTACAAATTCGTAGGTTGAGAGGAACTGTGTGACGTTATTAAGAAGTCGACCCAAGCAAACTGCTCAGACTCACTCCACAAATGAGACTACGACGACCGTAGTCTCAAGGCTCCGGACGACCCTCATGAGCTGCAATCTGTTCCTCAAGCCAATCCCACACAAGGCGTCCCACGGCGTCGTCATAGACGTCGCTCTTATGCGCCACTAACCGCGCAAATGGAACGAAGAACTATAGGCAATGGCGGGAATAACGTCAGCATTGGCGCAGCGCAACAGACCGCTGCGCGGCGTACCTCGCCACTGTGCTTGAGAGCTTCGGGCATCGTCCCTGCGTAGAGTTGTGGAAGTGCTCCGAGCGACGGCGGATTGAGGACGAACGACTGAGGGAAACTTCAGTCATGAAGTAGATCCGTCCATCCCGCGACACTCACCAGAACGCCGCGAGCAAACCGGTCATGCCTGTACAGGTCCGAGTCGACCATCCCTGTAACACGCCCACGCGTGAGCGACAACCGAGTCGGCGAAGCGCGGGCTCGAGCACGCACCAGGGTTGGCCGCGATGCACACGATGCCCTTGCTCGCCCACCTCAACGCCCCCTGCCTCGAGATGATCGAGGCTCCCTATCGCGCTCCGGTGAGCCTCCCCCAGTTCCTCTCACGCCAAACTCACCAGCTTGCTCTGGAAGTAGAGCTCGTACGACCGCTTCCGCCGGCGCGCGTCGGAGTCGCGCCACGTCTCGGGCCAGAGCTTCCCCACGTACGTGCCGTTCGAGGACGAGGTGACGACGCGCGCGTGCGCGTCTGGCGCGCTCTTCGCCCCGCGCTCGAGCGCGGGGAGGAGCAGGCGCGTGAGGTAGAAGTGCCCGAGCACGTTCGTGCCCCACTGGAGGTCGTACCCGTCTGGGGTCAGCTGCTCGACCGGGGGGATCATCACGGCCCTGGGCGGGTCCACGTAAGCGTGTGGGACGAGGGGGAGGAGGGGGAGGGGAAGGTGGGGCGCACGCGTTGTTGAAGAGCAGGTGCAGCTCGTGTTCCCGGCTCATGAAGTCGTCCGCGGCGCGCTTGACAGACTCGAGGCTGGCGAGGTCGAGGGGGACATGGTGCGCCGTGCGGCCGGTGGACTCGTGCAGAGCCGCGAGCGCTGCGGTCGTCTTTGCGGACGCACGCGCGGCCATGTAGACTTTGGCGTTGCGCAGCAGGAGGACCTGTGCATGGAGGTCATGAGGGTGCTCCAACACGGTGAACACATAGCTCCGCACTCGGATGGTCTCGAACCCGACGCCAGAGTTTCCACCTGGAACGCGAGGTGAGTCCGTGTTGAAGAGGATGAGACACGGGCATCGCGCACCGGTGACGATGACGATACGCCTGTCCATGTCAGGTATCTGGTCAATGCTCCACGTTGGTTTGGGTGGGAACATCTGCTCGGCCACTTGATAGTGCTCCCATATCGTCGACGTTATCGCACCCATTGATTATGGACCAAAAGAGGAGATGAGAGTTAGGAACGTAGGGAGCAGCTAGCTGGTGGGCCGAAGGGCAGAGGGGGGGATCTATACCGCATTCCTTCCGTGGCACGTTCATTTGAGTGATTGGCAAGTGGACCCAGCCTGGAGTGATGTTCCCAGGGAATAGGTGCTAACAAGGCGTCAGCAGAACGCCTGGCCACCTCGGCTGCCACGGGATGAGTTCGGCCAAAACCCCACGCGGTTTCGCACTCGGGCTCGACGACTCAGGTTCCCCCGAGACGGGTGGGATTTCAGCTGGTTCGGATAGCTAGTCAAAGTAACTTGTAAGTAGGCGGTCGTGCCGGGCCTGCATGAGCGGTCACGGAATCAACACTGAGGGAGTTCGGATGTCGGCGTCATGCGTGGCGGACTTTGAACATTTGAAGCTCAGGCCCAGCCGTGTCGGAAATCAGCCCATCACGATCAGGCTCTTGGTCATCACCACGTGCTTTCAACCGCCAATCATATCTAGACAGCCTGTGCATTGACCGGATGGTCCGATGGAGGCCGACACGGGCACCAGAAACGAGAGAAAGAGAGGTACAAGTACAGAGTACAGTGGACAGTCAGGGTATATCTCAGCCGAGGGCATGGGGATCGACTAGAGCTTCGCCTCGAACGCCTTCACCTCGCCATCAAGCCACTCCCACACCCGCCTCCCGAGCTCTGGATCATACATCTCCTTCTTACACTTCCCTGGACGAGCCCACGGGATCATGAACTGTACGTTCACGGCGGAGGGCGTGTGTGGGCGCGTGGGTGCCGAGCGCACATCGTGGACGCGAGAAGGGCAGAGACATGTGCACGAAGAAAGATCGCGGACGTAAAGATTAACCAAGAGCAGACTGGGACTGAGGACGAGCGACGCACCTCGCCGTTCAGCTTGAGCGCGTCCGGCATCGTGCCCGCGTAGAGCTGCGTGAGCGCGCCGTACCAGTTCGGGTAGAGCATGACCTTCGCCTGCGATACGATACGACGTCAATGTCAATGTCACCTCGTCGGCGTTGGAGGGGCTGAAGACCCACCACTATCCAGCGGCCCACTGACGGGATCGTACGGTAAAGCTCCGAGTCCAGGTTGCCTGTGCAGCGGGCGCAGAGCGGTCCTCTCAGTCACGGAAGGAAGGTGAGCGCGGAGGGGACGCACCTGGGTTGAGCGCGATGGAGATGATGCCCATGTCAGCGTACCGGAGCGCCGCCTGGTGCGCGACAACGGTGTTTCCCTGCGCGCGTCACACACTTCAGCACATGTCCTGTGAGACCGCCCGCGCACACCCTCACCAGCTTGCTGTTGAAGTACAGCAGTTCAGGATGCACTTTCCGCCGGTGCTTCGAGTCCTTGAACGTGTCGAAGTCGATCTTGCCGGGATACGCGCCGCTGCTCGACGTCGTGATCACGCGCGAGTGGTGATCAGGCGAGGACTTCGCGCCCGCCGCGAGCAAGGGAAGGAGGAGCTCGGTGAAGTAGAAATGTCCGAGCACGTTGACGCCCCACTGGAGGTCGTGGCCCTCCTCCGTCAGCGCGGATATCGGAGGGTTCATAACGCCGCTGAGGGATCGCACAGCGTCAGCTGCGACTCTAGTGCGGGGCGATACAGGGAGCAGGGAAGAACGCGACGCACGCGCGAAGGTTTACGGTCCGCCAGCGCGCGCGTGGCGGGAGACACGCAGATGACAGGGCACATCGGGCGTAGCTCAGCGCGACGGCGCTGGTGCGGCGGCGACCTAAGCCCTGCGCTCGTGCGCGCGTGGCACCCTGGGGCATACAACCCCGGGTCCGGAGCGCAGCTCCGAACGGGACTTCGGGCGGAGGAGGAGGGTGCAGAGCGGGGACGGAGCCGAGCCGTCGCGCCCGCGCTCGCGCACGGCACCAAACGCAAATCCGGATCCAGACAAGGCCACTCACGCGTTGTTGAACAGTACGCGGAGCGCGCCCTCCTTCGCCGCGAACTCCTCCGCGGCGCGCTTGATGCTCTTCATGCTCGCGAGGTCGAGCTCGAGGAAGACCGCGTCCTTGCCCGTCTCCTCCTTCAGGCGCGCGATGGCGGCGTGGCCCTTCTCCCGGCTGCGCGCGGCGAGGTAGACCTTGGCGTCGTGGGCGAGGAGGGCCTTGCACGTCTCGTAGCCGATCCCCGTGTTGCCGCCTGAACGGGCGTGAGGACGGCGGTGTGGTCAAGACGGGGACGGGGCGCACCAGTGACGATCATGACGCTCCCAGCCAGATCTGGGATTTGGTCGACGGCGAAGGTGGGTTTGGGAGGGTACGCCTGGCCCGCGACAGTGGCGTAGTTGCGCATGGTGGTGAGGACCCCGCCCATGGTGTTCGAGAGTTGGGTGTTGGGGCGAAGGTGGTCGACGTGAAGGGGGCAGGGAGTTGGGACTCTGAGACCGGCCGCGTGGGTTATATCAGCTGAACCTGCCGCGCGCGCGCCGTCTTTCGACTCCGAGCGCAACTTGCATCTGCGCTGGAGGTGCGTCTTGCCATTTTCCGTATTCGCTGCAGGTGGCGGAGCTAGCAGGGCTGATGTTGCCCTGTCTGGAAGTTCCCTCACCTCACCCTTGCCTCACCCTGCGTCCAGCCCGCCCGCGGGTGCGGGACTAGTTCAATCGTCGCGCGCGCCACGAAGCCATGCAGCAGGAGGAGTAGACACACACGTCGACGAGCGAGAAGTCCAGCGAAGAGAAGAGGGATACTGCAGCCTAAGTGACGGCGCGTGTAAGGATGCGGGATTGCCAGCGCGTACTCAGCCAGCGCGATTCGGGTGGAGATGGCATCGCTGGCGCTCTTCTTGTCCCTCGATGCACTTGAGTTCCGTCACGCAGAACTTGCGCGGCGCTAGTGACCGACCCTCTTCGTTCTAGGGCGGATGGATGCAGACAGAGACGGAAAAAGCGGACTCTGTCATGCCGTATGTCAGGCCAAAGCATTCAATTGTCTGGGCTTAGGCTAGGCGCTGACTGCGGTCACAGAACAAGGAACACCGGAGATGGAGAAATCAGATCTATCGTATCGTGGTCGGGCCCTGGTGGTACCCCCAGAGAGGTCCTGTGACCCTCGCACGTACGGGTTAGTGGAGAATGAGCGGTCTGCCCAAGTCGCCATCGACCGCTGCATATCTCAGTACGTAGCGTACAGTACGGTTTCGACGCAGGGACAAGCTAAAGTGACCGGGGAGACGGACTTCATGAACTGCGGTGCTGACATCGACGCACCGCCGGGACTCGGGACGGCGGCGGATTTGTCAAAGCCGTTCAGTCTCGAAACGTCTTCGTCTCGTCCTCGAGCCGCTCCCAAAGCTTCTGCCCCAAAGAGTCGTCGTACATTTCTTGTCGACACTTTCCCAGCCGCGCCCAAGGAACCATGAACTGTCGCGCGAAGTGTGCACATGTCAGGGTCTAGACGTAAAGTGAAGACACGAGGCCTACCTCGCCGTTGTAGTTGAGCGCTTCAGGCATAGTCGCCGCGAAGAGTGACGTCAATGCGCCCATGGTCGGAGGGAATAAAGCGGCTTGCTGTGAGATTACAACATAAGTACACACCATGACAGAATAACAACAGCAGAGGCCAAAAAAAACTCACGACAATGCGTCTAGCGATGGGATTCATGGTGCGTTGAAGGTCAGTCTTGATTGCCCCTTCCACCCACGCGGCACGGAGATTAGATATTAAACAACGGCACTTCGAGAGAAGAAGAACCAACTCACCGGGATTGAGCGAGATCGATACGATCCCTTGCTCTCCGTAGCGCTGCGCGATTTGCCGGGCGACAACCGCGTTGGCCTAGTGCACCACGGTCATCGGTACAAACTTTAGACTGGGCAGCGAAGTCGGGGACTCACGAACTTGCTCTGGTCGTACAACTTCTCCGTCCCCAATTTCCGTCTCGTGGGTCCGTCGCGGAGGGCGTCGTACCACACCTCCCCCGTGTTGTATGCCGCGAGGGAGCTCACCGTGACGACCCTAGTGTGCCCATCGGGAGAAGCTCGTGCGCCAGCAAGAAGCACAGGCATGAGCAGCTCCGTGAAGAGGAAGTGACCGATCACGTTCGTCCCGAACTGCATATCGTAGCCGTCGTCGGTGAGCGCGTCGAGCGCAGACCACATCACACCGCTGTGCGTTATGATGATGAAGGCCACGCATACGAGCACGACAAGGAAGAGGCTCACGCGTTGTTGATCAAGATGTGCACCTCATGCTCCCTCGCCGCGAGCTCGGTCGCAGCCCGCTTCACACTCTTGAGGTTCGCGAGGTCGAGCTGCACGAAAATAACTTGACAGTCCTTGCCGACCTCCGCCTTCAGCCGCACGATCGCGCGCTCCGCTTTGCCCTGGTCGCGCGTGCAAAGGTACACCTTCGCGTGGTGTTGGAGCAGTGCCTTGGATGTCTCGTAGCCAATCCCAGCGCCGCCGCCTGGAGTACAGATAATGAGTTAAGTACATTGCGCCAGAAGAAGGCGCGGCGAACACACCAGTGACGATCGCCACGTGGCCCGAGAGGTCAGGGATCTGGTCCACACCGAAAGTGGGCTTCGGCGGATTCATTTGATCGAGCAAGCCCGCGCGCCAGTACTTGATTCCGGAGAGCATGGTGCAAGTGGAGATGCTGGTGCAAGTCGATCAGGAGCGGTGGTTTTGACGGTGACACGCGAGGTGGATGGTCGGACACAATCGCGCTTCAGGGCGGTTTTATAGTGCTCACCACAAGCCTTGCGATACACTCGGAGTTTTGGGTGACTAAGGCAGGTAGCTGTGAGAGTTTCGAGCGTCGCTGCAGGCGCGGAGAGGGCTCCGAGACGGAAATCAAATTGATCGAATGACCAAGCCGGCATACTTAGCGTTGTTCAGAATCACGGCCACGTCAATCCGCCTGAAGTGCTCTTTACGGCGCAAAACCTGGCCGGGATCATGCCGTGTAAATTCCATGCCGAGTGGAAGGATGAGGAGAAGTTTAGGGAAGCGAAGCATCCCAAGACGGTCGGCGATGTTGTCTGCCAGAGATTGGAAAGGCTGAGTCTCAAAAATGTGATGATATATAACGCGTCATCATATCATTTTAGACTCAGCTTAAACCCCCGATAAGGACAGGTCAAGCGCACTGTCACCCATATCCTCACTACCGCCTTCCCCACTCTCCGCGAGCATGCGGCGCGGTGGTGGCGATATGCATACCTCTTTGTGAACGGTTTACGTCCTCTGGGGTCATGCATCGCACACCGCTCAGCTTACAGGAAACCTTCACGTTCCCATTGGTGATCGAGTCGCTTCGAAAGGACAACAGGGATAGACAAAGATCCGCCGACAGGCTTGGGCCATGTGGTAGACGCTTAACCGACTGTTTTCGGAGCTTTAATATTTAGAGTCCAGAACGCTGACTCAGCTTCACCCGCGCGGCCGCGCGTGCCATGAACCGTCGAATGGTCATTGGTCTCATCCGACTTCCTTCCAGTATACGCAGCATGGTACGATATTTTTTTCCGAAGTAGCTATATATATACCCTTACAATTGCCAGTAGAAGCCAGTCACCTCTCAAAGCCACGGATATGAAGCCGGGGTCACTACGCTCGATCAACTTCCACAAGATGTCTTTCTTTTCATCTGCCATATTCTGCTTTCTGATCCGCGACAGCAGTGCGAGGACGCGGAAGACTAGAGCCGGCCTTGCGCGGAAGCGTTGATGATCGCTGCTGAGACGAGGGACATACGAGGGACACGACTCTGGGCACGATGCATGCGCGGCGGCAGCGAAGGCGGGCCGCCGCCGCCCGTCCACTCACTCACTCACTCACTCACTCACTCAACGCGCGCTTGCTTGTCGGTATGCAAGCATACTTACCTCTGTGTGCGTGGTTCACGCCTCGCACAGTGCTTAGCTTATATACAGTAAACCTTCTTGGTTCACCTCGGTGTGCGATTCCCCTCAAGCTTCAAGCTCAAGGAAAACGGGGGCCTAGTAAACGTTTCGCCGACCTGGAGCTTGACGCTGACTCAGCTTCACCCACGTGGCGAACGATGGTCTCTCGATTATCATTCAATCTCGAACTTCCGTCGCTGGCCTCATCCGACCTCCCTCCAGTAGATCCAACATGGTATGATATGTTTTTGCCGAAGTAACTGTACCCTTACAATTGCCGGTAGAACCCAGTCACCTCTCAAAGCCTCGTTTGTGACGCCGGGGTCACTACGTTCGATCAACTTCCACAAGATGTCTTTCTTCTCATCTGTCACATTCTGCTTTCCGACTCCGCTATCCTCCCATCCTTCCGGAGGCTTACGACAGTCCCTTGGATGGACGTCAAATCCAAGTACATTCGACCTCTCTTTCGCCTCATCCACGTCTGTAGATCCTGGCGCACTGTCATTCTCGAAGCCCACGCTCTATGGAAGTATGCTCTCGTCGATGGTCCCGATGGGATGCCTGACAAGCTCAGCACCTTCTTGCTCGATCGTGCCGGAGACGCCCCTGTCGTTCTTTCCGTCGTATTCAGCGATGAGATACTCCCTGCCACTGTCCAATATCTGGAAGGTCGACAGCTCACTGTTTCCCATTTGCAACTTTACCAGAGGCAACCAGACGCTGCGCACCCCGACAGAATCATCCCCACTTCCCTCTCCACCCTGGACTCCTTCCTGTTCAGCCCGACGCTTGAAAGCGTATGTTTCATATCGGATGAAGAGGCGCTGGCGTTTGAGGACGAGGAGCGTGTTGACGGATACGATTTCATGGCACACTCTCTGGGTAGCGGATCCTAAAATTCGCGGACTGGCGATCCACTCCGTCCAAAACAGCCTCCCTTCCGCAACTTTCCCCAAGCTTACTCATCTCCATCTGCGCTTCAAGAAGAGCCGCGCGCTCAGCCCAAACCCTTTCGAGAACTCCTCCACCTTCTCTCGGGCACCCCCGCCCTCCTTTATCTGCACCTATCACACCCTCAAGCATACTTCCCTCTTCATGATCCCTTTGTCGGCCCGCGCGTCTCGCTTCCCCAGCTTCAGCGGCTCACAATCGTCTGGTCTGACTGGCGCCTCTGTCATGCCCTGCTCGACCATCTCACCTCCCTGCCACGCTCACATCAACCTCAAAGACCCCTGCTTGCCCGAAGAGGGCATTCTACACCAGCCCGAAGCCACGCTCGATTGGGCGCGCCTCCCTCCCCTCCCCTTCTTCCCGCATCTCGCTCGCCTCCACCTCGCCCACTCCTACGCGGGTGTCGCCCTCGTCGCCGAGGGCGCCCCCGACCCCGCCTCCGCGCGCGCCCGCAGGCCGCGCGGCCGGCTCGAGCTCGCCTGGCGGATCGCCTGGCCGCCGCTCCCCCGCGCGGTGTACGCGCGCGAATGGATCCAGGGCCTCCCCTCGCACCTCCCGCTCGCGTCCGTGCGCGCGATGCACCTCGCGCTCCACAGCCCCAGCTACCTCTGGCTCCGCACCGTGCTCGCCGCCGCCACGGCGCTCGAGGAGCTCGTCGTCGTCGGGGGCGAGCGGCGGGCGTTTCACGTGCATCTCGCGGAGGAGCTCGGCGCCAGCGACGGGGTGCGGTGCCCGGCCTCAGGACGTTGGGCGTGCGGGTGGAGGTCCCGGTCCCGGGCGGCGGATGGACGGCGAGGATGGTTTGGAGGCGTTCGCGCGCGTCGAACGTGTGCTCGTTGCGCGGGCGACCTCGGGCACCGGCTCGACCGTCTCCTTCTGGAGGTCAAGGAGGAGATCGAGCTAGACGATGCGGAGGCGGAGGAGGACGGCGACGACGACGAGCACGGGCCACAACCTTTAAGGGCCAGAAATGGGCTGAGTACCACCTCACGGTGTCCGAATGCATGCGATCGTTGCGGCAACACGTTGGCGAGGTCGTCAAAACATACTACAACGAGGACAAGAACGATGGGCTTGCGGATTCTTTCCGGACGGGTCAGGGGCTGGCTGGAGGATGAGAGCCTGGCGCAACAACGGTACTGGATGCTCGCGAAGAAAGAGGCGCAGTGGGACCCCAGCTATGTGTAGTTTCTCCGATGGAGGTTCCTGGCCTTTAAATGTATGTACGTCCGTCCGCCTTTATCTTGGCATCTCCTTCTCATGCATTCCCGTGCACAAGGGTTTTACCGTTCATGAATGGAATACGTCGAGCCGACTATGACCTGGAACCATCTACCGCACGAGGCATTCCCTCAGGCTTCGTATAAAACCCGACCACTGCTCCCCTACAGCTCGCTCAGTGACTTCCTCACTCCCAATCATGAAAGTCTCCTTTTCCACTCTACTCGTCCTCGCGGTATCCTTCGCCGGCCTCGGTACGTCTCTCCACGTAGCCCACGCTCGCATGGGCCGCTGACCCCACCACATCCCTCAGCCTCCGCGACTCCCGTCGAACTCGAACGTCGCATCGACGGTGCGTCCATTATCCGGCCGTCGTCGCGATCCCAGACCCGTCCGCCCTCCTACATATTGTCGCCGGCTGCTCACCGTTTTCCCTCTCCACAGCCAAGGCGACCGCCGCGCCCGACGCCTTCCTGCGCGCGCGCTGGGTGACGACGCTCACAGAGACGATCAGGGGGAGCCTCACGACGGAGACGAGGACGTACGACTCGCCCACCCCCGGGCCTTCGGCATGAGCGAGTGTTAGATGTACATGGGCCCGTAGTGGGCGGTCGGCCGCCCGTGGAGGAACGGGTGCGAAGGGCTGAGGACGCGGTCGGCGGTGCGATGTGTAAACAGATGTAGCAACAGACGCACCGGCGCGCACCTCCCGTCGCCGCAGGTGCAAGCGCAGATCATTCCTGCATGGGAGAAGAAGCGAGCTGTGTGCGTTGCGCTCGGGTGAAATAGCCGAGAAGTCCCCACCAGAGGCCTAAACGACTGTTTGTCGGATCGACTTTGAGTGCCAAGCGATGCGGGGCGTGCGTCACGGGGCGATCTGGCTGAGCAGCAGGCACGGCTCTTCTTGTCGGAATGTGATTCTATAGAGCAGCGCACAGGACGCACAAGGCAAGCCTGGACAGTGGATGCAATAGGTTGTGGAGCCGAGACCGTCCGAGCTCGGGTTACTAGAGGTCTGAGGCCCTCGCCACCAGCTGTAAGCGAGTCACGAATGTCAGCGGAGAACACATCAGAGCTGGTGTCGAAGAGCATAACACGCAGGGAACGCAGGGAATGAAAGACAAACAGCAAACGCTCGCCCCCGCTCGCTGTATGTTACTATGAAGGCACCTCCATCGTCCTCGCCGGTGTGGGTACGCCGTTTCCTCCACAGTCGTATCCGACGCCCACTGGTCTGCCCCGGCCGTCTCTGTCCTAGCGTCCAGGATCGACTGCAAGCTCAAGCGCTAGCGCTCATTTGGGTTCAGTGAGCAATTGAGAGACGCGGTCAACCGCAATACCGCGCTGACATCACGACGCTCGCAGTCGCAGACGCATGCGTATAGGTGGCACCCCGGGCTTCGGCCGCGCTCGCGCTCGCGCACGACGGCGACTCGGTCGTCGCGACCCTCCGCTTGCCCGCGCGCCTCGCCACCGCCTCTGAGTCGTGCCGCTAGACGCGACGGTCTAAGCAGAGTTACCGCCGGTGCCGTTCGCGTCCCTCGAGAGTTTCGACGAACACACGGAGCTGGCACGAGTCCCAGGATGCTCCACGGCGGCACGTTGGGGAGCGAAAGGGGAGCTCCTCTGGTCCATCGCGCCTGGGACGTTCAGACTGGGGAGGGCACCTCGGCATGCGTTCTCGTTTAAATGCGCGGTGTTCTGAGGGACGTCGCCGCGACTCGTCGTGCTCGATATCTGCGCAGACTTCGTCTTCTCTTGGATCCGAGGGGCAGCGTGCGCGCTACAACCGCGATCAGGCCGGGCTACTTACGTTGGCGTTGCCAACTTGGTGAGGACTCCTTGATCAATCTCGACCAACACCACCAACTCCGCCACATCACGGTCACGGGCCGTGGTCTCTCGCGCTCCCAGTGCTCGCGTGCAACGGTCAACCCAAGATGAGAAGCCGGACGGCAAGTCCGGTCCATTACAAAATCGTACAGTATCGATAACACCAGCCACGAAAGAAACATGCAACGTCATCGCGGGACGAAAGCCCGTTCATCCCAGGTCGTCAAACGCGGCGCCCTCGCCCTCCGCCGCCGCGCGCGCCTCCGCGGCCCAGATCCGGGCGAGCACGCCGTCGTCGAGCGTGTCGCGCCAGGCGCTCCCGAGCCCGTCGTCGCCGCGGTCGAGGTCGGAGAGGGAGACCTTGGCCTGGACGACGAGCGGGGGCACGACGGTATACGAGCGGAGGCGGTCGCCGCGCTCGGCGAGCCAGCCGGCGGCCTGGTCGAACGCGCGGCCGTACGCGAAGGGGGGGAAGCGGAAGTGCGCGCGGAGGCGGCGCGCGCCGGCGCGGGAGAGCGCGTAGGCGTGTGTGCAGAGCGGGTGGGTGGAGGGGTGGAGGGCGTTGGGAGCGTCGGCGCGTGGGGCGGGGCGGGGACGGCGGGGTGGCGGGTCTCGTTGGACCAGCAGTGACCTGGGAGATGGGAGTCAGAGGACGGCGCACGAAGGGCAGAAGTGGACTTGGTTGCGAGACCGGTGGACGGGACACGTCTCTTGAGGCGGGGAAGCGGGTTCGTAGGCACAACGATCGACGCACTCACCTAGCCACACCATGTCCCAATCTGCGGGCAGTGTCTGCCAGAGACCGCTGAGCCGCTCGTGGATGTCGGATTCCATGTCGACGTCGTCCTCCAGAATGAGCCCGGCCTCGCCTCCGGACTGGATGAAGCGTTCCACGGCGTCCATGTGCGACGTGTAGCACGCAATCTTGGCGAGTGTCATGATCTGGTGGTCGCGGAGGTCTTCGGACCAGGGAACGCCAAGGGCGGAATCGCGCTCGGCGCAGGTGAGCGGGGTCTGCTGTGCGGACGGATCGGACGAAGGGGTCTCCCAAGGCGGGCAGAAGGGCTCGGGAGAGCCCGGTGGGGGAGGACCGCGCAAGCGAGAGAGGTTGTCGTCCCAGGCCTCGAGGTCCTCCACGCTCGGCCAGTCGATCGTGGCCTGGAGGGCATGTGCGCGGACGTCGCGGACGCACTGGGCCTTGCGGGCTATGGAGGGGTCGGTGAACTCGGTGGCGTCGACGTAGGCCCAGCGGAGGCCGAGAGCGGAGCGTAGCTGCTCCATGGTCGTGCGGCGGTCGTTGCGAACGGAGCGTGAGATGACATAGATGTGGTCGAAGACATTCAGGGTTTCGCGGGGGTCGACGGAGGGACGAGGGTTGAGTGTGGTGAGGGTGAAGGAGCGGAGGGTTGAAAAGGAGCGGAGGATGGCCGGGTAGGTCCAGAGAGAGATCAGGAAGAGAGCTGCAGCGCAGAAGAAGAGCTGGATACGCCGCGAGGGCATCGTGCCAGGTGGTCGAGGCGGGGCAAGGAGAAGGCGACGTCCGCCAGTGTTGGCTCTGCGCGCTTCACCCGCGGCCCGTATCACTCCACCCCAAAATAGAACACGCGACGATCACGTGCATTGGGATCTTGAATCCACAGAACTCAGAGAGTAGCTTCTCAAACACCCAGCCCCTCCGACAGGTGCGCGGTGTCCTCTGCACTCTTCAACAATATCTCGCCCCTGCTCTTCACCGCCGCGAGCGTCGCCATGCCCAGAGGAAGCCTTGTGGGAGGGCTGTCCATCTGTGCAACCTTCCACACTGCTTCCATCGCCGCCCGCGTGTCCCCCTTCAGCCCGTAAGTACCGTCTACAGCGAAAAAAAACTCTCTACTACGTTGATGTTCCACGCAGGGTCGATCTCGACCGCGAGAGCCTCCGTGAAGCCCTCGAGCGCTGCGGAAGTTTGAACATCAGTGATCACGCTCCGGAACTTCCGCCACCATCACTCCGCGCGACGGACACCGGCACGGCGGCGCACGGAACGCACGCACACGCTCACCGAACTTGCTCGCCCCATACCACGCCATCCTCGGCAGCCCGCCCACCGCCGCGCGCGACGACACCTGCGCGAGCCAGCCCCCCGCGCCCGCCGGGTTCGCGTCCCGGAAGACGCGCACCGCGGCGCACCGCGCGCGCCCCACACGTTCGCCTCGAACATCCCGCGCGCGTCCGCGTCCGCCACCGCCTCGAGCTCCCCGAGCGGGCTCCCGAGCGTGGCGCTGTTCACGACGACGTCAACGCGCCCGAACCGCGCGAGCGCGGCCGCGAACGCCTCCTCGACCGCCCCCGCCGCCGTCACGTCCAGCAGCACGACGAGGAGGCGCGCGGCGGTGGCGAGGTCGTCAGCGACGGCGAGGTCGGCGACGCGCGCGCGTGAGCGGAGGGTCGCGACCACCGAATCGCCGTACGCGAGCACGACCTCGAGCGGTCAGACGACCGACCGCCTACTTATGAGGTGCTTCCGTGTGCGGTGCAACTTGCAAGCGCTGTTTAATAAGCACAAGTCCGCACGGCCGGGCATTCATATATTCGAGATCACCTTAGACGCCAGATGTTGTGCGCATTTTCAACGTCCCAAGAAGGCAATTTCTTGTCATCGTCGTTCGAAGTATGGCCCTTCGGACGGGGGGCGATAAACCGAGATATTAGTGCCCTACACGGCAGCATGATTCGGAGAACGATGACGAAGGGAACTAGAGCGGGGGAACCTCCGAAGGGCCTCGCGCGCATATACACGGCACAAACGGGAGTGCGTGTGACGGTGCGCGGCTCTCCAAGCGCACAATTGACCAGAGAGCCCTCTCGCTGACTCCACGGTTTTGCGTCGTGGAGGATCCCAGAGATAAGTAAAGCTAGCAAGCTTCAAGTAAGGAGTCGTGCCAGCTCCTTAAGTCTGTCGGTCGAATATCGTCAGTCGAAAATCGGAAAGTTGGCACTTTCACTCGCCGCGACCCGCAGCACTGAGATCTGAGAGAGAGCTGCACGCGCACACCAAATTTCATCCCCAAAAGAACACTCCATTCATTACAATTGCTATGCTACACTATATGCGTGAGTCGTGATTCGTCGTGATCGTTCTCGTAAAAGCAATGTATGGCCTCCGCAGGCCTCACCGTCCTCGTCCCCGTCGCGCGCCAGACCGACCGCACCCAGTACACAACCCGAAGCACACCGTTCAGGCGAACGCGGTGCCCTTCGCGGCCTTGATCCACGCCGCGTCCGCGTTCGGGAACTGGAAGGCCATCACGCCCGCGTTCCAGCCCGCGGCCTTGGCCTGCGCGACGCACGTGCCGAGCGTGGCGGGGTCGATGAACCCGTTCGTCGCGTCCGACGCGCCGCCGGGCTTGCCGATCACGAGCTTGTTGATGTCGAAGCCGTTCGCGGGGATCTGGAGCAGCGCGGAGCCGGTGAACGGCGCGCCCGCGGTGTTGATCAGCCCGTCGCAGTCGGTGTACAGGCCCTGGTTGTAGAACTGGATGTTGTACTGTGCGCGCACGGTCGGTCAGCCGAGCGAACGGAGGGAGGGAAGGAGGGGGGAGACTCACGAAGTCGATCAGGTCGCCGACGTTCTTGTTGACCGTCACGTACGCGCCGGCGCCGAACTGCGCGTTGGGCGCCATCCACGGCGCGAGCGGCGCGTGGCTGAGGATGAACTGCCCGACGGGCAGCTTCTCGCGGAGCGTCTTGGTGAACGTCGTGACCCACGCCTCCGCCGCGCCGTCGCCCTTGTTGACCGCGTCGAGGTCCTCGTAGTCGACGTCGATGCCGTCGAGGCCCTGGTCGAGCACGAACTGCGCCATCGTGTTCGCGGTCCCGACCGGGTCCGCGCCCGACGTCGTCGGCTTGTCCGTCTCCCCGAACGCGGCGACCATGATGCTGATCCCCGCGTCCGCGTACTCCTTCTTCTTCGACGCCTTCTGGTCCGCGGGCAGGTTCGCGAACGCGAGCGCCTGGTCGAACGCGCCCTTGAGGGTGAGGAAGGACAGGTTGATCACGTTGAAGCCCGCGACGGACGTCGCGGGCGGGAGGATGTTCGCGTCGATGAACCGGTCCGTGTAGACGACGAAGGCCGGGCTGGGGACCTTGGCCCCACCGGCGGCGGAGCCGCTCGCTGCGTTGTCGCCGCCGGACGCGGCGGTGGTCGTGGCGGGGGGCGGGGCGGCGGCGGTCGACGCCGGGGGAGCAGCGGGTGCGGTCGTCTCCGGGGGAGGGGGCGCGGCGGAGGTGGGGGGGCGGCCGGGGGGGCGGCGTCACCGCCTGTGGCGCCAGTCGCGGCGATGCGAGCGTCGCGGTCGGCGGCAGTCGTGCAGGTGATGGAAGTGCCCGCGGAGTTGACGAGGGGAGGGCCGCGCAGCTGCGACGGAGGTATCAGCAGTGATGAGGCGACGAAACGATGCAGAAGGCTTACATCAAACCGGAGCCGCAGGGCATGGAGACGAAGGAGGAGCCAACACACTGCGCGAACGCGTCGCCCACGCAGGCGTTCTCGCCGGCGGTGCAAGAGGAGCTCGCGCTGAGACCCGCGAACTTCTGGCTGTAGCACGCGGAGAGATGTCAGTTCGGGGCGTGGAAAGATGGGACGCAGGACTCACTTGAGGGCGATGGCGTCCTTGCCGTTCTGGAGGGTGAAGTCCGCGCGCCTGTCGACGGGCACGGCCATGACGGAGGTCAGCGCAAGCGCGACCGAGACGGAGGTGATCATGCGGGAGTAGGAAAACATTGCTGGGGAAAAAAAGAGAACGAAAAAAAATGAAGTGAAGTACGACGAAAAGAATAAGCCGCTCAGCGGACTTGAAAGTGCAAGAAGCAAAGGAAGGAATGAAGTGAAGGGGAATGGGGAAACGAGACTATTGGACCACAGGCTTTATACCTCCTCAGGCGGGGGACACGGGCGATTCGCCTGTGGTCCATCGCCATCGGCAGCAGAGGGGCCACAGGCACTCATCAAAGTGCACATGCTCCGTTGTGCGCGAGGCTGCAGGATACGGGCGCCTGCGCAAGGCCTCCGGCGAGACGATTGATGGACGCCATAGACTCCGGACATCGCCTCAGCGTTGATGCAGGTGATGGAAAAAGGTCACTGCGCGGCCGGGCAGGTGAAGCCGGGACATCCTCGATGGATTGCAACATGGCTGCTGTGTTTCGACATCCGAGAGGCTCTGTCTGGGACTTCTGGGAGATGCTGCCAGCTCGCCGGGCGAGGCTGAGGGCCGCGCAATGCTCGACAGGCATGTATGGCACGGACTGAGACAAAACAGAGGTTTAGCTCTCAATCTCTGATTGCTGGCCAAACGCACGCTACCTGCTCGACAAGTTGAAGTCCTCAAAGGCGGATCACGCAACTGCATGGACGCACTGTTGTCCCGGTGATCTTGATGTACTCACGCTCTGAGGGGAATGATGACGGTTTGTGCAGTGACTGCGTGCGCAGTGTTGTCTTGGCACGATGGACGTTGCAGCGCGACGGCCCGGCCAGGACGGGCCAGACTCGGGATCATGCTCGATGCGGTGAACACGACGCCCGGCATCACGTAATTCTCCCCCGTCGGCCACTGCCACCGTCCGGCCCCGGAACGCCTCACGTTCAACTTCAAACGTTCATCTCCGGGCACACCTCCGTGCACCCTTCCTCGCATGCCGATTTCTCCTCAACCTCGACAAAAATCGCACCGTCCACCTAACACTCCCAATAGCTTCCGGAATCCAGTTATACACTGGGAAATCATCGCAAAGTTCAATCGTCTCTCCCCGGCCTCCCGCGGACGAAACGCGTTCATCATCCCTTTTAACATGACACGCCTTGCCATCATCCGCTGCTCGGTCCTTTCAGCGCAGGGCGCCGCGCGGAGCTGATGAAGACCTATTTCAGGCGACGAGGCGCACGCTGGGTGCGATGCAAGCCCGGGCATCGTTGAGGCCATCCTCCGTGATGGATTGGCTTGGCTGAAGCAACCGACGACGCAGACAGCCGAGCAGTGAGTGTGCTGTTTCGGTAACTACCACGCGGCGCCTCAGCACTCACTACCAGTGACGTATCGCATCTCAAGATCCAGTCTAAAACATAAGACCCCCATCAGGCAAGTTACATCCTAGCGTATATACAGACTAGCAGTAGTATGGTATATCGAACCGAAACCTCACGGACTATACGTGCACTATTTACACCCAGCGCGCTGCGAGCCATGCCCACCATGAGGTCCTTGCCTTGATCGACTTTGTAAGGATGCCGCCCAAGTAGATGCCCCACGCCACGTTCAGCCAGCCGCACCCCCACTCTGCAAACAGACCGCGTCAACTCCAGCACACACATACGAACGGCGCGCGACGCACCTTTCCAAGCGGGATCATGATCATCTCCGGGCTGCCCTTGTACGACTTCGGGAGCGGCTTGCCCGCGAGGAACGCGACGACGTTCGCGGCCGCGACCGCGGCGTGCGTGTTCGCCTTCGCCGCCTGCTTCTGCTCGTCCCACTCGATAACGTCCCCGATCGCGAACACGCCGGGTGGCCGCGGACCTCAAGGAACTCGTTGACCTTGACGGTGCCCGTGCGGTGAGCGCGTCGTCGAACGCGCCCTTGAGGATCTCCGTGTTGGGCTTCGCGCCGAACGCGTGGACCTGCGGACAAGGCGCGCGAGGACGTCAGCGCAGGCGGAAGGAGGCGCGCGAGGGGCGGCACGCACCACTAGATCCGCGTCGGGCAGGCTCTTCCCGTCGCGCGTGGTGACGCCGGAGACCTTTCCGGGCGCGGCGTCGAGGGCGTTGCCGAGTACGAAGGAGATGCCGACCGCCTCCGCGCGGGCTGGATGTCGAGCCGGAACTTCTGCGGGTACACGTCGTTGAGGAGCATGGGTCGCGGTGGACGACCGTGACCTTCTTCGTCTTGTACGCCTCCTTGAGCTCGCCCGCCAGCTCTGCACCGCGCAGCGCGCGCCTCCGTCAGCACCCAGTCTGGCCGGCTCCGACGCGCGCGCGACGCCAAGAGCACGAGGAAGGAGCGACGCACCGATGCCGACCGAGCCGCCGCCGACGACGACGACGTGCTCCGCGCCCTTGAAGCTGGCGTGCCACCCGCCGAGGTGCGCATCGCGCTCCGCGGCCGTCGCCGGGACCTGGATGAAGTCGGGCCACCGGCTGCCGGTCGCGACGACGAGCGCCGCGTACGGTATCCGCGCGCCGCCCTCGAGCTCGAGCTCGCCGCCCGCGCCCGCGGCGCCCTCGGCGACGCCGACGACTTTGCCGACGGTGAAGGTGCCCTTGCCGGCGGGGACGACCTGGGCGAGGTCGAAGAACGCCTTCTCGCCGAGCGGGTCGTCCCAGGTGGCGAGGCGGGCCATCGCGGGCAGGTGCACGAAGTAGGGGCGGTCGTTGAGGAGGATGAGGTCGTAGCGCGAGAGGTCGAGCGACTTTGTGAGCGCGCGCACGATGGTGGTGCCGGCAGACCCGGCGCCGAGGACGACTACGTTCTTCTTCGACATGGGGCTGTGAAGAGGAGGTGGGGTGTGCCGCGGAGGAAAGAAAGTGAAGAGCCAAAAGAGCAGGGACCCCCAGAGGATGTTTCGGTGCGGTGGGTATCGTCGGAGGGCATGTTTATAAGTGGGATCGACAAGCCCGGGTAGACCCTCGCCAGGCAGCCAGGCAACTGCGTTGCAGCTCGTCATCAAAATCGAACGGGTATCAACTGACGTGATGACGATTACACGCGAGCCTCGTAGCCGAATTCAAACATTCAAAAATTGGAGATAAGTTGATATTTTGTTCGGCCACCAGCGGGTAGAACGTCCAAGTACCCCGAGGCTAGCCGTCCGAGCTCATTGAGATAGCCCGATTTCCAAGGAAAAGAGGTGAAATCGCTTATTAGTAACCAAGGCACACTCCTGTCGCAGATACGTACGACGCTTTGGGAAGTGATCACTGGGAAATGTAATACAAGGTAGAAGACCACACGTTGCTTACGGGAAACTGCTGACTGTAGTGTAGAGTTCAACTCTCAGCAACTGTCTGGACAGAACACCCGGGCAACTTGCTTATTGATCATTCCCGATCTCGCGGAAGAGCAGGGAAGAGAGAGAGACCGATCACGTCACATAAATGCTGTGGCGCGCAAGCGGGAAGCCCACGTTTTGGAGCTGCGGGTGCAGGGTCGACCTCTGGCATCCCACGAGAATATCAGGAATCCAGGATAATATATGCACCAGACATTTGAAGGGAATGTCTAAGAACAGAACGCGAAACGTGGTCTCCTGCAACGTGAGCCCGTCTTCTAAGCTCAAGCGCAACGATTGGTCTTCTCACTGCTCATCACCTCAACCCGAGAGCTTGAACTCCAGGTAGAAGGCGGGTCGGCGGGAGGTGACCGGTGAAGTCCAGGACGAGATCCAGGTCACGAGACGAGCGTGCGTGTTCAAATGGCGCCGGAGCGGAGGAACGCCGAACGCCGCGCAGGCGGCTAGCGCGTGTCCCCACGGCGGCTCATCGTCCTCTCTTGGCTTCCACCACAATCAACTCAACACGACTGGTACAACCAAAGCCGATGGACAGGCAAAGCCGAGGGACGGGGGCGTCAGCGCTTCAGCAGACATGGGTCCAAATGTTGCCAAGGTCGCCTATCGCGCACTGCCAAAACCGTCCTTTTCGGCGCACGCTTGACAACGCTGGTGGTTCAAACTGGTAACAACACCCGCCTGTCCTGCCGGGAGGCGCCTGACCATTACACCGTCCAGGTAAGTAAGTGCACGAGAGCCTGCCAAGGTTCGCCTGCTGACAGCGGATTATCACTATCTCCCAGCGACGCTTGTCGTCCACGCGACTACTCTACGTGGGCTCAGACAATGCGGCATCTATACCGATCTCCCCTTAACACCACACATTGCTGTAAGGGAGCTTTGTACCTCAAGCCTTCCGTCAAGTGACCCAAACGCGAAGACCCTCGCATGTGACGTGCTCACAGGACGCCATTCAGCCCGAGGTTCTCGCTACCGAGATTACCGCCGCGGTGCGTCGGGCGCTGTCCTTCGCCGTCGCGTTCAATACCTCCTCTGACGCATTCACGACGCACACAGACACGCCGGCGTTATCTCCCGCGGTGCGCGCACGATCTGCTGCCGCGCTACCCACGCCTGCCCCCCGATGAGGACGAGGGACGGCGGGGGTGCCTCCCCGCATTTATCACGAATACCCACCTAATCTCACACCACCACTTCCTGGAGCTTAGGTGGCTTCAGGAAGAACGTCCGGGGCACTCTTGCAGGTGCTTAGAACCCCGCCCCAGGCACACAGCGGTGGTCGACACTCACGCAGCGAGGACCAGCGGGGACTAATGACGGGATTCCCCAAGAACACCCAACGCAGCGGAGCCCCGCTCGTCCGCGTGCCGACGCTCGCGCGAAAGCCGTCATCGTCCTACTCAACCGCACCGTTCCCTCGACCCCACTCACGGAGGGCAGAACACGGTTTCCTCGAGTCTGGTGACCGTCCTCAAACCCCACGGCTCGGCCGCGCGACCCGTCCCTCACGCTCTTCCATGCGGTGTCCGCCGCCGGCACTTGCGCCCCAATCGTCTTTCCGGCTCGTGCTCCCGACTCCCTCCCTGGCGCACGCTTCCGGCCGCTACGAGCGGCGGGCGTGCCTCCGTCGGTGGTCGGTCGCCCGGCCCGGGACGCCTCTTCGTCTGTTCACCCCCACCATCCTGCCCGGGACTCCCGGCGAACGTCATAATCACTCGGCACGCTTCTCGTGTACCCGGTCCCACTTCACTTCGAGTATGGACATCGCCGCCGCACGCATCCCGGATCGGCATCGCCGCGGCGCGGGGCCCCGCAGGCACCGCGACGGTGCAAGCAGCACATCGGCAGACGACGACGAGATAGCGCAAGCACAGGGGCTCGCACGACGGCGGGGAAGCAGAAGCTGTGGCTAGATGAAGATGCAGATGCGGACGCAAGCCGCGGCGGACGCGTACGAGACGCGGCGCGTGCCCACTCCGTCAAGTGACCCCCACCCCCCACCCCGCCGCAGATATCGACGCTCGTCCGCGGCTTTCCATCTATCGTACGCGTTCGTTCCTGGGCGTATCGCGCCCCCACCACCGCGCAGAGCGGGACCGCAGCTTCGACAATGCGGGGCCCCGCTCCCGCTCCTCCACCCCCGCGGGCTTCGATGCTATCCGTATCGCGAACAGACAACATCCGAGCCGCGCCTGCTCGCCCCGCACTAGTCTCCGTGGACGCCCCTCCTCCGACTCCATCGTAACGCTCGCGGGCCTCAGCTGAGCGGCGCACGACGCCGGTTTATCCGAACGACACCCGGCTCGATCGAGAGCTCTGCGATTCTGGCATGCGCTACCGCGGGTCGTTCCTCTGTGCAGCGAAACGACGCGGTCTGGGAAGCGATCTGCCTGCAGAGAACCCCGCCCTCGACGCGCAGGGTTCCGCGGGGAACGAGGGGGAGGGATGTGCGGGGGGCAGGGGCATGTGCGCGGAGACTGAATGGGGCGTGCTGGTGTGTTTTTCCGAGGATTTGCTGGGGACGTCCCCCGCGCCGCGTTCGGCCGGTTCTGGCTAGATCTCTGACGCTCGCGTTCTTCTCGCGTGCACTTGTCCAGGGATGCATCGCCGTTGCTGCGACGGGCGAGCGGAGGGTCTGGGCCTCGAGAAGGAGAGGAGAAGGCCGACTCGCCCTCAACGTCGTGGCGAGCCCAGACCGCGGGCTGTATCTCGGACGGGGTGCCGTCTTGCAAGACGCACACACACACGCCCATTCACCGTGGCCACTCGATCGGCCACTGCGCGGAAGAGTCGAAGGCAGACTGGCCAGCCGCCGACACCGCCGATCCGACACGCAGTCGACGGCCGTCGAGTCGTCGTTCCCCCTCAGGCTCCGCCAGGCTCCTCGTCATCGTCGCCATCCGTCCAACGCAGTCCAGACTCGCCTCCCTTCCGCACCCGTGCACCGCCGTCGCGTCCTCCCACCTCCCAAGCCTCGCGCGGCCCATCCCATCCCAACATCACGCATCACGCATCAACGTCAACCCTCCCAGTGCCCACACGCGCGAATCCGGCGTACCCGCCGGCGACGAACCACCTGACGTCCCCGTCCATCCCGCCGCTGCGTATTCCTCGGAAGGGCAGCCAGCGCGCCCCCGCCCCCGCCCCCGCCCCATGACCGCCCCCCCCCCCCCCCCAACGTCCGCCGGCCTGCATCTTCGGGATTCGAATGCTCACCGCGCGATGCCACCCGACGTACGCGGCTTGGCACGCTTGACTCGAGCGTGAACGTCGGTCGGTCTCAAGAGCGCGGCACGCGTCCATGGCATCACGCGCGCCCCGCCTGGTCACGCTGCACATGCACCTCCTGGCGGCTGGCCTGTCGCAACTAGGACTGGCTTCTGAAATGATGGAAGGCCGCGGGCGGGACATGCGGCGTGGCGGTCACGGATCTCTCGCGCGTGGGTGGCCGGCCGCCTGCACCCTGGGTGTCGAGGAACACGACACGCAGAGCACGCGCTGGAGGCTGGGGTGGATGTGAGAGTGTACATTACGGCTTCTATTTATCACAATTGAACAGTCGGTGGTACTAGTACATTACCCTCCCTGCGCGCGCACTCTATCCCGCGCCGGGAGGGGAGGCCGATAAAGCATACCACAACGGGCCACAAGGACGCCTGCTTCCATGCCGGGATACTCGCGGACGCCGACGTCGACGCCGAGGCGAAGGTCGTCGGCTACATCCGCACTCGCGCGCGCAGAAAAGGGGCGGTCGTGGCGAAACGTGAACCAGAGGCGATCCGTACCGGGGAAGAGGAAGAAAGCACCGAGCGTCCATTCAGTCCGCGCAAGTCATCCGTGCGCGTACACGACCGAACCGGGTCCGACTAGTCCTTCTTCAACTCTCTCCGCATGACGAACATCCGATCGCCGTCGGCTCGTGGCGAGAGCTCCTGGACGTTGCGCATCGCCTCGAGCCCCTGTGGACTCCGGCCCTGCGCGACGCAGACGTAGATCTCGAGACCGTCGCCGACCTGCGTGGGGGGGGAGCAGCGACGTGAGCATGGAGTTCGAAGCAAGGTCGGAAACCGGGGGCCAGCGCGAAGAAGAGACGACACGAACCTCGATGTGGCGCTCCGTCGCGCTCGTAAACGAATCGATGACGATTGACAGGACATCTGACAACGGGAGGTGTGTCGGATGTGATTGTCCGGCGGCAGCTTTCTGGTTCTTGAAGTAAATCTAGTGATCGCCGCGGATGCAAGTCGGCAAAGGATCGGGTCAGACATACGTATGCTAAGCTCATGCAGCAGACATACCTGGTTGTCCAAGAACGGCTGGACGAGCGACTGCGCGGCGCCAGCAGCTCGGCACGCCTCACGCTCATATGACCCAACGGGATCAAAGGAGTAGACCGCGCCCGACCCTGATTGAGGACCGATCGTAAGCATCTCGGAGATCAGAACCCATGACGCGAAGACGCTCGACTGGCGACGCGCGTCGCCTAAATGCAGGGCCTCCGCTCGCGTAGCCTTCCAAACAGACACTGATAACGCGAGCTTCAAACAGGAACGCGGCGTCATCCACATCGGAAGGTGTAGCGGGAACCAGGGCGATATTGGGAGCTGCGCACAAGAGCTGGCAGAGAGAGCGCACTCACCATCCTCCTCGATGCCGCCGAGGATGTTGTAGACGTAGTAGGGGAAGAAGCGTTGTGCGTAGAGCATGGTTTGGATGAGGCGGGCGATGGCGCGGAGGGGCATGTCTTTTGCGTGTGCATGGCGGTACCACTGGGGACGCGCGGCCTGTTGGTGCATGCACACGACGGGATGGAGCGGTAGGACATACCTCAAGCCGTTGTCTGACCTTCTTGACGAACATGTTGCCGTCCGCGGCGAAGCCGTTCACGGCAAGAACGGCGCGGTCGGTTCTGAAGATGTGCGGGTTAAGATGCAGTGCGATCGCCGAAAGAGAGAGATCGACGGACAGTCTGAATACTTTGGGCGCATAGCGCGTCTGGATGCTGTAGCCCTCGCTCTGACGCGTGTCGCCAGCGATGACGGTGAAGTCGGCGCCGGCGATGGCGAGGATGGTGCCGCCGTTGTCGGTGTAGGGGTTGAAGGAGCGCTGTTGAGGCGCAACCGGAGCGGAGGTGGAGGAGTAGGAGCCGTCGGGCATGATGCACGCAGGTGTATGCGGGGTGTATGCGGGGTGGGTGAGACGGCGTGGGCAGGTGCGAGGACGGTGGAGGCAGGAGGCGGGATGAGCCGGGCGGCGAAGGAGAGGGAGGAGCGGAGGGGTATATGAGTGTAGAGGCCGCGTCAGTTTCGTGCGAGGACGCGCGGCGCAGACGCCCGAGCGGAGTGTGAATCTGGGATGGGGTAAAGCCGAGAATTCCGCCTTCCTCGCCGGGTCCGGTAGGCGCTCCCAGGGCGAGGCACCTTCCTTGCTATCGACCGCCATTCTGATTGCGCCTCCCGCCTTCTCCCGACATTCTCCCGCTCCCCACATCCCCGGTCGTCGCCCACCCACGTCGCCCACCCACCCCCAGGCGCACAACATATCCACGCCGCCTCGCTTTGGCTGCTCAGAGCTCGACGGCCACCACGGCTCAATTCACCGGGCATCTGCACTGCGCACCCGCGACTCTCGCGCCCGCAGGCAGCACCTGCCGTCATTCCAACGGCGACTCAATTGCGTCTTCGCGGACACTCTTGCCGTGCACCTGTCAGCGAACGCCTCGCGACGGCAGCTCTCCCGCCGCCCGGTCTTCATCCAGTGCCCACCTCCCACGCCGCCCCTCCGGCTCTCGACCCCCGACGCCCGAACGGTCCCAGCCAGCATTTCCATCCACTCCCCGCCCACGCTCCCGGGGCCGCAGAACCGCACCCCGGGCCCCGCGGCGCCTCACGGCCTCAAGGCCTTCATACCTCTAACTTCCAGTCGCATCAGCCGGTAATTGTTGTGCAAGCCCCACCGGTGCCCTCGCCGGAGAAACTCCGGCGCGCCGACCCGGCACACCTCGTTGGGCACCGAACCGGCCAGAGGCCCTCCGCAGGCCTCGTAGAGCCCTCAGAGTACGTCCGTTGACCTATGCGACGTCCTTGGAGCATGCTTACTTGGCACTGGACAGGTGGATGTCCAGTTCGCTGGCTGTCTCCCTGCCCATGCCATTTAACCATCTACGCGCCTGTTATACACCGAGATAGCGGGTAGAGTGCCGTATCTCGGCTCGTACCCACATGCGAGCGAGGGTTGATACACTCAGATATCGTTTCAGCCGTTTTCTTCCGCACGGTTTTCGTCCACATCTTCTGAGCAGCAGTAAACGGCTGGATGGTGCCGCGAATAAGTAAAACCAATTGGTTGGTTTGGCTTGGCATACCGATATGTCTCACTAGTCATAGTCGTCGCGGATTCCACACCTGACGTACTGGGCTGGGGTCGTAACAATTTGTTCTGTTGGAATGTGCATCTCTTCTCCTATATTCCGGTCGAGTTAAGCATTTCACATGAGATGTACCTGGTAGGTGATCTGTTCCTGTGGGGCGACAATATGGTGGCAAGGAACGAGCAGATACTCTCCTAGGGGATCTTTGAGGGGCTGGCCCCGCGGCACGCGGGCGCGCTGGCCAGTCTGCGAATTTTGTCTCGAACAGTGTATTGGGCAATATTTCAGTCGAATTATCTCACACCTGGGCATTCAACAAGCGGGTATACTCCCTTCATGCACAAATATCTGATATATTGCTTCCCATAGCGTTATGGAAAGCGAAAGCTGTGAAAGCAACTGCACGCCCTGGCGGACGATAGCGCGGAAGTTGTGGTGTGGTACAGCATTTCTCGAGATTCTATGTGTACTGCATGCAAGTTCCCTCGTCGGTTGGGATGAACTCATTGTTCTGATCATGATGCTCCCCAACAGATCCACACTCACCATGTCTGTGAACTGGAGCGAAACTCGGCCTCAGTTGTCAACACCTATCGCCTTTCCTGGTCGATGCGGGAGCTAGCTTTCTCTTTCATCTTCCGTCTCCATGAAGCAATACCGTGGCACCCTCGCAGCGGATATAGCCTGCTTCTCCGCGTCTACGAGCAATAGGTTCTCATGTTCCAAGTCAATGGTGGATCACACCCCTTACGTGACAATCTTATCCCTCCCAGGACTCAGGACACATCCACGTCCATCTTTACAAGCTTTTTGGCCCACACCGCCCCCGGCGTCGGGCGAAGCCCTCTCACGCCTCCGCATCGGCCGGCCGTACACGTCCTGGAGAATCCTCGGGCCGTCGAAAAACGTCTCGCAGGGTGCAGGGTTACGCCCCGCGCCCGTCGTGCGTTTCGCGTCGGGGTTCTCGTTTCGCGCGACACACCGCCCTCGTCGGCCGGACGCGAGGCGTCCGCAGGCGCTATCGATGCATCTCGGTTTCGCCGGATAGATCTGCTCCTGGAGCCGTGCTGTAGGGTCGCGCGTGCTTCGCGGCGCGCCCCCCTTCCCACACGCGTGCGCCCACGCTCTCAGCGTCCGTCGCGTCCCACCTTATCGCCTCTCCCCGGCGTAACTCGCAACGAGGCGCGTCCGTCGTCGCGTCGACCAGCTCACGCACGCCCAGTTCCACGCCGCACCCCCACGCAGGCCGTCCCGCCAGAAAGCAACAGCACCCCCTCAGCCTCTTCGCTCGAATCCGCACGCACGCGCACGCGCACGCACATGCGCACATCGCCCGCCGCCGCGCCATCCCTGGACAAACCAACACCACAAACACACCCCTCGCCCGCGACTCAATCGGTGAGAGCCCGCGCCCTCATGGAGCGGCGCCCGCTCCTCCTACGGCCTCCCGCCCTCCCCGGCCGCCGTGCCTGAGAAGGCTCGCTATTCCCGCTGACCACGCGGGCGAAGCAGCGAACAAGCTCTCGAGGGTGCACCCCGCGCAAGCGTGCTTGTGTCGCCGGTTTTGCCTCGCGGCGCTCCCGGCCCCAGACGAACCTTCGCCCTTCTGAATCTGCGGCGCAGCCAGGGGCCCCGACGTCCGCGTCCTCCCACCAAACGACTTGGAATCTGCGCACGGTGCGTCCCTCCCCTTTGTGGTTTTCGGTTCGCAGCCAGCAGTTCGCACCGCGTCTCGCCCCACCGCGTCCTGCCCGTGCCCGCTCTCGGGATTTCCACGGGCACGCGCCGTACGCGGGGGACGCGTGCGACGCGTCTTCCTCCTTCCTGCTCGTGCACCGCATCGGGACGGCGCACATCCCCCTGGGCGCCCACCGGTGTATGCTTCGAGTGCCCGCCTGCCTGTGTGGAGGTAGAACCCCGATCAGAGGGGTGCTGAGAGACTGAATGCCGAACGCCCGTCGCGCGAACGCGGGCGGGCGGGTCGAGGCCGTCGTCGACCAGTGTGGTGGAGCGCGACGGTGGACGCGGATGTGGACGTGCGCCGTCGCGAGCACCCTCGAATTTTCGCTCTCAACGGCGGTTCTGCTTCTCGTCGTTTCGCTGCGTCCCCTTACCTGTTCGCCGACGTGCGCGGCTCGCGAGTCCCGACCCCGAAGGGCTCGCGGCGCGCGGCGGCTCGAGGGGCGGTTAATCAGCCGCCTCCCAAGTCGCCGCGAGGCTCCTTCCTGCGGAACGTTCCGTGCCTGGGACGCGGCGAATCCCGCTGGCGAGCCGAGCGCGCGCTGCGCACTGGGCCGCTCAACACCCAACCTTTCAATGACTGATGCTCCGCTGTTCACAGCAAGAAGGACGAGGAAGGGAACGAGCCAACTAGTCACGAGTGGCACGGACGAGGGTGTGGTCTGTCCCTACGCCCCGGGTCGTCGCGATTCACGGCATGCGCGCCCACCCGATTGCGTACTCGATTGCGCGAAGCTGCATGTGGTCCGCAGACGGAGGTCCGCGACCCCCAGCTGCACGCGACGCACGGTGCGTCCGAGCCCTCGTTCTGCCAACGCGGGCCTGGACCGGGGTTTCGTCCACCTTCGCGTCCGCGAGCTTCGACGCCGGCCCCCACAACGTCTCCCTCAGCTTGGTGGCAAGAACGCGTTCGCGACTGGTCGCGAAGACGCCGGAGGTCCAGACTCGAGAGCACCCTCGCACCCATGCATCCCCGTCCCGGGCTTGCGTCCCGCCTCCGCCGCCGCCGGACCACGCACCCCCCTCGCGCCCCCTTCCTTCTCGTGCGCCGCTGCTGCACGCTCTCGCGCTCAACCGCCGCCCCACCAGTCCGCACCGAGCCTGCCCGCACGCACCGACGGCGGAAACCTCGGACGTTCCCACCGTCGCGTCGCCCCCTCTGCAGGTTTCCCCGCGCGCGTGCGACGGTAACGGCGACGGCGACGGTCGCCTTCCCAGCCTGCGTGTGCAGTGGCCCCTCGGACGGGCGGCGCAAGGAGTGCGTATGTACGTACATGTCGTCCTCGCTCTCGAGGGCGATCGCGGGCGCGGGCGCGAATCCGAGGCCCATCAGCGAGATGCGTGCGCCTCGGCTCGCCTGTCGTCTTCCAGAAAAGATTTCCGGCAACAGGACCCTGGCTACCACGCTACACGTATCTCCGTCGTCCGTTCCCAGGGTGGTGCGGGAGCTCGGAGTCGCGCGCCGTTGCAGTGAGCACTCGCGCCCGTGCGCGCGCGCACTCGCCATGCAACAAGCTCTGCCCCACCACCGCGCTCCACGACGGCATGACGCACCCGGGGCGTGTTCGCGGAGTGCGCGCGCCGCCGTCCACGCAATCTCGACGACGAAGCCCCGAGTCCGAAGGCGGCCGAGTTGAGTTCTGAGCGCAGAGTGCCACTGCGAGCACCCCGCGCGCTCCGCGAAATCTACGCGACCGCGCGCAATCGCCCCCTCGCCTGGTGCCCGCGCGCGCGACGCGACTTATCTGGTATCTGGTATCGATGCATCGACGGCCGCGTCGCGCGCCCCTCGCGATCGTGTTTCTCCGACACCAGGGGGGCCGGGGCATTCCGGCGCGCGCGGGCGCGCGATACGAGCGCGTCGGGCCCGACGCCAGCGCCGTTGTGCGTCCACGTTCGTCATCGCCGCCGTTGTCTCGCTCGCGTTGCGACATCGCAGCCTGCGGAGCTCGCGTCTTATCGCGCGCGACGAGGCGCGCCGCACGGGCGCCCCGAGGACTCCCCGTGCGCACACACACACAACCGGCCAGATTCACGCACTTGCTTT